CGTCTCCACCTCATTTTGACATTCTGACTGGGTTCCATAGGCCAGACCACAGTTGGACGATTCTGGAATGCTGCGTGATGGCAGCATATCCATTGGCCTGACGGAGGTATTCTCAAGCGTCGAGTCCGAGCTACCGCCACGGTCCATGTGTCATGAAATCGGACGTTCTGGTGATCCGGTGAGCAGACTGCATAGGTCGTTACGTGCTGAAAACGCGCTGAAACTACCTCGACTCACCTGATGCGAGCTCTGAATGCGGCAAGACCGCAGAACTTGACTCGCTCGTTTGTTTCGTAAAATAGCGAATCTTGAATCGTTCGGATGCGTACATGGACGCGCATCTAGTAGCGGCATTGCCCAAGGCTTCCTATTATTCAATTGTCGCCCCTGGGCTAGCCCCGGAAATCGGATAAAGGAGGCTCCTCGCCAGCTTCTCCAGTTGGTACGTGATCTGAGCACACCTGACGCATTCTGCTGACTTCTGTTCCCATCATAAATTCTATTAAATTGGCGCGAAAGAATAACCTGTCGTAAAGAGAGCAGCAACATCAAAGCGTCTCTTATCGTGGTTCTGCAAGAATAGAGGGGAACTCCATGACCTCAATTGAGTCGCAGCTGCACTGTCGCAGGCAGGACTCCTCCATGCGTGAACCCTGGGCGGTATATTGGTTCAATCATGCGCATAGGTGAGTGCTTTCGAGCAGTTCTGGTCTATTTGTGTGTACAGCTTTGCCACATATACACCGTTATCAATATATGCGCGAGTAACTGGACTCACAATAAATGTTGGCGATCGGGCTCCTTCACGCATAACAACTACATCCAATGAATCTATTGCTTGAAGTAAGCATCAGCGGGTCTTGTCCTATTTGGTTTGCTCAAAAGTTCGCCGTCCTTTAATGCTCCGCACAGCGTGTGCTTGGTTACGCTGTTCGTGCAGATCTCATAACAGTATGACTCTGTGTAGCCCGCCCGGACTAGTAGCACTTTTGAAGCAAGATGAGCTGAACAAGGCAGAGTCTGCTTATTCATCTCTTTAACGCGGATACAAATCTGTTCAAAATCCGCCTATTGAACGTTGAAACGTTGATGTTGAAACTTGAACTCCAACGTTCAAACGTTTTCACCGCCACGTGCACCACGCGGCCACAACGCCCGCCTGCTAAGGTTGGGATCTGAGATCCAAACTACCTCGAGGCGGGAGAAACAGTTTCCAGCAAAATCGAGATGACGTCACCAGCCCGACGTCACTCTTTTTCGGACCGCGCCGACCGCGAGGACTACCGCTGTTGAAACGGTCTGTAAGGTTACTTATGCCTAAGTGCTTAGCAGAATATAATGCATCATGTCTCATGTGATGGTATATATACAACCCAACAGCACATATATACAGCATGAAAAGAAGAAAAATCTAGTTCAGATCCTTCACTTGGGAGCATCTATATCTTCGACTTCGCCTCTCTGAGCCTCGCCAACGGCATAGTCTCATCTGTCACACCCATTCAGCCGCCATACACGAATAAACACTCAAAGTACGCACAATTGGAATCATATAATCGATCCGAAGGCACCGACACGATATGCTGATGGATGCAATTCGCATCGACCATCTCCGGCACGACCTCCTTAAGCGTCCGCGCCCCCAGCAGACGCATGTTCATCTCAAACTCGTCCTGCACAACGACGCTCGTCAGCATCGCGCTATCTCCAACTTGGAGCAGTAATCACGCACATGTAGGATCTCCAACGCCCGCTCGACACCCGCCTGGCCGTACGCGGAGAACGCGTACAGGAAGGGCCGCCCGATGCCAACTACAAATGAAAATCATCAATGTGCACCTCTCCACCAATCCAGTTACTGTGGGACTCCACGCACCCGCGGTGGCGCCCAACGCGATCGCCTTGAGAACATCCGTCACGCGGCGCACGCCGCCATCGACGTACAGCTCAAACTTCTCGTTCGGGAACGTCAGCCCGCGCTTCTCTTTCAGCTTCGCCACGACCTCGACGAGTGTCTCAATCCCCGAGCGGGAGAATTCGAGCTGTCTCCCGCCATGGTTGGAAAGCACGACACCGGCGAGGCCTGAATCATACGCCATGAGCGCGTCCTGCAAGTGCGTATCGACGGGTGAGTGTCTTGAACGTGGTAAGGAAGGTGTGGAGTATCCTCACCTCCCAGCATTGGACGCCCTTGAGGATGAGGGGCACTGCGAGCGAGGCACAGTCATGTCAGGTCGCAGGTAATCGTTGAGAGATGCGAACTATTCACTCTTCGTGATAGACTGGAACCACGGAATATCCTCCCAGCACAGCCCAGTATCAATGAAGGACTACATCCGGTCCACATGAATGCTGGCACAGGCATACTCGGCGCAATTCCACTCACGCTGATAGCCCGAGCCGCGCCTTGCGAGCGGTCGACTTTGTCCGCGACCTTGTTGTCCGTCACCTCCGCGGGGTCCTCGTCGGTAAACTTCATGCGCATATCCTGAAAAATACCATCTTCATGAGTACCTCTGTCATGTATTCGACGTAAACGCTCGCTGACCTTTTCCCGACGCCCGAGCTGCGGCGCGTCCACAGTGATGAACAGGCCCTTGATTCCGCGCTTCTCCGCGTGCTGCACGAGTTTCTTCGTGATCGCCCTGTCAGAGTTCACGTACCTGCACATCGCCCATGATCAGTCCCCGAGATAAGCACGCAAGATGACGCTGCGCACAATTGTAGGAACTGGACCTGACCAGGCACCGCCGCATCAACGATCTCGTCGAACGAACACGACGCAAGGGTCGGAATCTACTGAGGAGTGAGTGACTAAGGCTGGTTGCATGTGAAGTTGATACTCGCCATCTGGATCACGTCGTGCTTTGCTGCTGCCCATGTCAAATTCAGCTCACCGTCCGGGTGACCAAGCTTGCCCAGAGCGGTCGCAGTCTAACCAATACCCAAACGCCCGTTAATCCCTCTGAGACGCAACGTGCCACCTACGACTTACGATGTATATTGGCATCTTAGTGCGGTGGCCGAGGATCTTCGTCGACCAGTCCACGTGCGTGACATTCCGCAGAACGCGCGGGCGGAACCAAATCCTACGCGACATTCAACGTCGATGGCCGTCCGCGGGGAACAAAAAAAAGAGCAGTCGCAGCATACCTGTGGTACGCCGCGTGGTTCTCCCGATTGGTTATCTCATCGTCGGCAGCCGAACTGTAGTACGCCCACGCCTTCTCAGTCATGCACAACCGCGCGATAGCCTACGCGCCCCAAGCACAGTCGTCAGCCAATCACCGCATGGCAAATGGCGACGGGACCTCACTTCAAAGTCATGCAAATTGAGAATCTCCGAGAGCGGCGGCCGCTGCGCCATGCGCTGCTGGCGCGCCTTCTCCTCTTCAGTAATCTTCACCTCGACCTTGGCTACGGTGTTGGGATCAACGAGCCCTAGACTACAGATTGTGAGTGAGAAGATGCGGTGGAGGTGCTGTTAGAGGCGGAACGACGTACTATTTCTCTGGAGGCAGGTTGTCCCTGATGGCGTTTGGCGGATGGATGGGGTCGTATTCCGCACTGTGTCATGCTTAGCAATGGATCTGGGCAGTAAAGAAAAGCAGGACTTGCGTAGCATCCTTCCCGGCGTATTTCAGAATGATTTTACTACCGCCTATAGAACGCTGAAAACCTCCTTATGATATACGAGCAGCGATGATAGACATACCAGGATGTTCTGCACGCGAAGGACAGTGAGCACTGGTATGTCCGCTCGAGCTGGCGGATAGACTCACCTGGCAGGAATTCCGTAACATCATACACTTTACCTGAGATTGCAAAACTAGTCAGCCCGCTGCTCCTGGAAGCACGTTCTGTTTCCGTTGGCAGATAATAGTCGAAGAGACATATGTCGGAGCCTCCACACCTCCTCCCGCAACCCAGAGAGCATCCTCAACTCACCATGCACGATGATCCAACAGCTCTCCCTCGAGTTGTGCTCCGCAACCTCCTTCCCCGATATCACTCTCTCCATGCCGGCCATCTTGAAAGATACAAACTTCTAATGGCCAAAGCAGACTTCGCGACACGACCTGCTCTCCGAGAGATGCAACTTGGGACAAAGTCGAAGGTTGGGATTTAGAACGTCGTCCGAAAGCCGAATTGGAGGTATAGCGGCGGTGGCCCCGTGAGTGCCGGTCCGGGCCCCCGGCGGGAGACGGGCGTGCAAACGGGTGCCCGAAGTTGCGCCGTACGCCGTCTTTTTACCAGCAAATGCATTTAAACGGAAGGCGCTGATCGTCGTCGAGCACGTTGGGGTCGCTGGCGGCCGCGAAGAGGACGGTGTCGCCAAAGGAGAATAGCACGCGAGACCGGCACAGTCGGGCAAATCGAGATGGCGGCCTCAAATCCGAGCGATCCGTTTGGCTGTCGAGGCTTCGAGAGCTGTGGCACAAAATTGGAATCTAACAGCGACCGAAGCCCCGGATACGTTGTATACAAAAAAATGTGCATTGTCAATGCTACTAGCTATGCGATGGTCTACAGAGATGCATGATGATGAGAGAAATAAGGTAGTAAAAAAAATGCACGACAGCGACGCCCAAGACACCCATTTATCTACTCGGAAATCCCCGCGGCGCGCCGCACAGACAAAGCAGCTCAGACGAGCTCGAAGTTCTTCGCACCCGCTGCAGCGTCGAGCTGGACGACATCGTCAAGACCTGCGAGGTGAGAGATGAGGGGCGAGTCGCACATGGTGAAAGGGAGGAGCAACGTACCCATCACTTCGAAGAATGCCTTGGGGTCCATGCCCTTGGCGGACGAGAAATCTGTGCCGGTCTTCTTGAGCGATGCCATCGCGGCGCGGCATGCGTGCACCATCGCGACGCAGGATACCAGCGAGAAGACTGTATAGCGACCATGATCAGCGGATCAGGTATTGGCACCAGCTCAAGTCCACTCACTGATGATCTTCGCGCCGTATTTCTCGGCCTCGTCGCACGTGAACGAGGGCGTCAAGCCACCGGAGATGACATTGACAAGCACCTGGCGGGATCCATCGTCAGCGTGCGATCTGGATGCGTGAATACCCTGGCACTTACCGGCTTGGGTGCGAGTGCAGCGACGGTCGACTTAAGGAGCTCGGACGTCTTGACACCCTCAATAAAGCACACATCAGCACCGGCGGCAGCCGCGAGCTTGAGACGGGTGACGGCCTCCTCCATGCCGAGGACTTGTGCAGAATCTGTGCGACCAATGATGACCTAACAGTTGTCCGTGATTAGTTGCCGCGGATTGTCGATCATCTGAGATCCACTCACGAAGTCAGAGCCTCCTGGAATCGAATCGCGTGCGATGACAGCCGCACGGATGCGCTGGAGGAACTCTTCGCGAGAGACGACCTGCTTGCCCATCAAGTGTCCACAGCGCTTGGTCTGGACCTGGTCTTCGATGTGGAGGCCTGCGACACCGGCGCGCGCATACTTGGTCACCGTGCGTGCAACCATAGCGGGACCACCGAAGCTGGGAGGGTCATCAGATCCCCGACAAAGGAAGACTCAATAAAATTTGGCTTACCCAGTATCCGCATCGGCGATGACGGGGCAAGTTGGGTCTAGACTGCAAACCATCTCTGCAGACTGAACGAAGTCATTTTGAGTAGCAATAGCCAGGTCGGGCATGCCAAGGCGGGATGCTGTCGTCGCAGCGCCACTAGATAAGGAGATGGTTGAGCACTATATCAATATAGCACGCATAGCATATAACCTACCTCTGGTACAAGCAGGTGAAGCCCGCCTCGAGTGCGCAACGAGCACTAATACCGTCGCAGATACCAGGTGCAATCTGCAAAGTCTCGTGAAAATCTATCCGATAACTATCGAGCAACAATTACTTACAACGATGCCTGGTCGGGCGAGCATCTGTCGGAGACGAGTTGCGGGGTTGGATGAAAGTGGGCCTTCAAGGTAGTTCTTGGGGTCGAGTCGGGCATTGTAGTAGGCACCGTTCTCCACGAAGCCATTGCTCAGAGGAGCCTGCGGCGCGGGGACGGAAGCCTGCTCGACGTGCTCGGTGGTCTCCTTGGTGAATTCGAAGCCCGGCATTTTGGATGAAGATGGAGAGAGAAGTTGTATAAAGGTACGAGTAGGCGGTGAAGGAGGTGAAGGAGGACCTGGAGATGCGGGAGGAGGAGTTGAGTTGGGATGCTTGCCGGTAAGTGACCTTGCTTATATCCTACCCCAGAGGCAGCACGATTATGCGCCCGGGTGGGGCGTTTGCCCCTCCATGACACAGAGCCCATGCTGAATCAGACCCACACGGCAATAGCTGCGTCTAACGACGCACGCGTCCGCTTCTGAGAATTAAACAGGACAGCGTCCTAATGCACGAACGGGGATAGCCCGATACCACTCTCCGACGCATGCTGTGATCCACCGCGCACGGAGACCGGGGAGTTAGAGCGGGAATAGACTTGTATGGCAGCGCGTCTGCTTGGCAAGAACCCCCCGCCTTGCATGCCTCCGACCTTCTTTACAACTTCACGGGCGCAATTAACGAAGACGCAGCTTCGTGGCGCTTGGAATTTCTTGGCGGCAGCGAAGGGTATTCGTGCGCCAACCCGAGACTGCTTGGCGTCTTGGGGCCTGGATACCAAGAGTGTTGTTCGGTACATTGGCAGCTCGGTCTCTGAATCGGGGTCGGAGCGTGGTCTTGGTTCGCTGCAATCCGTCAACAGTACCTCCGGGCCTGTGCATCGTTCTAGGCGAAGATCGCTAAGCAAAACGTTTTACTTGATGTGACTGGCGGCGTTAAGGCGGGCGCCATTCTCTATCGCAATGCATTCCACTCCCAGCGGCATGTGAGGTACACGCACCGTTGTATTGCAATGGAGTCATGCATGACAATGCCCGAGAACTCGAGGCCGCAAATCCATAGGCCAGCATCGCGCAGTTAACGGTTCATTCACATCGCTGTCTTTGTGGCGGAAATGAATGAGAAAAAAACTTGGCCACAAGCGCCGGCTCTCTCTAGTCACTCACTTGTCATCTAATCTTATCTCGTTCTGATCCGTTGGGTAATCGGTCGTCTGCTAAGCCTCTTCAATCCGACGGAGTCTTGACTGTCACCGGAGTCCATCTGCACCGCGTCTTGGCGCAATTCACATCCTTAATGAACGCAGGTTCCATATTGATGGTGATGATATTTGACAAGCCACAGCCCTGAGGAAGCATTACGCTTGGAGCCATTCATACCGACCCTCGGATCACTCTCATTCTGGTATATGTCGTTCAAACTGACTTATGCTGAGTATGAAAATCAGTAATTCCGGCTCAGCTGCACCCCTCATACAAAGCCTCAACAGCGGAATATCTCGGTAGGAATGGGAGCTTCTCTCCGACAGGGACGCCCCAACGGGGAGGCTTTGATGGGATTTTCTCTCGAACGGCGTTAAGGAGGAGATCGTGCAATCGATATCGGCTGCAGAACGTCTCCTACGGAATGGAACGAGTAAATCCACGCGAATTATCCTCGTGTCGTGTTAACGCTGACCAACTGGTGAACAGTGCGCGCTTGCGGGCAGCAGCGCGGCGCCGAGTCATGGCCTGGCAGACAATGTCCTTCGTTCGGAGCTACCCAGGATGGCGAGCTCCAGAGGCCCCCTACTGCAGAACACAACGTTCGCCCTGTCTCCGCAGGAGCATTTCACGAGGATGACAACCATAGATCATATGTAGCGCCTACCGATCTAACACCGGCCAAACTTCCTCTAACCCCATGTCCTGCGCTCATTGTGGAGTGTATCGCTATGCCCGCCTTCCGCGACCTGCAATACATCTCTCAACGCGATCTAACGCGCGGGCTCCGCTATTCCGCCATGTAGCTGTTGAAAAGCCCCGCCGGTCGTGGACAGAGCTCGTCCATTCCCACTCGCATTAGTGGTTGTACGTATCGACGCCCAGTGCACCATGTCTGACAATCGCATTCTCACCGGCCCCGACGTCGCCAAGCACAACACGCGCAGTGATTGCTGGATCATCGTGCATGGTGAGTGGGCAGAGTTTGCGTCGCCGGAGTATCTTTGACAGAACAGTGATCTACAGGGAAGGTCTACGACGTCACGGACTTCCTGCCAGGTAAGCTCATGTGGCGCTGGGCGCACCGGAGTCTCCAACTTACGTCCCGACAGAGCACCCCGGTGGTCAGGCCATCATCCTGAAGTACGCAGGCAGCGACGCGACGTAAGTAGTTCTCTCCATAACGTTTTAATAAAAGCTTACCTTTTGCCGTCAGGGTGGCGTACGAGCCAATCCACCCGCCGGACGCGATTACCACGAACCTTCCTCCCGAAAAGCAGTAAGTCGAACATATTTGGAGCGTATTCGAAGCTCACGGGTCGCGTGACAGCCTGGGCCCCATCGATGCCAGCACGATCACCAAGGCCGTCGTGGAGGTGACCGAGGAGGAGAAGCAACGGCAGAAGTTCGTCGAGGCGCGGCCGTCCATCGATACGATTATCAACCTGCACGACTTCGAGGTAGGCTTGGCTGCTGCGGCTATTTGACACGGAGCGTGGCTCATTGCGGTAACCCACAGGCTGTAGCTCGCAAGGTCATCACGGAGAAGGCTTGGGTACGTCTGAGCTCTAGACGAAGGGTACGAGAAAGCCACCTGACGAGATCTCATGCACAGGCATATTATTCCTCGGCATCAGATGACGAGATATCGCTTCGGGAGAACCGCATGGCGTACCAACGGTGAGCAGTTTTTCTTGCACAATGTATTAGGAAAGTGCAGCTCACTGATATTTCCGCTCAGCGTCTGGTTCCGACCCCGCATCCTCCGCGACGTCTCAACCGTTGACTGGTCGACGACGATTCTCGGACAGAAGTCGTCCCTCCCAGTGTACATCGTGAGTGCCGCGTGGTCGTCTTACGTGATTTTGGAAGCTGAAGCTCCTAAACAGTCGGCAACAGCTCTTGGCAAGCTCGGCCACCCAGACGGTGAACTCTGCTTGACGCGAGCAGCAGCCAACTACGGTGTCATCCAGATGGTAAGCGTCTCAGGCAGAGTCTCGTGACAGCATTTTCATAGCATCCCTTAGGTCGCAACGCTTGCTTCCTGTTCGTTCGACGACATTGTTGACGCCGCCAAGCCAGATCAAACTCTATTTCTCCAGCTGTGAGTCCTTCCGCGAAGCGCTTCCCGTCCCGAGGACCCACTGACGCCGTCCCGCAGGTACGTGAACCGTGACCGCGAGATCACGCGCAAGTACGTGCAACATGCGGAGGCGCGTGGCGTCAAGGCGCTCTTCATCACGGTCGACGCACCGCAGCTCGGCCGCCGCGAGAAGGACATGCGGATGAAGTTTGTCGGCGATGAGGGCGTCGCGAAGGTCCAGGATGGCCAGTCGGACATCAAAAAGGACGAGGGTGTTGCGCGGGCTATTAGTGTAAGGCGCACTTCGTCCTCAGTTATCGCTTGCTGACCGAAATGTTATCTGGGCCAGTCTTTCATTGACCCCAGCCTGTCCTGGAAAGACATCCCATGGTTCAGGAGCATCACGAAGAGTAAGACATCTGCTCCCTCTATATCAGATGTGAGACTTATGACGTCGTCATCAGTGCCCATCATCCTTAAGGGTATCTCGACTGCCGAGGATGCCATCCTCGCATACGAGGCCGGTGTACAGGGCATCGTCCTCTCCAACCACGGCGGTCGCCAGCTTGATACAGCACGCTCCGGTCTTGAGGTGCTCGTCGAGGTCGTGGCGGCGCTCAAGGCCCGCGGCTACTTCCCGAGCCCGAACTTTGAGATCTTCGTAGACGGTGGGGTGCGCCGCGCGAGCGACGTGCTCAAGGCACTTGCGCTCGGCGCGAAGGCTGTTGGTGTCGGCCGACCGTTCCTCTACGCGTTCTGCAGCTATGGCCAGGAGGGCGTCGAGAAGGCCATCCAGATCTTCCGGGTAGGTTGACTGCCTACGAAACTCGCGTATGGTGCTGATTGTGGGTTTCTACTTAGGATGAGTTCGAGATGAACATGCGTCTCCTGGGTGCACGTACGATTGATGAGCTCGTGCCGGAGATGGTCGATGCGAGTGCTCTGGCGTCGCATACCGTCGTTACGCCTCAGGACCACCTGTTCACACAGACCTGTACGTGTTCATTTATTTATTCGTTCCGCCCTGCTTGCTTGCTTGCTGACAACAGTGGCGCTTAGACCAACCTCTGTCTGGTGCCAGATTCAACGAGAGCAAGCTGTGAAAAGGACTAAGAGATATCTCGCCTGCGTCCATCTGCATCGTGATACCATTTGTTGTCTGTACATTAGATGTAATTCAGTACATAACATGCTTATTTCTGCTTAAAACATAGGGTATAAGCCGTGAACTAAGAATTATCATGAACTAAGGGATAACTATACATGCAGAGTACTATCTCTTTAAATAGGGATTGCCGTGCGTACATACTACTGCTATAAATGATGAAAGTCACATATTGTTGGTATAACGTGGCAAGGGTATACAATGCACTCGGCCGTCATCCAATTGTTTTCACGGAAGCAAGAACACCGCCGCCAGAGTCGCAGCCCAGCACACGCCCATGATGGTCGTGGCGAAAATACTAGCACTCCGCGGGAGGCGTGACCAGGAGTAGCACAGCACCCCCGCGAGCGCGAGCACGAAGCCCACTGCAGCGAGCCACATGCACAGCGTATGGCAGTGCTCCAGGAGACGTGTTGGCGGGCCCCTGCGGAACGGGCCGACCTGCTCGAGATGCGGGTCCGCGGACCATATGTGGTTCTGCGATTCTTGCGATGACTGTGTCGTTGTCGTCGTCGTCTCCCCGCCCGCTTCAACCTTACGTTCTTCCCGCTTTGCCTCCCTCAATCGATATCGGATCAAGAAAAAAGCAGCGAGGAATGAGATGATCGCTGCGGATCCCAAAGACACAACTACATGAGCTATCTGGGAGGCTGTTAAAGAAGTTGATGGACTGACCTGCGCATAGATGGATTACTAATGCTCCTACGAGGCTCGCGTTCGCGGCTTGTTGTATACGAGTGGGCCGTTCGCCGTCATCAGGCATGACAAAGCCTAGTAACTGCGCCTCAGTCGCAGCGAAGAACGTGGCCTGTAAAGATCGTGTCAATCCCGCCCTGTTCGATGCACAGAAGCCAGCTTACAATGACAGATATTAATTGCAAGCGGTCCATCCAAGAATGGACAAGCTCCTTCATGACCTTTCTACGAATCTCTGCATCGGTCTCGTCTTGGTCAATTTGTGTCCCTACGGTTCGACAAATTTATGAGAGAAAGGTGGAATTACACATAGCGTCCATGACTTACATTGTCTTGGTTGATCCGGACCTTTCGCTGAAGCATCTCCAAAAGCGTTACTGCTTGCAGACCCAGGGGAGAAAGGTGCTGTGGTATTCGCCAACAGCCACATGGGACTTGCTGTGCGTGAAAGTAGGGCTGGTTCCTCGGACAAGGGATATGCGTGCCCCAGAAAGGGCCTGCCTGAAGTATTGCAGTGAGACTGGCAATACATCCGATCAGTATCCGTGAATCGCATACCTTTCAAGTCTGGAGCCATGACAATAGAGCGGTGGGGAACTAATTACTTCAGCGAAGTCGCAGCGAGGTATATAAGGTCAGTCGTAGCCGCCTAGAGAACATCGGCACGATACCGCCTTCGCGACGGTTCCACTATGATAGATCCGAGAACAATGGCGGACGCCAGTGCTCGCATGAGGAGAGGCAGTGACTATATATCCACCATACTGGGCAGCTGCACCGCAGAGACGCTGCCACAATGATCCCTGAAACGAAAAGCGCATGAGCGCCCCGCGGACGATGGGTTGATATGGATGGAACGAACACACGAACCGAACAGCACAATTCAGCCAACCTGTGGATGTGGGACGCCAAGCACCAACTCTATAGGATGCTTTTGATTGGATAGTCACGGGCTCCCCTGCTTCTGAAATACAGCATCGAGTCAGTGTCTCAATTCAGCTGCATCATTTACTCAAGTTATCACAGGAGCGCACTGTGGAGCCTATCTTTCCAGATGACTTGACTTACCAGCACTTCGGACCCAGCCACCCAGAACCGTACAGCATTCCTGCGACAGAACCGCCCTGCTAGAATATGCATATGATTGTGGCTGGCAGTGCAAGCATTCAGTCACCCATAGCAAGTATAGTATCACGTGCATATAGGCGTGAACCACGAGTGGTCCAAGGCAGAAGCTGGCGCCCTTTGGTGAAAAGGTTTGATGTTGAGTCTGTACGTATTCTGTCAGATCAGGAGACTATTATGCAGGAAACTTCTCTGTCATGGAGGTATTGCTGAACCTATGACTACCGCAATGCAATGTCCCACCAGCCAACCTCATCAACCCGAAAGTGGGACAGTAACTTGCCACCGGATCGTTTAATCTTCAGAGGGTCCGCTGGTGAATTGACCTATGCTTCCCTTAAGCCCAGAGGGTTCTATACAACGAGGAAAAACCTCACCGTTGTTGTAATCCAGATAAACAAGTCCACGAGTCCGTCAAAATTCGTTTTCGGACACAATACTGATTTAGCCACCGGGCTGTATCTTTCAAAGTATGTCATACCTCAGGTCAGCTCATTGTAAACGGAAGAACCTGGCATCCATCAACGAAGATGGGCAAAGTTTTCGCACAGCGAAGTGTGTTCAGAATTAGTATGGCGTCGCTGTCGGGTAGAATTTTCAAACATACCATCACGTTCCAAAAGATATCTTCCACCATGTCGATATCGCCACGGCTTGAGAAGGTTCCTCATCTTGGCGCTCGCTTGCGACTGCTTCATTTCATACCACTTCACTGCGATTGGGAAGGAGTGGTGCAATACTGCCACGGGAATTATGTGTATCGAAGTCTTCGTTATCAAGCTGTATGGTTGAAAACTAGCATGCCGATTGTGGAAATGGAATTCAGAATGCGGACGCATTTCGCATGGAGGTCAAATAAAGCTTGTTCTGAGCAGATGGCTGCCTTACAACAACCTGGACACCAAATTTTGATCTCGTTCACGAAGCGAAAATCGGACGAGCCAGAACGTGAAGTACGCTTGGATCCTCATTGATCTGACGGCTCGACATGCATCGCACCAGATGACCCTCCGATACCACAGAAAATCTAATACAGGCTCACTGGGAGCGCGACACGTTCTTGAAGTCTGCTCGCCCATCAATGCTGCGAGACTAGTAGGATAACCTCTACAATTCATATAGTATCCAGGCAGGGATGCATGTCTAAAAGTCACAAGGAAATCAGACAGAGTCAGTATTGAAGCATAGTATGTTGCTGAGGAGAACAACAACAGCGAGGGGCTCCAGAGTCCAGACGCCCGTGTGGGCCACAATTGCATCACGTGCGCTGCTCAACGGGCGCCAAGTCTTTCGAGCCCAGCGAAAGTGCTCATCCTGCTCCTAAGCTCAAGTTCAAAAGGCCTTCTTATATAGTGCACATAAATACTAAGTACTACATGATCTTCCTTGGAACGTGCCTCTGGTATTAACTGTGCGCTTGAATATCTCTTCGAGCAAGTCATCATGGTCTGCCTGCCACCACGGACTGCTCCCAAATGACCCATGCTTCGTGTCTGAAAGCTGCCACAGCCTCTGCATCTCCTTCTCTGTCCGGCCTCATGCCCCGTCGCTCCAGTTCCATGGCCAAATCACTGAACCCGACTGCGCAATTGTGGTGTCCCTGCGGGAACGCTGCGACCGCCTCTCGATGCGTGAAGATGGCTTCGAGATACTCGCCGCCCGTGGTTGGGTATTGTCCTGCTTGTACTTGTCCTCGCAACGCTTGCAGTAGTGCGCATCCGCTGGATGGCGGCATACCTGCGCTCGCGATGTACCTTGAGGATCCCGATGGGCTGGGCTATGATGACCGGCTCGTTAGAAGGTTGACTTCTCGACAATTGTCCACATGAATACAGACCCGGTAGCTCGAGTCTTCTCCGTCTGACGACGAGTCGGACATTGTTGCGTCTTGGTATTCGGTCTCGTATGCTGGTAACGGCTCTTCGCTTTCCTGCCTCCACGGGCGAACAGAAGTCAGTTCACAGAATAGTATCTTCCCCGAAGAACCACTCACGAACTGCCCGTTGCACCAATTGTTCTCAAGCGTCAGCTTGCCCAACAACTGCGTGAGCTGCATATCGAAGTCCATGCTTCACGGGCTGTTTCAGCCAAGCTCACAAAAGTAAGTATGAGCCAAACTCACACTGGTTTCTGTGGCTGCGATGCTAGTCGGTCAATAGCTGTGGTGGTACGAGGTTTGCAAGCTGTGGGCCGAGGGTCATCGACATCGTGCGGGTAGATGTACTGGTTAGCAGCGCAGGAACACGCGTTTGTGTTGCAGAAGCCTCATTGTCGCATGCCGCCAGAAGCACCTATAATGAGTCAAGCTTTGGTCAAGCTGTTATCGGATCTATGGACATCGCGAGGCAGCCACGCAAGGTCCGAGCCGTCATTTGCCTGCTCTCGTATCTGTCTCATTGTCTCTATATTTATGGGGTTGCCTTTGAATTCGTGGATCGCTGGTGATATGTTTTACAGTCACGTTTTGCCTAGAATCTGCCATGAAATCCAATCGGAAGATCCTGAGGCCGGTCAAGAGTGTAACATGCACGAAATCGGTGATGGTGTGCCGTCAATCTACTACACGAATATCCAACTAGTGTGCTATAGGCGCGAGCGAAGCTGAACTGGGCATGATTAAATGTATTGGGCACACGGTCAAGATGCTTCCGCGCTGTCGTGTGACGCAGTCTTCGACTCCATGCCTACTTTGGATCCACCTTCATGAACGCGTACCATCCGAGGCACTCTGCAATAGAAAGAGCATGCCCGAATACTGTTTATCTTTGCCTTGAGAAACTGTCTATCGGTTGACCATCAGAGGCGTCTTGTCAGGATGAATGACAAGTCCTGCTGAATGAAGCGTATAGCCCGACCGATGCGACACAATACAGGAAGCATGTATTCCTACGCAACACCACTTCAAATTTCGCAGCACGGCATGCAAGCCGAACCACGGATAGGCATCCGCTTCTGGTAAACCTCTCACCGCTGCGGTCTGAAATTTGCTATGCACGGCACGACCTTGCTCTCATTTTGAATGAATCGACTTCAATTGGTCAATGCCCATGCTCGTTCTGTAGGTACACGCCCGTCATTGATTGGATATCTGCGGAGCGCTTTTAGGCTTCGCCGCGTTTGACCGCATCGTCTTCTTCCTCAGTATGGGAAGGAAGCGCTAGGTTTGCGGGTTACATGGTATCTCCTTAGGGTCAGATTTGAAAAGAGGAGGACCAAATCGGACACACCGACATCGGCGGCTTGACACGAACACGTCCAGAGCTAGCATAAGATGGGTCGCGTGGAATCTTGTTCGCGCAGCAACCTTCCAATCATGCCCGCTCTTTTCACCCCGCTCTACATCGACGGCCAAGAGTGTTCAGCGAGCAGCGACGCTTGCTATGAGGTACAGAATTCGTACTCCAAGGAGATCGTCACCCTCGCCTCCTCCGCGTCCAGCCAAGACTGCCAGAACGCCGTTGACGCAGCCGCACGGGCTTTCAATACCTGGGAACGTGTGCCGCTCTCCGCGAAGCGAGACTACTTCCTAAAGGCGGCCGATCTGCTGGAAACCGAAAGGTACAGGGCAAAGGTCAAATTGGCGCTGCAGGAGGAGACGTGCGCCGCAGACTTCCTGGTCGACTTTAACCTCCAGGTTTCAGTGGAGTGGTTGCGCCACATCGCGGGGCTGGTGACTCAGTTGAAGGGCGAGTCTTTTCCGTCGACGATTCCGGGAGGATATGTCATTGCCCAACGAAGGGCTCAGGGTGTCATGTGAGATTCTCCAGACACTTGGAAATGATCATCTGCTCAGATCAACTACAGCCTCGCCGTCGCGCCGTGGAACGCGCCTGTGATCCTGGCAGTTCGTGCAATTGGATATCCGATCATTTGTGGCAACACAGTTGTCTTCAAAACCTCCGAGAATAGCCCACGCACGCAATTTATTATCGCGGAGCTCCTGCATGAAGTAGGCTGCTCTGTCTTGTGCATCGTCTGTCAGCAGAATCATTATCATCTCAACAGGTAGGGTTGCCCAAAGGCGTCCTGAATGTCGTACATATATCGCGAGAAAACGCTCCTGCAATGACTAGCGAAATGATTGCCCACCCTGCAGTGCGGAAGATCAACGTAAGCAAAGACTGCACGAAACGATTGGCGTACTCAATGTCCCCTTCTTCTGTTCTATCCCATAGTTCACGGGGAGCGATCGCGTAGGAAGACTGATAGCCGCAGAAGCCGCCAAGTATCTGAAGCCTTGCGTGTTCGAGCTGGGCGGAAAGGCACCTGTTGTCGTACGTAATCAACCTTCTGAGTGCTCAATGTCCACATCACCTCGTGCAGGTGCTGGAAGGCGCAGACGTACCGAGAGCCGCACGTGCAATCACCTTCTCCGCCCTCTTGCACTCCGGTCAGATCTGTATGTCAACCGAGCGCGTCATCGTGCAACGGCAGGAGGCGCAAAACTTAATTAAAGCCCTCATCGAAGAGTTCAGCAAGTTCAAGTCCGGCGGCCCGGGAGAAAGGCTCTCTGCGCAGTTCACGGAGGCCTCCGCCGCGCATATTGTGGCCATGCTTGCTGAGGCGAAGCAGAATGGCGCACGGTTCCTGCTCGGAGACGGGACCAGAGACGGCCCAGTCGTGCAGCCGCACATTGTCACGGACGTGAAGCCTGGCAACGCTCTTTGGGACCAAGAAAGCTTCGGACCAGGTGTGTGGAAATACAGAGGCTGATTCAGTCTGCTGCTGAGTTGCGTAGTGGTCGTGCTCGTGGAAGTTGATACCATTGACGAGGCGGTCGATTTCGCGAACGCGTCCGACTACACGTTAGTGGGCGCTCTGTGGACGAAAGACCTCAACACAGCAATGGATGTATCTATGCGCATACGATCAGGTCAGAACTGCTCACCACGAACTTTCGGAGCCACTCACCCCCAGCGCCGTTTCCACAGGCTGCGTGAACGTCAACGGCCCCACAGTTCATCTCGAAGACAGAGATCATACAGGCCTCGGGTCAGTGTCTGAATGCTGTCTTTTCATGCTGCAAGAACCTCACATCAGCCATCTATCACATAGCGGAGGATCAGGTTATAGCAATTTTAGTGTCGAGAGCTTTACGGATGTGCGGATGGTCGTGATCCATCCTGCTGACGCTCCTCCGTATCCATTGGTTGGGTGAGGGTGAAGAATGATACTGCGATCCTCCTTTATTCCCAAAGACGATATGATTGCTTGCGCTGTCATTCGTCTCTGCGCTTTGACTAGATGTCGTAAACTCGCCGCGTTCCAGATAGCAAGACGTATTGTAGTGAACACCTGCATGTGTATTGTACGTTCCTTGTACGTTGCAATTTGAATAATCTGGATTGAAGCCTCGTCAGCAAAATCGTCGTCACGGGCCGAGACACAGGGCAAGCCAAACTCAGAGAGAAGATATCATCTCCACGTAGGAGACATAGTCTTCCGGAAGCGCCTAGCATTCAGGAGAACGCATAGCCTCCCGTCAGTACAAGGATGAAGGATTTCGTTTCATCGTCGGTGGATGGGTTGATGGATAAGAGCTCACCTGCTGCACGTGGCGACTTCGACTCCGCGTCTTCGTGAAGTAACGTATGCGCTCAGTGGTTAATAGTGATCAGTGTTGAAGAAAAGAAATTTGCCAGAAAAGTCTGCAAAATGTTCCTTAATGATAAGTTTCTGATTGGGTACTGCTCAAATGATAATTGTCCGTAGCATGAATAGCAAAGCTACAATCGATCTGCATCGTGACAAGTGTACAAGCCCCTGAAAATCATAATTCGTGAGACCAACAATGTATCAACGGCATGAGGATATACACTGGTACCTGAGTCGTCAATGAATATTGCGTTATTAGTTCGTTTCGTGGCTTACGCGCTGCTACAAGAGCACCAGCGTGCCCGCTATCGTGCATACACCAAGGCAGGCTGTGGAGAAGATGCTCACAGCGAGGGGCGTGTGCGCCCACGCATACGCCAAGATGCCAATCAGCCCGCAGACGAAACCAACCGCGGACATCCACACCGCAAGCGTGTGGCAGCGCTGGAGTAACATGATCGGCGGATCCAGAATCTGCTGGGCCAGCTGAGTCGGGGTCAGCGTGGGCGAAGGAACACGGATAGCGGGGAGTTTGCGGAAGCCGCGAAGTTGCAGGCATTGGACGTTGACGCGCTGGTAGATCGCGTCGCAGGGGTCCTGCGACACACTTGAAGCTCCCTCCTTCTTGAAGTCAGCTACGCCTGCAGAGGACGTCGACGGACGGTGCGCGTGCTCATTGGCAAGGGGGTCCCTTTCGACATCGCGAGCGATCGCCTTGTTAGAGGTCGTCCCGTGAACATATTTAGCCTCTTGCTCGTCCGCGTCCACCAGTTGGAGTCTCACGAGAATGAACGATGCGACGAAAGCGATGATCGCGGCGCAGATATGGAAGATGAGTGCTCCTGCGAAGGTTGCGGTCGTCAGCTTGTCCGTGGCGCTCCATGACGTCGAAGGGTCGCCAAGGTGCACCGCAGAGCTGGCGAGGGAGAAGAGGAGTGAGTCAATGGACGCAAAGAACGTCGCCTATAGCACGTCAGACACGGTGCGGGAAAGACGAGAGATCGCGTTGTAAGCTCACAATACCGCTCACGAGAGCCAATCTGTTCAGCCAGATCGTGATCACCTGCAGGATGGCCTGTCTCAACTCGCTGTCCTGGCTGGAGGCGACTGCAGAGGTATTAACATGCGAGACAATAGATTTATGAGCCCATCTGATACGCACACTGACGGAACGGCACCACCAAATCTGTGAGTAGATTTTTCTTCTCGCTGCTGCTCATGGCGTCGCGCTAACGCAATATAGAGAAGAACGAGTGGTGGAGCACTATTCAGGTCGCAAGCCGAGGTATAAATGAACTCTGAGACAGTGCCTCGAGCCAGACATATCTAGGCAACTTGCGCGAGCTTCCATTTCTTTGGTGGGAACATTGACGCTCTGCAAGGCTCTGCAGCAGCATGAATGCCAGTGGTTGCCACCCACAAATCCAGTTATGTCTAAATTCCGGCATGAGCTGTCCATGTTACCCAAGGCAGCTGAAGATCATGCAAGGAGCACAGCAGAGGGGCACTAGTACGTCCGTCGTCGTCGACGGCAGTCTGGGGGAAGCTCTGTCAGAGAGAGAGGCGAGTCGAAAGCGTCACTGATCACACTGTGCCACAAAACGTGACGCTGGCCATCACATATGGCCCGCCGCTGCCAGGCTATCCGCAAAGCTTACAGGTCCACTTAATTGTTCGCTCACGATGCAGGCAGCATATTTCAACAACAAGTTATAGATTCTCTACCAGTCATTTGGCAAAATCCGACAAAATTGGAAGCTGAACAAGGATATGGATATGGATGTAGAGTGAGTCGCTTGCCAGATCGTGGTATAAATGGGTGGGGGCTTCCATTGTAGAGATGCAGATGAGCCAGTGCCTCCGTTAGCGACCATAAGCTTGCGTAAGCCGTGATGAGCGGCCTTGGGTGTTATACCATCGCATCAGCGGAAGCCAAGCCTGCATCGCCCGCTTTCTCTCGGAACTTCGCAACATCCTCCACGTCCTCGGGCCTGCCATGAGGTCGTGAGAACAATGTTGGACAGAAGAGAAATTGCCTGGTAGCAAATGGTTGCATAACTTACTTGATTAGTCCTCTTGCGATCTGTTGCTGGGTAAGCTCCTGCAGATATGGAACCAGCTTCGGGGTATATTTCTCGGCCTTCTTGTACTGCGCGCGTTATGGTGAGACAAAAGCTACAATAGCACTTGCACGTCTGAACACACCTCCATTAGGCCATTGTCGGGTTCGTTGTGAATTTTGCTTAGCAAAGCTGGTACCAGAGGGCTGTCGGCTAGGTCGCCAATCTTTGTCAAAACGGGATGGCTTCCAGCATCGCAGATTGATCAGTGCTCGACCGCACAGATGAAGGTCGATCTTTCGCTTACACGCCGAACATAATACCCCTTGTTCTAGGGAGCTTGCGGAACGTCTGATGGTCGATACGTAGGTATAAGTCCTTCGGATGCATGTCTTCAGGCATCGACCCGGAGATGATATTATCTATTACATATCACCATTCACTGTGAGTTTACCGCTTTGTCGGCCTCAATTCAGGCATTTCAATACTCACGCCAGAACAACTCGCGATCGTCTACGATCATCCAGCTCGCGCGCTCAAACGGACGGTCAGGCGCAAAGCGCGTCATGGTGCGCTCGACACTCATGAGGATCTTCTTGAACTGCGGGACGTCAGCATGCAGCTGGTGGATCGGCTGACCAATCTTCTCCGACAAAAGATAGGATCCTGCGACGGGAATTAGACCATGGTTGCAAGTAGGACGTTGGTACTGGCAGATGAAGACACGCACCAGGGAAGACGATCAATCCACCGACGAGATACACCTTCCCATCCTCGCGCTCTCTCCCCATCAAGAAGTCATCCTGCACTAGTCTACGCTCATTAGCTCTCACATCTATGCCACTTCCGAGATCTCGGCCCGGAATCGGTGGACATACCTAGACACAATCATCAACGCGTCAACGCCCTTGATATCCCTCACATCGGGAAAACGCTCTCCTGTCACCTTGTTGACGATGCCGATGGGATATGTTCGTTGGCTGCCTCCCTTCTCTCCTGCGCCTCTTTCAAGCCAAATTGCGTCAAAAAGCGTGGGGAATCGCTTCGGCAGGTAGTCCACGAGAGTCTCGAGCAGTTCGTTGCATGCAGCGTCGTTCTCGGGGAGAGAGTCTATAACCACTTTGCCTGCATGACATTGATTAGCACTGCAAGAGCAAGAACGTCGGAATACCGAAAGCAGTATGTCCAGTCCATACAACTTTCAAGATGCAAATCCCTTGAACAGACGTTCATTCAATGACACGAATCGGGCGATACTGACCTTGCTCCCTAATGACTCTTGCCTTCTCATCCAGATACCACTGGTAGTCCTTGTCGATCTCGATCCAATCGTTAATGTGCATTGGCTGATGCGCCATCGTCTCGAGAACCACAGAACCCATCAGTATCCTTAGGGCTACGGGTGACAGCGCAGATCTGAATGATCGAACTTGCTACTTACCTGGAAATATGGATACCGCAGGACCTTGTTAACGTACACATAGTCCCGCACCGTCGCCTTGCTCAAGTCTAAGTCTAGCAGCGGATCAGGATCAGGAAGATATCCAGGTCCGGTCGCATCCCTTGAACCGCCCTCGGGCTTTCCAGGCCCGTAGCGCAAAGCCTTCGGGACATTCTTCCCCGAGCTGGCGACATGGGAGAGGGGTGGCGCTGCTGCGCCGCTGACAGATGCCGCCGAGGTTCGGGAGCGTCTTTTCAGCACTAGGTAGAGTACACCCCCATGGATCAGCAGCAGGCTGAGTCCGATGGCATCCTTCCAATCAAATGCGATTGTGAGCTGCTCATCCACAAATTGGAGTCCCATCTTTGCCTCAAGACGAAGCAGAAGTATTGCGTCAAGTTGGCAAAATACAGAGTGAACCAATGGAAAGTGCAGATCTCAAAGGACGTCCACTACTGCCGCTTATGTTGAGCGAATGCTGCAGCCAGTGCAGGGAAGAGAGATAGCGACTCACTTCTCAGAAAGCTGGAGGCCTGATATACAGGGTAGTGCTTATCACTCCTCCACTGCGCGCGTGGAGGCCTTCTGTGACAAAGAAGGGAATGTCAATCTTGATAGAGCATGACAAAAGTCTATTCAGAACTATGGAATGACTCGTGCCAGTGCTGATAGGGACGTCAACGCCCAAGAGAGGTGATTTGTCTCGCACAAGGAGCAGCCGAGATACGATAGCCACCAGAGCGCGGAAGCAAAGCAACAATTACGTTGGCAGAATATTGCAAACAGAACCTTCGTTGTTGATCTCGTATGGACGTAAAACATTTGAGCTGTTGAGGCGGCGGTTGTTGACCCATGTGAACTTTTGCCATTGGCCCTGGTCGGCTGCAACTCTTCCTATCACCTGGCAGTGGTGACGCACGAGCAATATTTAGTTCCGATGCACGCGCGCGCAAATTCCCATGCCTGAACGCAGATCTTCTCAGACGTTCACGTCCAAATTATTCAACTTCTTGCTCCGCGTGGACGTACATAACATTACCTCAAGTACTGCGATTTTCAGTTGAACATTGACAGACAACAGGATGATTGTGGTTTCATCGCAATCACATACGCGCTGGTGCTTGGAACTTGTGGAACTTGTAGAGGCCATCTTGAGCTCAATCATTAGGAAAACAATCCCTCCTTCTAGGGTGGCAAGCAGACATACCCAGACTCGCAAAGACGTGTCGCGGTCCGATCAGTGACCAGTGAACTCTCACTCGACTTCTTATGGTACCGGATAGACTCTGTATTTCATCTTGTGTAGCGCATGATTCGGTTCGGGACCAAGACGCCAAGGATACTCTGGTCCGTCCCATGGCATTGCCACGTCTCGTTGATTCTCACCAGCTTTCCTCGTCCACATGTTCACGAGGCGGCCGTCCACTCAGGACCGGCTTCGATTCGACGTATATGCGAAATGCGTGCGCGTGTATTTCGAGCGCATCCTCGCTCCGACCGCGACTGCAAGTCCTACCGCAGACGAATGCTGTAACAGGCGCATCATGCGCCTGGGTGTCGGCTGCTCTATGATAGAGCATACTGTCGCACCTGCACCGTGTTTGCGCAGCTTGTTTCCCAATTGACGTTTGTCGGGTCTGGATTCTGCGCCTGTCATCAGGCTCTGAGGGCGAAGTGGGTCGATGTCGCCATGTCGCCAGTTGGCTATCAAGAGCTGGTGAAGTTGCCATGACACCTTGTCCGATGATGAACTCGATGTAGGCCGAGTTTGACCATACTTTGACCGTGTCCTCCTGAATGAACAAGTAAGTACCAGTTCTTCCCATGCTGAGTGAGTTACGAGTCAAATTCAGACCAGACCCGAAGTTGCACGAATCAATATCATTAGAACACAAAAGCACCACTGGTGAGTCACTATTCACATAGTCATTCAAAGTTTGCACACGCAGATGTCGACATCTGCGTTTTCGTCGAGTCGTCAACACACACTGCATCGCATGACGTGGTACTGCGCCGTCAAATATCCCGGGAGACTTCAACGTTATTCTGCTGATGAGCCTCGACTATTTCATGTCTTGGAGTACCCAATGACAACTAATGAAAATCGCCGGCCTCGAGGCAGGTCAATATCATCCAATCGACGGAACTCGAAGTCCAGCGAGTTAGCACAACCCATTCCATACTTACATAGCATCGATGCGTGAGACATTTGGCATTCTGCAGGAAAAGGTCCCCGCTACCGTGGGGACTTGAGCTAAAACTGCGACTGCGGCGCAGTCATTGGCTGGAAAAATCGCATTTTATAAGCATCCAAACGAGCGACGAGAGAAACGACAGGACAGCACAGAGGTGCAGAAGAACAGAGTCGAACATCATTCGGCTGAGGTATGCATGGGTCGAACCAGCGTATATCTATTCATGCGAGTCCATCAGTCGTCGATGTGCGTCAAAATCCCAAGCACGTACGTACGTATGTAGATGATACCGAATATGCGCTCTGTGACTATGAAAGTAATAAAAACTATAGTATAACAGAAGGGGGGGATACGGTGAAGCAAGGCTGACAGACAAAAGGGCCAAGGCCCAAGAGGTACATGACAGAAGCAAACACATGGTATAGAGAATCAACGAGGGAGTGTGAACCATGTTGCCTAGTGGTATGTGGGGTGCCATATCGTCAGTCAGCCAGAGCAACTAGCAGTTCGAAAGTCCATCCACCAACAGTCACCACGACCGCACCGAGCAGCAAGCAACCATCCCTCCTTGATTCCTTCGCCACTGGCACAAAAATCTGCAGACACAAATAGGGACACATAGGCCATCAACAGGATATACAAACAGGCACCCGCACAAGAGCACGCGACGGGCACTTTTGACTGCCTGCCCACGAATATGAGCGCCTTAGAGCGCAAGCGCGGCGAGCACCAACGGAATGACACTCAAGCCGCCAACGACGATGTTTCGATCGGCGGCAGAAGAGGAAGTCGTCGCGGTCGAGCTGGAGGACGAAGACGAGCCAGACCCAGACTTGGACCCAGAGCTGCCGCTCGACGCGCCGCCGGTTGAGGTGGCACTAGAGGACGCGCTGGAGGACGTCGCAGTGCCATTCAGACGCTTGGCATTGCGCTACAAGATGTATTGTCAGCCACCTTTCGGGCAGTGACGACGGAGCGATCAGCTTACGATGAAACCGAGCAGCGTCTGCGTCGAGCTGTCATTCGCGTTGATCACACCGACACCACCCTCGCCACACGTGTTGTAGTCGAAGAACCATATGCTGTCGTTGCTCGTGATGGGGACCGTCAGCTGCGTGATGGCCGTCTCGTTGCCTGCATCGCGGAAGCCCGAGTTGAAACCGTTGATCGTGGAGTTGACCTCGTTCGCCACAATGCAGGGCGAGGCGAACGTCGACTGAGTCGCTGTGTGGTTGCCGGTGGTGACTATGCAGCGGAGGGGAGATAGTGCGTCAGAATCGACCATTCCAGCCCTTCATTTTTGATGGTCGCCACATACAGTTAAAGACCACGGTATCACCAATGACAGCGTGCACTTCCCCAGGTTGGAACACCAGGCTGGCGTTAGTGGTGGTGTTGAGGCCAACTGTGATGTTCCACTGCGTTGCAGACACAACAGACGCGGCCAGCTAGAGTACGTCGCGCAAAGATAACCACCTTATCAGCGCCGCGCCCGTCGTCGCACTCGAAGACGAGAGAACTTACAGCAGAGACGGCGAGCGAGAGTGCGTACATCTTGTCAACGGAAAATTGCTTGACAAAGAGGGCGACGACGACGGCCTGAGCAAAGGGACGAGGTAGTGAGCGGATGGACCGAAAGGCAAGAGGGTAAAGAGGCGGACATTCAACTCGAGGCTATTGAGCATTGTGCCACGTGATCTAAGGATCAAACCCTGCGAGAAAATTGATCTGCCGGGTAATGCCAGGAACATGGAAGGACAAAAATATCTCCGGGGACGCTGCTGATTGGCCAAAATATGTCACGTGATATACGACAACCTTAATGAGGCAACAGAGATACTTTAGGCTAAACGATGAATGCCAGGGTTGCGGCTGAAGCGCGGCGCTACAAGACTACCGAGCTAAATATTGCCCGTGAAACGTCAACGCTATAAAGGGGCCGCAGACACGAGGACCACGCTGAATGCACACCAAGGATGCTTCGTTGCCCAGGGCCACGCTCATAGCACAGGATGTGCCAGAATGTACGCAAACATGACGATGATCTCGCTCCAGCTACAGTCTCACCAGCATTCAAGAAATAGTAGTGTGACGTCCAGCGACGTAGCCGTGTGGAAGCGGCAGGTTGTTCTCTCAGTGATGGGATCACGGGTGATGCCACGAGCGATCGAGATAGCGTGGACAGGAGGCGCCGAGACGGAACTGAGGCGTCTGCCATGCACTGAGCTAATAGACTGCGCATGAATTCTGAATTTGAAGATACGCTGCGGAAGCCAGCAGAGCAGGCCAGGACACCACCAACGAGCATCAGGTGCGAGCTCGCGCCGACGACTTGCCTAACGGCAGCCTTCTCGCGAGCGTGTGTGCGACTGTCTGATGCAGAGCGCGGAACCGAGCAACGATGTCTCACGAGACAGCCGTCGGTCCCGCTAGGCGCCAAGGCAAGCGGAACCCTTCATAAGTACGGGCCCATGCGCAGAGCAGTTGTGAATGCTGGAGGGGGCGCAGTCGCCAACGATGGCTGCGGACAGAACGCATTGGTCACGAACCTGGGCCTTCTAGACGATCGTTGCAAGGACTTCGGTTCAATGCAGTACACCACGCAGCGCCACTGTCGTTGGACGCTGAACGCATGTCGCCCGGTGATCGTTGCATTCCCGCTCATCTATATGAGCGGAAACGTTATTAATAACGGCGAATGACTGTAGCCAAGTAAGCAGAGACGATACCACGCTGAACACCCGTTTCAACAATCACAACTGCTGTGTCATGACAGCTGCACCGACTAGAACTGATCAGTACCGAGACGATACATGACACAAGACGACCCCAGCTCGCCCGAGAGGGCAGCCTTGACCACCCTGACGAAAAATGGTGGCCATGAGCAAGGTCAGGTTGCAAGGCGATATGAACAACAGGTGTTACACAGCCATGGCAGAATAAACAAGCAGTCTGTAGCACAATGTAGACAGTTATCTGAAAGCCAAGAGCAGTGCCCCAGTGCTTGAGCAGTCCAGTGTGAGAAAGAGGAGTCAAGCAATGTTGCGCGGGATGTTCGTCAGTCGACATAGACAATACGCAGTTGAACTTGACGAACCGCGCTCGGAGCATCGTTACGAGCATGCACACCGTTTGCGCTAGCTGTTGCCTAGTTACGCTAGTACGGTCGACGAGCTGTCGTCCATCCACGGCGATCAACATTTGGCCAAGGATGTAGCAAATGCATCCAGACCGTAGGACCGGGTCGCCAGACCAAGGTAGGTTGACAGGCGTGCACCTTGAACTCTGTCTTGCGGTATATGAGGCTAGGCTGTGCTGCGTTTGCTACTGCGGCGGCCATTGATCTGCGCATTGTCGGCCCATGGAAAGCATGCGAGCACCGATACGACGAGGATACGCCGGCGGATTTCGATTGAATGAGCGTCAAGTTGTGTTCACATGGCCACTTCACGAGTTGATGTCTGTCGTGCAGCATAAAGCAGTTCAGTGAGCAAATGAGTCAAAGACAGCGGATACTCACCACCGGGGAAATCAGAAAACCATACTGCTGGTCGAAAATGAGGTTGGTCAGGGAACGTCATCTTCGGCGAGTCACCCAGCAGCATCGTGTTGGATCTTCTCCCTGATCTAAGGAAACCCGGTCGTCACTGCTACTGGAAAAGTTGTACCTTACCAGACCAGGACTTCTGCTTCTACAACACGGAAGTAACCAAGTTGCAGCATTTCTTTTCTGCTTTCTGCTACGAGCCTGCGCCACAGCTTGCGCCATCGGCGCACGTGGCCCTGAACAAAGGTGAACCCATATGAGGAAACTGAGAAGGGTTCACGCTCTGCCTCGTGCCCGGGCAGAAAGGCAATTCTTGTAGTCGGCTGCATGTTCTCGACTTCGTCGTCCCAAATCGTGTGTGCCGTCGCAAGAGAATGCCCGCCAGGACGCCTACGACGCTGTGAATTTCTGCTTCCGATTACGATCGCAATTTCGTGCACACAAGCGCACTACTCAATTCGGAGCAGCTATTTCGTCGGCTAGCCTGGCGCTCCAGTAGGCGTTGTGGGCCATGCCCCAGTTTGTGCTCTGCTTTCAGAACAATGTGGGCACATCCTCCATGTGGTAGGTCGTATAAATCTCCGTCTTGTTCCCTCATCATGCCCTCCAGCTGACTTTCGAAGCTTGCAGCCGGGTCTTTCTCTGTCCCCCCTTCAAAGCATCGTCGATCGTCCAAGCTGTCATTTGGTGCCTAGCACATCCCAAATCGACCGCTGACACATACCCGCTCTCTTGGTCCCTGAGCCATAATGGTCGCCACTTTCATTTTAACACGTACCTTTGCCATCTCGGCGCTGTTCGTCGGTGGTGAGTACTTCGCGATCCACAGAACCGCACGCGATGCTAACGATGACATAGCTTTTGACCTTGTCCATGCCGCTCCTGTGTCGTATAGCCTTGATGCGAGAGCTGAGCCCAGCATCGAGGAGAGGAACTGTAGATTGCTTGGCTGTCTCTTCGCGAAACCTCACGAGGTATGTTCATCCTTTCTATTTCTTCCTTCGCAAGTCTCTCAATAGGTTGTCATTTCATAGGTTACCTCCGCCGCCTCCTTTTCCGAGGCTGCACCTCCTGATGAAGATACGGTCAAGCGCGAGCTTCAGCGCATGGGACTGCTGTCCGAGCCAATACCAGTCAATTCAGCCGTTGCTGAGCTTGCTGTTCGTATTATCCTATTCATTCTTTAGACGCGGTCCTTATAAGAGTCATTATCAGGTGACGCATTCTGCAAGTGACACAGAGTCCCAGCAAGAACAAGACGCCACAGTCCTTGTCGACGTCGAATACCGCAGTCCAGCGCCTCAGCAGGTACCACCACAGGGTTCAGACGCTTTCGTGTCCTCCCGTGCGAGCACTGCTACATTAGAGATCCTAGAAGAGAACGGACACGATTCCGTTCGCAGTGAAGAAGCCAGCAGAACAGAGGAAGAGCGGAAGTTGAGGATCTTGGAACCCAAGAACGTGCGCGTGCTTGTTGTTTTTCTGATCGTTTCGCAATATTGAGCTGCGACATTCTTGTTCTAGTGTCGACAGGGCGGCTGTCTCTGATCGTGCACGGCTGTGCCGTGCCCTCTGTCTGCTTTGCCCTCAATCTCACCACGCTCCTTCTTACACGCCATCTGAGCAACCAGCTCTTTATTTGGCCGGACCGACTCGCTTCGCTTATTCTCCCTTCGGATCCGGCCGCGCAGATCTCTGCATTTGATATCCGCTCTTCGACTTACGCTACACCATTTTCGCTTTTCGATACACACACATACTATACCTCTTTCCGCCTCGCGGACGATCCTGCATGCAAGACGAGGATCACTTTTCAGCGGGGCTGGTACGATACGGAAGAACAACTGCATACTATTCGATGTTATAGAATTACTGTACTCACTTGTTTATCGAGTTGTATCCTTAGCATTTCATTGTCTATCATCCCTGTATTATTAGTCTCCGTTATTCCCTCAATTTAACCGTGTTCATCCCGGTGCTTTGATCATTCCAGAGTGCAGAAGCGAACGACATAAGGGAGGTATATTGCGACTGTGCATACTTACGCCGATAACGACCGCTCGGTGCCGAGCTTCTCTTGCGTTCAGGGTCTCGGTACACAAATCCTCGTAGCTCGGAGTAGAAGGGTACCGTTCTCGCCGTTGATGCCGGGTTTCAGGAAGCACTGTCACCTCCGGAGGTCTCATAGGCCATTCTAGACTGACTACATTGTGGAGCAAGAAGCTGGCACGACACCTCCGATGATGGACGAACTTGGTGGACATGGTGACCGCAGATAGTACCGCGCACACCCTTTTTACTGCAAGAGTAGCTTCGACATGATTGTATTGCCACTGGTCGCATCTCACAGCCCTTTTCACATCGACGCTTTGGCTTGGATTGAGCTTGCGACCATATGCAAAGCGCACAATACAGCATTGCCGCTATCGGCGCCCTATATCAGCAACTAGAACATGCGGCGTCGAGGATGCATTGTTCTGCTCACAATGTGATGGCCAAGAGGTCCTGACCGAACATCCCCTGCGTCAGTGCAACTCAATCTTGAGTAAACGTATACAGATGTAAGGGTATCTCTGTACTCACAGACTCTGCTGATCCCCATGCAGCGTGACCGTCTCATCATGTTAGGATGCTGATAGCAGCCCGTAATGCAATCAGCAAAACCAGGTCATCTTTCGCAAGGAAGAGTTGCTGTGGGCGCTTGAATTTCCAGATATACCACTTCCGAATGAGAAGCAACCAAACTTCAGTTCTTGGACAAGCGCGCCAAATGATCCTTGCCCGGGTCCTTCATCGGATCAAATGAAACAGGCGCTGCATTCAGGATGATGTTTACATAGACGCATGTACTTCTGGACGAGGTGGAAGGGCCCCACTAACGAGATGCACGATGCAGCAAGAAACCGGCTTCCTGGACCACCTGGTTCTAGATGCAACAGCAACTGATCGGCAAAATCCAATGCTAATAAAGTTGGAAAGAAGGCCGCGGAAAACCCTCAGCGAGAAGAAGCCGTATCAAGCTCTGAGGATTTTTAGTGAAACTTCGCGCTCAAACCAGTTGAGGGAAATTTGGCACTATAGGAGTGATCGATCTCGCAGCTTCTACGAGTTCTGAGCTCTTGGATAATGATAACTAGTTTTTTTCCGGAACTTGAAGCACTACGCGTGCTGGACAGCGATTTCTCACAAAATTTGAGAAGATGACTGACTGAGTCCCGATGTCGACGTGGCAGGGAAAAATCGAAAGTATTCCAGGATCGGACAGCTAGCACAGATCTTCTAGCCGTATCGGAAATGATGGTCACTGGCAAGCGTGGGAGTTGCAAAACAAAGGCATGTACACATACCTACTTGGGGGATTCGTTCGGAACAGTCGTGCGAATTTCCTAAACGGAAACTGTTGTAGTCTGTTGTAGTATGAGCGGCAGCGAGCCATCACGGACGTACTGCCGTCGCGGTGGCTGCATAAGCAATTCACTCATTCGGGCCATACCTTCAAATTTCAATGCCTACTGCGCAGGGTCTATTTGTGTTCATCATGCTGGTTCCGCGTGCCTTGCCTGCGAGAGCATGCGTCATGGGGGGACGAGGTGGAAATAGCACTGCGGTATATAACTTTGCGAGACTTGTTGCTACGCTCATGGTGTTAGTGGCATTGACTGTCGAATTATCGTTCAACTCGAGCCAGCTTTGAGCATCATTCTCAGCACTAGCTTTACCTAGCAACTCTCAAGTTGCACTGCCATCCTTCCGAGTCCCGTTGAGTATCATGGTTGCCTCGTTCATTCCCTTTCGAGCCTTTGCTATTTCTGCTCTGCTTGTCGGTGGTAAGCAACCCGCTGGCTTCATTTGCTTCTGTGCACTGGGCCATGACTGACTCCTCGGGTATGGCCCATAGCTTTCTCGCCAGCCTGCCGCACGGCTCCCGTGCCAACTGCTCTCAAGACACGAGGAGTTGAAGAGAGAAACTGCAGGATATTAGGCTGTCTTTTCGCTGAATCGGTCTGCAAGTCCTCGTCATAAATACCTATCATGATGCTCATTTGAATGCCAGCATCCTATCAAGTTGCTTTCTGAACGTGAAAATGAGTCATTGAACGCAGTGAACACTGCTGTACCATTGGCTATTATTCCAGAAGACCTAGAATTGGCAGCAAAGTCCAGCAGAAGTGTAGGTTCGTTTGCGGTCACTGCTCCACAACCTCAGTGCTGAGATTCGTTGTAGACACTGATAGCCCACATGATTGAGCCTACCCTGTCACTGGACGTTGCAGTAAGTGTGCTCGTCAGATATCTTTGTTAACTATGGGCCGATACAGTATCACCTAGGAGCCTTCGGGCGATGCGGTTATTACACAGAGATCGGTCACAAGTTGAATCACGGACATATACGGTGTAAGAAGAACTCTGCAATCCTCTGACACCGACTAATACTGGCCGTACGTCATGTCCCTATTTTGCTCCATTCAACGACTTACGTCTCAGCAAAGTCTAGATTTCCTTCCATATCGCTACCGTGCAGAAGGCGCGGCCTTGCGCCTTTCGATAATTATAAATCGCTGCTTCGTCTATCACATTCGTTTTCGCAGCCTGGCCCAACGGTAGATCCCCAGTTTGAAATCCCCTGGAACATACTCTCATCATATCCGCCGTGTAATACGTTCCAACGTCACCTACCGAGCTCATCAGGCCCGATAGCTGCAGCACAGGTGCGCAGCTGTCACAAGGTCATCGTAGCCTGCAAGTCGTCCGCTTGGAGCCTATTCATCGTTTTGTTGTCTGTTGTGCATCATTGGAATACTGTGTAGTCCTATGTCGTCTTGCTCGCCATCGCTACCAAACTGTATGCGAGCGTTCAGTGCGGCTCATGTAGCTTAATCGATGTATGTCACAATCATAACATCAGGCTGGTTCGGGCGCGCTGCAGGTGTCTTCCTTACAGTATGCGGCCCCTTTGAGACGTTGAAGATGGCAATCGTCGCACGGGCGACCCCTACGAAATCCTACATCTCTAAAGGCGCGCCGCTGCTCATTTCGTGAATTCAATGCGCTGACGCGCCGTGCACAAGGCCAATAAGCAAACACAGCAATATGTGACGAATCAGCAACGGCAAGGCATTCACGAAGCAAAGCAAGATAAAAATAACATGCGATAGTTCGGACTACCCAGGCAGACTTGCATCTGAACAAGAATGTCACATAGGCATCCAAAGCACAGCGATCGTTGAGTATCATTTCTTTTGACTTCTTGTGCCCATTCAGGCAACGCCATGCCTGTGAGACGCCAAATGTATACTGACGCATTGATATTCATACTCGCAGTGATGTCGCCGTTTGCAGCCACTGCGAGCTCGGAGCGATCAGGTTTTTGAACCCCCCGCAGAGATTGAAACTAATTCGCGTGCAGTGCTCTCTCCCATAATCGTTAATGCCTTCCTCCAAAGGTCTATTTCTTTCGCCAAGTTCTTCCCCGCTCGGCGGATATTTGATAAATGGAGTGGCCATGCTTCGCCTCGCTCGGCAATAATCCTCGGCGGTCAGCGGAGGCTCGTGACGAAAGCTCTTGTCCTGGTTCAAAAACGAAGGAGTGAAGATCTTCTTACTGGGGTACCAAGCGCAGCTGCAATGACAGTCTGCGCCTCCTTCACGTTAGACCGATGAAAATCGAATTTATCATGCGGTCCTGGAGGGCAACGCTCGAAGCACAGCGAAACGTTCGTGGCCGAGAACATCTTATTCAACGCCTCTCGCTTGGCCGGGCGAGAAACGTTCGCAGAGTCGAGTGCAAAACGGTATGCGTCAGCGTCGAGGCCATGAGTCTTGTCGTCCAAAGGGTATGCGACGGAACCACCTAGCACTGCAACGGCACCGTTGCTCTCCGGTGCCGGCCCAATTGCTAGGAATTGATAGAATGTCAACTTCTATAGCATATTCGACGAACGTGTAGTTTATGCGTGTCTGGATTTCATGATCCCACACTGCTTGGAAATTGTAATCATAACCCATTCCGGCTCCCCGGTGCTTGCAGGACGCATGCCATTGTCCATCTGCAGCCAAGTCCGATAAGTTAGGTTTGGGTGTATAATGTCGCGATGTGCAACACAACTTTCATCTGGTATGTTGTCGAACGGGACATACCTTCAGAATTGCAATCCAGGCATCTACCTGATTCAGTTGACCAGATTCAGGCCGCCATATGTGCTTGTGAATAATCCCTAGCCCAAACAGCGCACCGTCTTTGTAATCGCAAAACATATTTGCATACAGATTTTGAATCTGCATGGGCATTTTTTGGCAAGAGACACGCTGTTAAGGCATTATTTGAAACTCAGTGTCACTTGATGGTGAAATAGACGTACTAGCGGAAGAGAGGTCTGATGACCTTATCGGAGAACAGAGAAATTAAGTTCAGCCGAACAGCGGATGAGACGACAATATCGAAGTGCCAATGTGTGGTTATGGCTAAGGATGTATTTATAAGTTGTCAAAAAAGTTGACGAAAGCCCAGAACCACTCACCAGTCAGGTTTTCACTGCGAAAGAACGGTATCAGCCTCAAGCATCATGCCTTCAGCTGTCGAGGCTGGAAAATCACCACATCAACGTGAGCAACAGGCCGCCGATGGTTGTACTCTCGTCTGATCCTTTTTTTCTTTATCAACGCATCCACGAACTGAACCTCAGGATACTTGACATCTTCTTCGATGGTTCAGTAGCTTGACTAAGCTCAAAATGTTGGACATAGATGAGTACTGCACTCCCAATCGACAACATTCTCTCACCATGCGTCCAAAAAAATCCGCGTTCTGAATGTGCCTCGGGATCCTTATGAAGATACCTTTATTTCACGGAGGCTTAGTGTAGCCACGCATAGATAATAAGACTTGCAATATACGAGGTGGATGTGCCATCATTGAAAATCACCATGGCAGACTTCCCTTGCCTTCAAATTCATAAGATCTGGTCGTGACACATGTCGGATATATAGGCCAGGATATCCTCAAGATATGGACATTTCCAGAAAGTCTTATATCTTTTTGCAAAGTCTAAATGGTCAAATCGAACGCATTCGTCATCTTGAATTGATCGAAAGGATGCGCCAGGCTGGATCCGCAGGACCGACAGTGCCAATGCTGATCTTTACGTTTTGCCGCCGATTCACCGCGGTTGTTTCTCTGACATTGGAAGGCCGTCCGTTCCCCAAATATTCGACACGCCAGCCAGCTTTATTTTCAAGCCGCTCGAACAACAACCGCGAGATCGGCAACAGCTTCAGCGATGCAATCATGTGGACACCGTGACCCATCGGCGCCGCGCGCCAAAGAACCACTCAGCTCGCTTGTGGATCCACCATGCCATCTGTGATGCGCACAAGGCGTTTGAGCCATCAATGAAGATCACATCATTTGTCATTCTCTTGCAATTATGCAACCCAAAGCCGCTGGCGGGCTCGGATTCCTTTGGCTTCCTACTAGACCTGCAGGATACAGCACATATCAACAGTCATATTATTGCACATTACTGGGCAAACAGAACGTACCCAAGACGTACGAGGTCTGCATTACTTCGTGACTATTCATACAATAGCTCTAAGATGAGGATGGAGGCAATTTGCATCGTTACAGGTAGGCTACAGCAAGTCCAGAAATTATGACAGCATAAAACACCGATCCAGTGGCGCTGTTAAACCGAAATATACAAGCCCGCTATGCAACCTCGCTATATGCAGGGGGCGCTTCGCCGAGCTCGCTCTCTTGCCCCGCGACGAGCCGTCCGAACTGTGTGCCACGCTCGAAGATGGAATCAGTCCGCGAAAGGGCCGGAGTGAGCAAGGTATGTATTGGAACTGGCGGATGGTCGGAGTGTGCGGAAGGGGCGCGTTCAATTTGTCTACGCACGCCGAGCATAAATGTCGACTGGGTCGAGCACTCAGCAACTGTCATAGGGCCACCGTTGTTTTCGGCGGGTGAAGTGTAACTGCATGAGGCGTGATGAGGGGAAAGCGGTTCCGTCGCTCGTGAATACGGGGGGAGGGACAGATAGTCGTGATTGCATAAACACTGCAAGAGAATGCTCATCAGTAAAATGGCATCCGTTTGTGTCACTGAAAATCTCACTGATAAGATGTGTATCGGAGTCTGCACAACGATGTCAAACATTTTCCGCTTTCCTGTATGCGCATCGATTGCCTGATCATCTCCTCGTTCGACTCGGAAGATGATTTTAAGCATATGTGATACGAAGATATTGCTCCGTTTATTCCGGTTCGTGAAGTGCAGCTGGGAGCATGAGTCTGGAAGTTGGATGTCCTTCTTGACTGTCCACGGGCCCGGGCCCATCATATTAGACGCATATTCGCCGGGGTCGTCACTGGGTTCTAGGAGGTCAACAAACGGCGAACGCTCGAATGCATGAGGGTCGTCCGGATCTAAGGGGAGAATTGGAGGTGCATCCTTCTGCGGGTACTTCAGAGACATCAAGGATATCCGGGTGATGGGATCAGTGCGTGCTATTCGTTTGAAATCCGTCCAATAGTCAATGCGCTCTGGTGGCACGCGGCAATACATGTGAGCTAGGGGAAAGACAACGAAAGCCAATGAGCTCTCACCTTCTAGTAGAACGGAGACTCGATAGATCTTCATCTTCGTCCATGGCATAAACGTTATGCTGACCGGCATGATCCCGCCAATCGGGAAGCTACGGCCCGAGATCGTAATGAGATACTGCATTTGTGTATCCCACTGTCGCTCGACGATGATACTCTCCGTGTCCTCAGTATCATCCTCCGAGGGGCATGCAACTACAGCGATTTCCTGTGCTGCCGACAGCTTTGCGGTGAACGTCCCGGGGCGGTGCGCAGTAGCCTTGAGTTTCCAGGTGACGGAACCGTATTCACATTTGAGACTCGGTGGAGAATCGGCCGGAATGGCGAAAGATATCGGATATGTGTAGACACCTACGTACACAGTTCACATCAGCCACAGTTCACAGCAGCACGCCTTTGGGAGCCAGGTGTCACGCACCTTTGCGGAACTCCTTCCATCCATCGCCGTATTCCTTCCCCTCGTCCGAATCCAAGCCGAGCACACCTCCCACCACCCCTAATGCCGACCGTTCCCGATTCGGCGTACTTTCCTCGCTACCGTCTGAGATGACATCTAACGGTCGCTCCCTCGCCCGGCCTCGTGGAGGCGTCACGTCTCCATGATGATCCATCAGGGAAGAGCGCGAGCGCGATCGCACCCGGTCCATGACCACATCCAGCAGTGCACTTGACACGTTCGCCAAGCTGAAGCGCTTATGCTTCCTGCCCCGTCCATCCTCCATCTCGCGGAGGTCCGAGGAGCGCGAGGCCTCTCTCCTTTGAAAGTCAGCTGACCGCGATTGCAAGTGCGCCTGGAACGGGCTAGAACTGCTTCCGAGTATAAATTCGGGTCGTTCCTCTTCAAGGCTGGGACGCGCTGATTGTGTAGTGTTAGTGTCCAGTCGTAGGCTCGATACCGATGAGGCGCCAGCGTGGCCGTTCCGCCGCAATGGCAACGATGTGAAGCCTGAGACGAGGGTTAGGGAATTGTACGAATAAGTAGAACATGAAAGCTCACTGCTATGGTCTCTCTCCAGCTCGGACCTGGCTCCAGTTGTAAGTACATCTATATCCAACGCCGACTCGATGGGGGCCTCCTCTACAGTGTGCATTCGGCGCACGATAGACGTGGTGGGGCTCAACGTAATCGGCGTCAGCGAGTATGATGGCGTGCCCTCAGCCGAGTACGGTGGTGAGTACGGCGGTATCACCAGCGGCAGCCCGTTTTCTCGGTGCGAGACGTAGTCGCGTTGGAAGTTGGTCTGGTCAACGGACTGGTGACGTCTTGTCGTCCGATCAAACCCTGCAGGCGGCGGGTGCAGTGCACGTCCCCGCTGCTCTTCACTTACGTGTCTGTACACGGACGCACCATGCTCATCGCTCGAGTGGTCCGAACGCTCGTCCTCGTCGTGGTCCAGGACGATTCCAGGCCCTACCGAGTGTGTGCGCCGGTTGTTCCTGTACGGCGTTTCTGAGCCCGCGCGGAAGAGGACATACGATTGCGAGTAGATCTCATGCTCTTCAGAAACTTCGATGCGGCGCGCACCAATACCTGCTCCGTGAAGTTATCGGTGCGTAAAAGAGTGTGTCTAGGAAGGCATACCCTCTGGCCAAGCCGTGTTCGTCTTCCCCACAAGCTCAATCTCAATACTCGAAATCCTTGTGGGCTTGTTGAGTGTAAGGGTCAATAATCCGCGAAGCATCCCGGGAGGCGCATCGATCTGCATGTTGCGTTGCCTGCCGGTAGCATCTCCGGCTCGGAGGAAAACGACCGACTCTGCGAGGCGAATGTCGAGCGCATTCTTTAATGGAGCTTTCTGTATAGGCATGAAATGCTGGCGAGAAGACAGATGAGGGGGTCGCGGGAAATCTTTGGGCGGCGGAAAGGAAATAAATATAGGGCAAGCACGGCGCTCGTGCCTGAGTAAATGGGGAGATCCGCCAACGTAGGAACCTCCAGATCCCGGGCGGCAAGTAGATTCTGCAGAAACCAGATGAAATCAGACTCAATGTTCATAGAAACGATTTGCATGAAGATGCAGGTGTACCTCGAGTCGGAGGCTGTAAGGGAGGAGGAAAACGATCACGAATCATGAAGAGAGCGAATTCACGGACAACCCAGTCACGTATCACGTGACGCACGTTTCGCTCCTGATTTTCGAAGCCGGCGCTTTGTCGACAGCCACGATCATGTCCGATTGTTCGATCTGCATCACGCACATACGAAGAGTATGCTCCAAAGGCAGGCGTATATACAGGTATGACTTGGGTACGTTCTGCACGTCCACCTACAATTCACGAGGCAGCAATTGTGGACTTTGTCATGCTAGGATCTGGACCAATGGAGGCCAATGATCAAGTAATACAGTGAATCTATATTGCCTCCTAAAGCCGCGCCCAGGTATGTTTCCCACGTGGGGGATTTGGTCGCCTTTGGCCAGTTAGACGCTCCTCAGACGCACGGCTGGCTACGGCTGGACACCTTCCGGTAGGCCCTTTGTATACAAGCACGATCTCACATGGCAAATGGTCCTCCACCGGTCGCAGGCCCCACTTCGAGCTTTGCCGACATCTCCATTTGCGACAAGATTTCCGTGAGTTGTTTCCCGGAAAATACGGAGCAGATGCGACTACCTGGTCTCAACTTGCAATTGTAGTTCTCTCTCCGGAAGTCCCATTCATATCGTAGCTCTAGATGTTGAGAGCCTGAGTTCGTCCTGCAACTGATCAGTGCTGGCCGTCACGATCTTACAAGAATTTCTGGTAATCCAAGACGGCGCTAGCAAAGGGAGGGTCCTTGTACCACTGTACACGAAGGGGGCAATGAAATGTATAATATGCGGCTGTATGTGTAAAGACACGACAGCCGGCCCACCTTCGAAGTGCACTTACTTCCGCCGCCGGCGTTGTCACGTATGACGGGGCGTTGGCCCCGTCGACCCCGTGGCAGGTAAGACCAATGACTCTGATTTAGTCAAAGCAGGCAGTGTAAGGCATGTGCATGAACCACAGTACGTTCCATTCCATCTCAACCCTCAGCCACGACAGGGCCAGTACTAGCTGGACCACGCTGTGGATGCAAGAATTGAATATTAGAGTAGACAGTAGTGCGACGAACCTGCAACGCTACAATTAGCACTCTATTAATAGCGACAGTACTACACAGTAGGTAGATTGTGAAGTAAAACTAGAGTATACAACAACAAGACGTCCAACAAGGCGCATAGTATACAATCCAAGATGAGTATAATCCGCACACGGCAAAGGTATCCCTTCCAATGGTAGATACTGAATAAATTAGTTGCAGAGATCAAGTTCAGCACATCTCGAACAAGTCAAGGATGTGCTCGCTTCACTCGAGATCGCATCCAATATTTATGTAGGGCCGAGGGTTGATAGCGGCGTTCCTCCGGATGCGGAAGACAAAGGGCTTTGTTCCTCTTTGAGTGCTTCCCTTCAGTGTCATTCCTTCACAAGAAATCAGTAAACATTCATCAAATTTATCGATCATACTCACTGTTCCTCCAGCTCATCCGCCCCTCGTTTTGTTCCCGTAGGAGGCTTGTGCTGTGTGCCGTTCTCAACGAGCCGTAGATGAGCACTTGGTACAATTCCTTGAGGATTAGCCTGACTCAGTGAGCATCGGAGCTCCTTGTCTCCCTCGACCCCTCCTTCCCGACCCTTCACTTCATTCTCATTCCCCTCACCCACTGTTCCGCCCTCCTTCCGCTCTGTCTGCTTCACGGACTTGCCTGCCTCCTTGACAGTATGATTCGCGATAGTTTCTGCTTGCGTTGAAGAGGTGACAGATTGGTTCACAGGCGCGTCTGCATTCTTGGCCCTCTTGACTGCACGCTCGGTCCTCGCCTCATCAAAAACCTCCGACATCGGAGTAAGACGTCTTTTCTTTGGATTCCTCTTCATCTTCTGCTGTCGCTGTTCTCCATAATTTACCGATACAGCGGTTCCGGCTGCCTTTGATGCAGCATCCAACGCATCACGTTCATCCGCACGATATTCCTCGTGTTGTGGCCAAGAGCGAATACTCTCGTTCATAGCAGGTCTCCATGCGATAGAAACGCCATCCGCTGCTGAAGCAAGACCTGCTTCGTTCTCTTCCTCGACCCTCTCCCTCTCATTGTTGTGATCTTCCACGACGGGCGCCTGCTCTGTGATGACATTTCTTTGATCGTCTTCCAAAAGCGAAATCGTTCCTTCCCTTGCTGCGGGTTCTGCTTCTCGGGCCTGGTCCTGTTGCTTCTTTCCATTTTCCCCACTCTCATTCTCACGGCCTTCGTTCTCAAGCTTCTCCTCTTCGGCGAGAAGGATCGATACCTTCTCAGCTTGAGATGCAGCCCCTTCTGCAACCGCCAGTCTTGCGTGCTCCTGGATGAGATAACTTGTCTTCTCGCCCTCTACGGACATATCGGCCCTGTCCGTTACGCGTTGCTCCTGTTCTTCTTCCTCTTGATCATTTGCCGTGACCTCGCCTACCCGCTGACTCCCACGCTCCCTTTGCCTTGTGTGGAGATCGATTACAGACGGCGTATCCTCTTCTGTCGCAAGGTGTCTGCTTTCGTTCGCGACAGACTTCTCTATCTCACCTGATACCGCATTTGATCTCTTCTCTGCGATGATCTCTCTCATCTTCACCGCTGCATTCTCATTAGACGAGTCTGCCATAGTAGCAGTCTGCTTGGTTGTTACAAGTGTCCTTTCCTCTTCTGTGATATCGAAAAGTGCTTCCCAATAGATCAAAAAATCTTCCAAGCTCTTCTCCTCCCTGCCAGCGGTAAGTTCATCAGAAGGGTATATATCAAATCATGCGAAGGCCCATACATCTCCTCCTCCACCCACCGCATGAACCGCTCGCTTCTATGAGCGACCGGTGATTTGTGCAGCTCTGCACCTACAGCAACCTCCGCAGGCGCAGTAGGAGCTACGCCAACGTGTTCCACGGCATTCTCGGGTGACACGCCCTGCATTACCGCACGCTCAATGCTCACCGCCTCAGCAAGTGTCGGTTCCGCATCTTTGCCGTGTTTCTCGCGCCATATCCGCAGAGCCTTCTTGTCCAGATCTGGCTCCAAACGCGAGGAGCTCGCATCAGTCCTTATCGGCAGCGCGCGGTGCAATCTGGAGCTCTCTCCTACAGAGTAGTTGTGCTCTAGTTCCTGCAATGACAGCCTGATGGCTGCCTGGTAGTCTGCGTCTTCTTGATCTGAGTATGCCTCGGTGCCGAAGGGACGTGCGCCTGATTCTTTGGCCAAGCGGATCCCAGGCAGCGCTTCTCCAGAGTGCTGCTCCTGAAGTGACAACCTGATGGCGGCTTGCATATCTGCATCTTCGCCGCTCGAGTACACCTCTGGGTGAGGGGGAACTGCATCTGCTCTCATCTTCTCCACTGATCGTGACGTGGAACCATTTCCACCAGACGGATTCCCCACTTGGTCCTGCAAGGACAACTGAATAGCAAGTTGCATCTCCGCATCATCATCACCGGACAAGGGTTCCACACGTGAGGGATCAGCATCGCCTGCTGCTTTTTCGGCGGGCAGGCGTGATGCGACACGTTCTTCCTCTGCCTGGTCACCTTGTTGATTCTGTAGTGATATTTCGGCAGCTGGCTGCATGTCTACATCTACATCCTGATTGGTGAACGTTGGCTCCATATGCGAGACTCCTGAGTCATTTTTCATTCTCTTGGGGACGCGAGGTTCAGGACTTAGTCCTCCCGAGCGACTGCGCTTGTGCGTTTGCTCGAATGACTGATCAGCTGCTCGAGGCTCTACATTCATGAAGTCAGCGCTGCCGGAGTGCTCCGGCAATGCCCAGACAGGCGGCTGCATGAACGCTGGCATGCCCGCTTTTTCTCTGAGCTGCTCCCGGTCCTCGATGGATGGATCGTCGTCTGGCACAAATCCATCCCTGATGGCTGCTCGTCGCACCCACTCAGATGAGTACAAACTTCGCCTCTTTCGCTTGAGATGCTGCACCGGAGATGCTGGTCTCTCAATGTTGTCCGGTGATTGGCGTGCCTCCTCATCATTTGGCTGCTGTGAGGAGCCATCCATTCTGATGTCCTGGTCCGCATGCGCTGCCCCCTCTCCTTCTTCTGGTGGCATCCAGGACATCGATCCGTCCCAAAGGCTCGGAGTCTTCTTCATTTGTTCCATGAAGTGGCGTTCGATTGCACGGCGCCCGCGCTGCATGTTGGCGAGCCGCTTGGCCATGTCTTTGAGGGTTTTGTCGTTCGCATCGATAACGAGCTCCATGACATCCATCGTGTGATCGTGCTTCTGGAATGCATCGACGCGATCCGTCAGTGAACGCAAGATTGCGCGAACTTCTTTGTCCGTGGCGCCATGAATGATTGGTAGGCCGTCTTCGCCGAGGTAGACACGGCGTTTCGTTGGATCCAAGCGCGGCCCAGTGGAAGGGCCCGACTGCTGATTGATGCGCGCCGAGACTGGCTCAGGCTTTATTTGAACTGAGGAGTCTATAACAAACGTATGAGTAGCTCGTAATACGCAATGTTGTACGCGCTTACCTGAAGCAGCGGCCGTTGTGACACCGATAGAACCCTGCAGCTCACCGGCCTGCACGTCAACGTCGTCTACATCGATTGCTTGCGGTTCTCCTTCACCCTGCGGACCTGTGTGTTGCGAGCGCTCTTCTTCGTCACCACCCTCGCCTTCATTTTCCTCGCTTTGGTCTTCGTCGTCATCCTCATCATCGTCGATCTCAATATATGGCCGACCTTCCTCGTCCAACTTTGCACCCCAGACGGCGAGATGTGGCGAATCCTCTAAGTCCGCGGATTCGGCCTCGTATGCCTCCGGGTCACCTTCGTGCGGGTATCCTTCGCCTTCATCGTAAGTGCCCTGGGGCGCGTGCAGTGAGTCTTCATCCCCTCGGTTGACGGAGCCGTGCCGGTTGTTGCCGTCTTGACCAACGACATCTTCGTGTTCGGAGTGCAATTCGTGCCACTCTTCGTTTCGATTGCTTGCTCCCAAACCGTCATCAGTGATATAATCCTTTTGAGAGCGACGATGTGATCCCTGTCCCTCGTCCTTTTCCCGGGTCTTCTTGTTCTTCTCGTTCACACCCTTGCCGTCGACTTCCCGGTTTCTTTCCGGCTTCCCCTCTCCCTCTTTTGAACCAGGGAGACCGCCTTTCCCATTATCGGTAACATATGAGTCGCCGTGTGCCCGCCCGGTCATTTCATACCCGAACACCTCGTCACTTTCCTTACAGGCGCGGAGCCATACATCTTCAAGGTCGTCGCGCCCATCAAAGTCGGGATCCAGCTGACGAGCACGACGGAACCGCCATTTTGATATCTCCCGAGATTTTTGTATGTCCCGCACAGCCGTATTGACGTAGAAGCCGTGCTTCGATTGGCCATTCCAAGAGTCGTAGCTGCGCTCAGAGTTTGACAGGTAAAAATGACGCTCTCGCCCATTGACTTCGTCCGACGCTTGCGAGCTCGTCTCATCCTCGCACTCTTCCGCATGTTCCAACCGACGGGCGATCCGCGTCCGCTCCTTATCCTCTCGTGAGGGCTCCTCGTCCACACACATGCGGGCTTGCGCTCGGCGGGTCCTTTCTGCACCGTCTGTCTCGCTTCCACTGTCGGAAGTTGTCTCGGCTTCATCGTCGCCGTCTTCAGCTCCACTGAATAAGAGACAGCGCTCCACAAACGATTTAAAGGCAGGCGGTTTCACCTTGGGGATATCGACTTCTATGTCTGGAATGTATTCCTTGTCACTGGTGGATGATTCCTCGCCGTCTCCGGGAAGCTCCTCCTTGTCGGCTGTAGACGATTGCTCCTCAGCATCAGAAGGCTCTTCTTCGTTGCTGGTTGACAAGTCATCCTCGTCACCGTCATAACGACTCTCCTCATCAACGAAGGACAAATCATCCTCGTCCACGGGGACTTCGTCCTCATTGCTGATGGACAACACTTCCTCCTCAGCAGCGGAGGACAACGCATCCTCCTCGTCGCCGGTAGACGGATCGACGTCCTCCTGAACAATCGCAACCTCTTCATTGGACTCGCTTTCCACATCATGCGAATGTTCATCATCAGCGGACGTTCTTTCATCGTCGCCGTATACGTCTTCCGCGTCGCTGGTGAATGTACCTTCTTGTTCGTCAGCGGACCGCTCTTTGTCATCGCTCATGGATAATTCCTCCTCGCCATCGATGGACTCTCGCTCTTCAACACTGGTTTCCTCATACTCAACCCTGAATAGCCAACTGGCTTCTTTTGAAACAGCTTTGGTATACGGCTCGGGAAACCAGTCTCCGTCACTCGTGAACGCGTCTTCCTCGCCAGATGAATCGTGCTTGTTGCTGAGGGATGAGCCCTCTACGCTGTCGCTGCCGGATGATTCCTCGTCCTCGTCGTTAGTGAACTCCGCTTCCTCGTCACTGGTCTGCGTTTGCAGCCACCAGCTCTTAGGTTCCGAGTTTTTTTGTTGTTCATCTAGACGGTTTAGTATGACCCGAGGCCCATCATCGATCTGCATCATGACATCCTCTGGCTCTTGCTTGATCACGACGGGCGCGCCTTCGTCCATCGGATCGCCGTCAGGCTGCTCTAACCTGCGACATCGTGAAGCTCTAGGACGCACTTCCCAGCCCCCAGGAACTACTCACGGTGGAACACCATGGGGGTATTTCAGCAGCAGCTCTTGGATGATTACGAAAGTCTTTGCGTTTGCCTTGATGTGCTCTCGCTGGTACGACATGTTCGGAGGAATGCCATTGCCCATGAGAAGAATGGAACTCACCTTCGCAAGATCTTGCAGTTGCCGACGCGAAAGCTGCTCGAGTTGCGTCGAGTCCATCCTATCGCATACTAATGCTTGTATTAGATGATGTTCAGTGGGAGCCGTGAGCGGCAGCTTACTTGTGGCCACCTCCGAGATGCCCGCGCCCCGGTGGCGTGAAATCAACTAATCCACGTGATCGTGGTATAGTCAAAATAATGTTTATTATGTTTTATAAGATCATTACGGTTTTGGTTTTCAATTATGACAACATGGCCAAGCGCCGAGCGGTTCCATGCAGTTCGGCAGCATCCGGACAGAAGGAGATCCGGTGGCTGAAGTGGCTGCTCTTGCCACCCCGCTCCATGACATACACACATCCCGTTCCTTTACTTTGCAACTGCTCAAATTAATGATGAAACGAGGAGGGGATTTCAAGGTACTTATTGATCAAAGTCTTTGATCGTGTCATTGCAGCCTTTCGTTCTCATTGTGAGAGGGACTTGTGGAGACAAAAGTATGCACTTGGTAACGATAACCTACTAGCCTAGCACCGGCTCGGTGGTCATTGAATTGTGCAAAGTTCCACTCACAGTGATTCTGATTGATTGTGCAATACATCACGCTCATCGGGCTGGTCATATGAGCCTCGACCGGCACGCCGGTGCGGGAGGACAGGCCTTCCGTGCTCTCTCATAATCCTCATCTGCCTTGCCCGTTTGGCGGTATTCTTTTCGTGATGCTCTTGGCCGCAACGCAATGGGTCCCAATGCAGTACGTCGCAGGCAGATGTCGGACGCTTTTCTAACATACGGTGGATTTACAGTCTGTAGTTGAGCCCATTGCCGTACGCCACATGCGACAGCATGTATTGGCTCAACTGTCTGAACACAGAGCGCGTTTTCCCACTCAAAAACGCGCTCCTCCGTTGATGGTCGGTGTGCAAGGCCCCCAAGGGAGCGGCAAAACGCTCCTTACTACACATCTCCTCAATACCCTTACCTCTGCTCCGGACTCGCTCTCACTGGCAGTGCTATCCATCGATGATCTCTATCTTCCTCATTCCCAGTTAGTCGCCGTGGCCGCCGCAAATCCGGACAATCGTCTACTTCGAGGACGAGGCCAGCCAGGAACGCATGATTTGGTCACAGCCTCCAAAGTGCTCAGAGAGCTCAAAGAAATCAACGATGATGCACGAGAGAGCCATACGACAGTTGTTATTCCTCGATTTGACAAGAGCCTGTATGGCGGGGAAGGAGATCGTGTAGACTCTGGCACCATTGTCCATTCGCCTCTCGACGTAGTGATACTGGAGGGCTGGTGTGTCGGATTCTACCCCATTTCGACCGAAGAAATCGAGCGACGGTGGGGCCTTCCGGTGAAGGGGCTGGGCGAAAATTTCTTCGGAGCGCATGGTTTCACAAGGCAAGACATTATAGGCGTGAATGAGCGGCTCAAAGAATACGTCGATTTGTGGAATTATCTGGGCGCTTTCATACAAGTTCGCATCTCTCTTTATTCTATCGAGACTCTTTATGCGACCTCTTATAGATTAAACCCGAAGAGTCGCATCCATACACTCACATCTATAAATGGCGGTTACAGCAAGAACATTATATGAAGTCATCAAACGGTGGTCGCGGCATGGCGGATCATCAAGTAACAGAGTGAGATTGCAATGCATTTCGTCGGGCGATCATTGATTCATCGTCGCATTGTAGCTTTGTTGACCGTTATATCCCAGGCTATGTCTTTTTTGGGGATGGAGTTACTAAGGGCGGATTGGATGCTCATCTAGAGTGGCGGCAACCTAGGTGGTTGCAGCATGGCCTCGTTATAGAAATAGACGAGAATCGGCATGTGGTTCATACAAGCTCGTTCTGATTGTACGTTCCATGTGTAATTCTTCTCGCGTTGACCAAATCCCGGTTTCCAGTTGTAAATCATGCCGCCCTGCTTGATAGAACGTGCTGTGCTCCCGTGTCGAATGAATAGACACGAAAAACTAGTTGTTCTATGCTGCTTCGTCGACAGGGGAGAGAGCTATCATGCGGGCCTTCTGAGCTCAATTGCCCATTGATGCCGGTCCACAGCTGGGATAGCCACAGCCCTTCCACGTGCCACAAGACTAGTTTCAGTAGTAAGAGTGCAAGCAGACTGGTAGGACTTGACTTAGTGCAATGTAGTGAACCTACAAATGCCGGGCACAATGCGGAAAGCATAGGACCATCAACGCGGATGTAATTATCAACTAAGTACAACGACGACAGCAAAATAGCCAAAGGTGCATTATGGCGGAGAATGAGGCTGTACGGGAACGTTTGAGCAATTCTCCACTGCGAGTATTTAGGATTCTTGATAACTCACCGCACCATCCGTTTGTTTGTAGACTGATCTTCTATGATGCTTCTTATGTCCTGCACGAAGCCATTTAAAGTTTGAATCATGTTTCTCCTCTCCTGCGGCACCAGCCACTTGCTCATTCTTGGACTCGCTCTCATGGCCATGCTTTTCTTCGTGTTCGTGCTTGTCTTTACCTGGGGTCTTGCTCAAGAAGTTTACCATTACCGTCCATAGATTGTTTCCGCTGATAGTATTCTCGTCCGCTAGGAATGCCTTATCAGCTATCCGAGCTAAATGTCGCGCCTCCTCAGTGTCCCTTCGTGCGACGATACTGCTTGCTGGAGGCTCCTCGTCTTCGTCTAACGCCCAGGCCCATGGCCAACTGCCAACACTGACAAGGCCTTCTTGTAGTCCCTTCGGTGCATAAGGCTTTGTGTTGGAGTCGGAAGCATTATCGTCTTGAAGAAGGTATGCTTGCAATTGCTGGATATTATGTAGCGTTTCGTGCCGTGCTCGGGTGAGGTTTCTTCGCCGTTTCTTCTCGATGTTCTTGACAACATGCGCGAACTTCCTCGTGAACTTCTCACGTCCGACGAAGTACCGACGCATGACAAGCTCGGAGATCTCGCCGATGAGCTCTTCAGGGAATTGAAGTGCCGGCAGCTCTTCTTCTGGCTCGAGTGGTCGAATAACTCCGCGGGTGGAGACTCGTTCTCGAATCATACTGTCCTGCTCATCCGAGATGATATGATCAGATCAGTCGGATTACGAGCCTGAGCACTTACCAGGCCGTTCTCATAAACAGAGCCCTCTCCCGCCTTACGTACGGTGACATCGCCGTTTGAACCTGACTTTCCAAAGCGTGGTCCAGCAACGTCGCTACCTTCTGACATCCCCCCTTCATAGTGCTCGACAACTTGAGAGGACTGTCCCGCTGCTCGATTCAAGAATGTACTCGCGCGCGTGACGCTCACGCTAACAGTTCTTCTCAAGCTTCGTCTGCCAGATTTAACGGATCTACGGTCATCTGATGGCCCGCCTAACGTGTGTAGGAGATTAGTATGAGGTCTTTGCTCTGTAGTTGAGAAGGGGTGGTCATCCGTAGGAAGCCGCGGTGACGGAACAGATGCATTGACATCTTCAGAAGATGGCGATCCAGAGAGGTAAGGGCTGCTGTCAGTTGGAGAAGCCACGAAGGGTATGTCGCCAGACAGATTTGATGGGCGGGTTGTAGGCAAAGAGCATGTGATGTACTTGCAGAACGTCGCAATTGCCCGGTAACAGTATTTGGCAGGAGTCGTGAAGGCAAACAAAGTCGGAAGAGTATGCGCAGCATCTTGGGATGGAAGTGAGCGGCCTAGCGCGTGTACGAAACCACCATCGCTCACCGTCATACACTTGCAAATGCACTTTCGTTGGGCCATAGCGAGATTCTATGCCTTCCAATGCTGGATATAAATTACGGGCCGATTCTTTGACGTGGTATCTATCAGGATAAGCAGCCTTATGAGCACTGAAGCCAGAAAGCGTGTGATAAGCATCTTGTATAGCATGGATTAGAGATGGTAGAGCCTCACAAATAAATGACTTCATCTCTAATCACTTCTTTATCACTTGCGATGACAAACAATGGAGGCAAGCCTCCCAGATAGGAGACCACAGGGCTCACGAGTGGATGAGTGAGCAGGTAGTTCGGAGTGTACAATTGGATTTGTTCCTCGATCTTCATCACCTCACCCGAGGTCTCACAAAGCGTGATGGTTTGATCACGCACGGAAGAGGGAGTCGGTAGCGAAGCAGTAGGTCCGAGATGCAATGTCTGGCCTGTCGGAGAAACAACGAACTGGTAGTCGGCATTGTCTCGGGCATGTTCTTTGACCTCCTGTGGGGCAGGTCCCTGGTGGGCGACATTATCTTGTGCATGTCCTTTGGTCTCCTGTGAAGCAGGTCCCGCATTCTCTGGGCCCTTGCGCATATGGAAGATCTGGCGGGCTTTGTGGCGAATGGTATTTTGCACCTCCGTGGTGAGATCATCTGGAGGCGGCGGCCATAGCGTGCTAGGTTTGTGAAACGAGAGCCCGTATGGGGGTAAAACATCCTACAGCAAATGCGTTGATATAGACCCGTCTATCATCTCTACGTTGCGGCACGCACCGTGGCATTATTGGTATGTATGCTAGGAAAGGAATGCGTCAGATCGCACCATGGAGATATTAGCACCGCGCCAGCAGGCATCGGAAGTCCACTGTCGCGAATGATCTGTAGCAGAGCGATTGACAAGCCGCCACCAGCGGAGTCTCCCGCTACGATTATATTGCCAGGGTCCACGGGACTATGCGACGCACCCTCAGGTGGTCGGATCAAGTACAGATCTGCGCGATAGTGAGAAGCTGGACAACAACGCATCAAATGACAACCCACAAGCGGCGAGAAAGTCTTGAACAGCGCAAGGGAATGGATACTGTGGCGCAAGGCGGTAATTGATAGCTAATACGTTTCTCAGCATTGCACGCACTCCCGATGAACGAAATAACCATACTGAAGGCACGACCATTAATCTTGCGAGCATAACGCTCAATGCTAAATCTATATTTACAACAGTGAGTGCGACGCAGTTGATTTGGCTAGGAATCACGTTATACCTCTCCTGGTCGATACTACCGAAGTAATAGCCACCTACGAAAGGAATTGAGTTACATCGAAGCAGACGAGACAGCGTTTTTACCTCCGTGAGCATACAGGATACATGGCATCTTGTCCATCTCCGGTTCATATATAGCGGGTCCCTCTTGGCCACGCCCATCGCTGCCTGTCCTATGCAGGCTTCCCTTGTGCGAGTCACTCGATGCTCCTTTTGGGTGATTCCTGAGGTGCTCCTTGTGACGTCGCTTAGCCTGCTGCCAGTCTTTCTTCGCAGTAAGCCACTCTGCGTCGACACTGCCGAAGTCAATGCCTATCGTACATGCAGACCGAAGGGCTAATCAAGGCAGAACCTACCCTCGGATGCCGCGCACCTGCCACCATTTGGTCCCTCCGACGACGCGTTTCGTCACTTCTGGTCCACCGAGGGCTTTAATCAGATATGTCGCGGCATCATCGCAGCAGGACATGGGAACGACGAGACGGATGACACGTGTCCATGGCGGAGAAGGAGTGCGTGTATTCGAGAATTCTTGTAGGTCCTCTACTGTGTGTCTGCACGGAATACACTACGTCAGTATTCGAAATCGTGCGCGATGACAACAGAAGATGCGGGCGATTGGAACTACGCAAGATTCCTGGTGGTGTTTGACTTAGTATATATAGCATTAGCATTCGTTCTGACAGAAACCAGGCTTCGAGACGAACTCTCTCATGCTACTTGCTGCATCAAAGAATGCGGCGATGAGTGATTGTATCCGTGTGGCCCAATCATGCAGATTTATGGATTGCTGCATCTATGACGAATATCTGCCGCACCTCAGGCCGCCTCGGCGCAGCACGTCAAGATATCCAAATCCCCAACAGCTGGGAATTGCAACAGCCCCAAGCAAGCAATGGACAAGGTCCTTGACAGGATTAGCCGTTTCTGGAGCGTTTCAGTGTTTACTCAAACATCAAGCAGTAAACGTCCTCTCTCCCCTTTCACTAGTTCACGGGCATCAGGACGAAGCTGAAAGGCTCGCATGCGAGAGTCCTGTGGCACATTGGCGCGTACGGGAATCTAGCAACCCCAGGAATGAAACTGCTCTTGGAACAAGCGGTAGTGTGAGGAATTCCCCGAGGCAAGATTGCAAGCACCGAACGTCGCTAGAGATAAAGACTTCAACTGACGTTGAGTCAAGGCCGATAATATGATACTATGCACAACAAGCACGAACTGAAGGCAGCAGCATTGATAGGCCTGCTGGTGAATGAACACAATATGGCGCAACTCACTTCGTAGCGGCCTCCATGAACGTCTAGAAACCGATGATCAGACTAAATACAAGTCTTAGTGAGTGCCTGCATACCTTGATGATATGAAACGCCTCATCGTACAATAACTCGTCCTGGCTCAGCTGCGTCACACCATCCCCCCGTTCCTTCAAGATGCGTTCGCAGTAATGCTTCACCAGAGTCTCGAGCACCAGAGGACCGAGCTTGAAGCCCGCCTGGCCGAGCAGTGAGTTCAAAGGCATTCTATCCTTCCTCAAAGCAGCGAAAAGCGTCGACCACGTCGTAGTTGAAGTACATGAGGTGTAAGACGCCAAGTTGCGTCGGGCAAATATTGATTATGCAAGGCGGCCCTTGGGACTCCGGCGCCTGCAATTAATGTAAGTCTGAAAATTCAAGGTTACATTAACATACGTTTAAAAATGCGGCGCCAATACTACCCTTCAGCGCCCACCCAGCCTGTCCCGGCCAGCGGATTGTGTCGTCTAGATCTGCACGCCGAGAAATCGGAGACATCCGATGAAACACTGCGGGAATACAGCTGACATGAAGCTCTACGTGCTAGCCGTAGTATCCTGTCTCCGTCATTACCAGGATGCGCATTGAATCTCGTACATGGCATCAACATAGTTCCCACTGCAACTATGGATCATCTCAGAAGAAAGGCCCTTTACACGACTGCAATATGATCTACTCAAGCGAGGACAATCATCCCAACCGTGTTTTCTATAGTGCTGATTTTTGCTAAAAGAAATCCTTAGACCTGTGCCCATCCTGTTGAGAGTGCCTGCCGCTTCATTTACTGCAGAGCTCATTCACATTATGAACAGTCTGGATTCATCTGTGGGCCGGCATGTTTTGAATCGAGAAAACGCGTGACAGAATCCCAAAGCCGCCTCGCCGATCTGTGGCGATGTCACCATGCGACTCGTGGTTGGCTTCTATAGGCTTTGCCTGTACCTTAGCCGTTGTCGGAGCTCTACTACGTGACGATGACCGTCTAGACTTTGCATTACGCTTCCATCTGCCAGTATCCTCCCACTCGATCATTCTCCGACAAGCTATCCTGCTCAACTTTTGGGCGATCTTTCTCCTTATTCGCTAGCTGAGACGTTTGCACACACTTCTATCTAGATCTCGAGCGATTGGGTAAAGTATAGAAACTTGTTCGCGATGAACGAGAGATTCTGCAGACTACTATAGTAGTAGCACCGAGCTGGTGCAGCATTCCGGGAACTGCATTAGTGCCCAACAGTCGTTGCTGTGTGATTCAATTGCTCTGCAATAGGGCGATGCACGCATCCGTCGCCGCTTCAAGGTGTTCGGGTGCTAGAGGCCAGCTATTTCTGAGCACATGCGTCGTCCAAAGTGTGCGCCCACTACGCATGTGCGTGGCTGGTCCTTCCGTCTTCTTCGTGGTAAGGTCCGATTTGTCTCCGCGATGCTTACCCCAGTTCCCAAGCTACTGGGCAACGACCCTCACCTCTAGATACCCATCCGTGCTACTCGCAAAGTAGCCCCCGCAGCGAAAAGCCATGATAATTATCGACCAGCTTCAGCAATGGGAGCGTCCTCGCCCTCTGGCAAAGCACTTGGGTATCTCAATTACGACATGTGTGCTCTACTTCATATCATTCCTTTTGTATTTACTCGTCGCTCTCTCACTCCCCATCATCAAGTCGATATTCCTCTTCGAGATCAAGTTTGGCGTAGAGGACGGCGATGTCGCAACCGCTGTGGCGACAGATCTACGCTTTGGTGTATGGGGCGTCTGCGCTCTAAGCGTCATCCCTGGCTTCGAGGTCTGCTACGGACCAACGCTGGGTTACACCATTCCAGAAAGCATCCTCACCTTGACCGGCTATCCATCATTGGTGGAGGACGTAGTGGAAGCGTTGACGGTCTTATTGGTTCTCCATCCTGTCTGTGCAGGGCTCTCATTCCTCTGCATGTTCACGTCACTTTTCCTCGAGTCCCACGCAATGACGATCATATCCCTCATCATCTCCATCCTCACCATCATCCTTGGCTGTGTGGTCTTTGCAGCTGACCTCGCATTGGTCATCGTTGGGAGGATCAGGATATCTGCGCTGACGGATTTCTCATACTACGTCAATTGGGGTCCTGGCGTGTGGATGATCCTCGCAGCCGTCATATGTCTCTTCGCAGGAATGGTACTCTTAAGCATGGTCGTCTGCGAATGCTGCGGAGTAGGCGTAGAATATGACGATGAAGATGAGAAGGGAGATTGGAAACGCAGGTCAGTGTACAACTCATTGTGACTGATGCCCGTAGTTGACCAATGGAGAACATAGGTTCACCAAGATTGGCTCTCGTCTCCCTGAGATGCGGTCTATCCTCTCTCGTTCGAGCAAGTGAACGGCATGATCGTTCCTTGTGTCGTCAACAGATATATTGCTATTCATGACATGATGACCTTCACGACGTTTTACGACTCTAATGATTGCCATCTTTATACCTATTGTGTGTAGGAGTCTGGCTACCAGATCTCTGTCCTTGCAAATACACCATCCCCTTCTAGTACGCTGTATCGCATTCGGATCCCTTATACTGACTCGAACAGTCTGCTACTGCTAGTGTTCACCATATTGTGGGTTCTAGGCTCAGTCGTGTGTTGTACGTGACTTTGCGAGTAGAAATCAGTCCGTATGAACTTGTACTATGAGTCCTTTTGGTTGGATGTTGACAATGGGAGACTTCATAAACACTGTCTTTCTAATGACGTTCGAATTTATGAAGCCTTTTGAACTGACATACCCCAATTGAGTCTGACCAGACACGCCCTCATGGTCAACAAAAAAAACTTGCAGATCATCGCACGCGGTGGCGCAGTCAGCATAGAACAGCTCAGCCAGCAGCGATGTCTGATTGATGGTGACTTGTAGCGGATATGCTGCATTCAACGTTCCTTGTACTGTTGAGGAAACATTAGTCGGTCTCCTTTCCTGCTGACAGAGCTGTTACGGTTACTTATGTGTCCATATAGCGCGGAGAAGTGCCTGGAGATTCTCGACAAAGCCGTTGAAGGCAGCCACAGCTAGTATACCTGCTGCAGGTGGCTGTGTCGAATAGCTGCTACCGCAAAAACCCAGATGGGAAAGAGAATGGTCCGTGGACAATGAAAATACTGGAAGCAAATTGAACCCAAATCTAAACCCGCTGCAAGCGAATGTCTGCTCACCGCCGTGGAGTTCTGATACCACTAATGCCCTACAGTGGCCTGTACGCTGGCATCTAGCGCAAAGATGCCCACAGTCTCTAGCACCATCACCGCGGGTGCCGTGAGGTGCAACTCTTCCCTGACTAGATGGTGAACATCTTGGGGAACGATCCAAGTCCTCTGCAAAGCGCTAACGTTCAGCTTCACAGAAAGTAGTATGCCTGGTGACTGATCGAGATCCTGCTTTGGCCGTTCGCAAAGAATGAATGTGTTTCAAATTTTAGGCAGCATTACGGTAGGACACGTCACGGTCCCCCTACGCCTGCAACAAAATGGCACTTACATTTTTGATGAGCTGCAGTTTCCTATTTAGATTATTGTTATTTAAGGAGAGCAAGCTAATGATGCCAAGTTGTTCGACTGCATTATCTCGATGAGAGAAGCTGTCGAGAGCGCTAGCATCGCGGATCCGGACTCCAGAATTCAGCATTGAAGGCGGGGTAGCACGGCTAGCAATTTGTGCACCGTCGTAAAAGAACCATCGTTGGGATGGGTGGGTCCCGACGAGGAAAAAGTCACAACGGTCAGACATTGTGACTTCTTTCCTTCGTTAGATCTGCGCATTGGTACGTCGGCCATCAGGTCAAGCTGTACACCTTTGAGGCATGTGGACCGTACATACCTGGTATCGGAGCAAATCCGCGGTGAGTCGCTTGACGCGAAATTTTCCACGTCGCCATTGCTTGCCAAGAAGGCAAGCTGGGAAGAGCAGATCATGGACAGCCTGCTGCACTGTATCCATCCTTCAGTCTTCTGCACGGCGACGTCAGCTTTGGGCACATTTTCGTCGAGTCCGAGTCGGACAACGTAAGGTTCATCGACTCTAGGTGTAGCAGGCTATCGCCTTCTAATGAAGCACACTGTTCCCTAGCACGCTATCATCCTCTCCGCCAGATATGATGGAGACACGCGACGGGATCTTGAATGACGCCCCAACCTTTGACATTGTATTACGTTTCATGGAGATCGGACGCGTGCTGTAGAAGGAGAACGAGCCTATGTCTGCTTTCGCCACTGGATATGAATGTATGTCACAGCTTTGGAAGCTCATTGAACTTTACGTGGAAGAGCGCACAAGTCGATGCAGGACACTCCCAGTGACTGATCAAAGGAGTACCGAGTACTCCTTCTTGAATACCTTGTGACCAGTATCGTAAGTAATAACATTGTACTTGTAGATCATCGGACTTAACGTTAGTTAGCGTGCCGTTTTCTGTTGTACACCAGCTGCACTGTGCGGATGACTCGCATCATGGATGTTGTATTTCTACAGGCCCTTGTACGCCAAATTCTAGAATTGCGTGTTCCACGTTCTCGTATAAGTCGCCATGTCAGCCAATCCTTCCTTCCATTGACGCTTTCAGCCACATGCTATGAATTGGAGAGAGAATTCCCCTCAGTCAACTGTTAAGGCAGGACGCTGCAGTAATTATGGGCGCTTCTATCCGCCATCACGACCGACTTTGTTCCCAATAAGGCATTCCCTTTGAACTGTCGGCGCCACCACGACACAAGGGAGCATTGATCTTGTACTGTGGCTGGCTCTTCTAGCGCATACGGCAACTAGAAGCGCACTGATAGATGAAGGACGATGGTAGGGTGACGGTATATAGAGGAGAACAGGACGGAGATGGTCAGCACGCTTGCTCGTTGATCGAACTCGTCTCGTCCTCGCAACTCCTCGTCCTCCACTGTATCATCCTCTTCCATTATCATCTCGTGCGCCATGTTCCCTCGCGTCTCTCAGACATTCACGCTCCTTTTGATCTCTGCAACTCTCGGTATGTCCGCCACGATCTCATCAGTGACATCATGGCTTTAACATCTCCTTGCTCTAGTTTGCGGATCACCAGCACCAGCACCCATTGATCCTACTCTCGCACAAATTATCGCAGAAAACAAGAACACGGGCTGCACGGCACCAGGTGGATGTGCAGCGGTCAGTGTCCTCTACCTCCCTTGGCATTTTCGAAAAGAGCTCATCTCGTGCTCACAGTCACAGAACAGCTCAAATTCTACAGAGAGCCTCGCCACGTCTGCGGCTGTCTCATTGACCACATCGCCAGGCTCATCGAGCGCATTGGCTGCAGCTCTTGCGATTGCGGGCGGGCTTTCTATCACGGCTCTTCTATAAAGGACCCTTCACTGTTGATACCCGGGACGGACAACCATCATGAACGGTTATGTCAATACCACACGATGTAAAAAGTACCACCATTGTATACCATAGGATACAGCTTCTATATTCATCTAATACCTGCAACGACCGCAGATTCTAATGTGGGATCATAAACCAGCAAGGAGGCCCTCTTCTCCATCAGTGCCCACAATATGCCCGCCTCCTTCAATCTCCATGCACCCGATATCGTCTCTGCCCTCCTCTTTCAGGAATCCGTCGACCTCCCGCATGGGCTTACCTGCTCTGAACTCCGTCACCATATCCTCGCCGACCGCGCTCAGCCACTCGATGATCGGCTTCGTGACCCAACGCTTTGCCTGCAGCCCACCAGCCGACTCAAACCAGCCGAGATGCCCGCCCTTCTTCGTCACCGCGAGCGCGACGAACCCGTTCCCGCCGACGTCGTACGGCGGCTCGCACTGCACGATCGGGTCGTCCGAGTCGTTGATCGCGAGGAACGGAACCTTAATGCCCGGGAGCACGGTGTGGCACGACGCCCATTCGTAGTAGTGCAGTGAAGTTGGCATAGGGAATAGCGGGGACGACCCGCCGATAAGCCGCGTCATGTACTGGTCGAACAGCCGAATGGGCGGCTTGTCGAGCGCGAGCGTCGTTTCGACGGCTTTGCTGACGGGGTGGTCGGTGAAGGTGACGAGGCGGTGGGCGTGTTGCCGAATGATACCTTGCAGGTTCTGGCCCATGCCTGCTGAGTAGACTGTCCGGTGAAACCATTTGCCTTCGATGCTACGACGAGTCGTGATGAGTGATCACGCTGAATTGCTGACATGGGGTGTGCTCACCGGTGGCTGTTCACGACCAAGTCCCATGGCTGGGAAGCTGTGTCAGTATCGCAGAGATTGAATGAAATGTTGCGTACATACACAAGCGAGGACGCATCCAGCGATCATACGACAGTTCTCGCCTTCCTCGGACATATATCGCGTCAGGACGTTCGCACCCAGGGAGAATCCGACGCCGATCAGCGGTGCTCTGGGATACCGCTTCCTGATGTAGTACACGGCCACTCGGATATCATCGGTATGTCCGGCAGAGTATAGCTGAGGACTTGTGAGAGGAACTCCGGCACCTAGTGCAAGTCTATGAATCAATGCATGGATCGACATGCTTGAGAGGCCGAGAACTTACAACCGCGAAAGTTGACGACGACGCCTCGGTATCCAAGTCCGCCTCTCTCCTTCGGCGTGCACGCCGGGTTTAGCACAGCTCGCACGTACGACTCGTATGAACCTATTCGTCTTTTGAGGCTTCGCTGTGGTAATGAAACCCTCGCAGAGCGCACCTCCCGTGAGTCCGTGAAGAACGACAACGATGGGAACATCGTCGTCTAGCATTTGCTCGTTCTTGGGCGGCGTGAAGTCGAGACCTCTGGTTCAGATAGAAGTCGGGAACCAGCCTGCGCGAACAAGCTGATAACACGTACATTGTTCCTCCATCAACTGTGCGAAGCAGAGTCCTGCTGACATCAGACAGTGTTGAAATACGAGAATCCTTCTGCTTACCTATCGTATTCTACCTTATCGGCCTTGGAGAAGTCACCCAACACGCAGTATCCGACCTGTAGATGACCGCTATTCTCACGATCTCAATGACAGTTCTATTCAGAGCGACCCGAAAGCAGGGCTACCTGAATAGCCACCACGCAGGAATGAACGGCTTTAGAAGACTCGGACAGCGTGTCTTGACGAACGTCTGCAAGGACTCCTGCCGGGTCTCCTTCGAATATGCCGAGGTTCTCACATTGATCGTGTTCGTTTTGCTCGCAAAGTAGAGTGTAGGCAGGAAATACGTCAAGGGATAGAGCAGGCTGATCAACAGGCCCATGGTGGACGTGGTCGAGGAAAGAGAGCGGTGCTGAACCAGGGTTGTAATCGCAGCATTAGAGGGGCAAGTGTAGCATTCCCCGTATTGCAGATTGCCCGAGAATCATATGCGGGGAAAAAGATTTGTTGACTGCTGGCTTCCAGACGGTCGACATATCATATCTGGGTCTTAGGTGTTGATACCGCCGAACCAATCCCCATGACTGGCACTCCGCTCACGCCGGTGGCTCTGGCTCGCTGGCCAAGCGAGAAGTGCACTTACGCACCAAGAATCGCAGGCTGTGTGCACAAAGTTCCGAGGACATCTGCAAAGTCGAATGCCAGTTCCAGTCGCGAGTCGACGCGAATAGTGTACGTGTGTGTGACAAGCATCACGTGCGTTTCAAGCGCGTCTAGTCACAGGCCGTCGTCACGCATTTCTGGTCCATCCTCTCAGCAAGCCTCACGCCTCCTCACGCTCGCGACTGGCTCGAAGAGAGGCTTCTTTCTCCCCGTTTACACACTTACGCCGAGGAGGATTCACGGTTGCATGTAATCTGTCTGATGTACACTTCGCGAGTCAACAAAATTCCCTGCATCCTGACAAGCGCTTCGCTATCCCCGGATCCCCAAATGAAATGCTTTGGGTTGGCTCCGTCGATGTCGCGTCTCACTTGCTCCCGTGCTATCGACTACAACCATGGGCCTTGCACTGAGCGTGCTCGCGGCGGCGTATGCCCTGTGGAAAGCGTACAGTGTGCTCTCAGCGTGGTACTTCCGTACGAGGCTCTACTACTACCCCGCCTCGCCAGTATCTGTAACAGTCAAGGACACGGGAGGGAAGGTTTACAGTGAATCATTGCGGACGTTCGTCGAGACTAGATGCCCCAGTCTATTCAGAGAGTTCCGGCCAGTGTGGTGGTTATTCAGGTTCGTCTCGCGTCCGTGATGCCGTCTCGGGATTGACAACAGAGTCGGGTAGTGGTCACCAGCAAACTGGCTATTCGGTTATTGGGGATTTCACCAAGATAGACAAGGTAGAATATGAGAGGTGAGCAGACGCGTCGGCGGTCATTGAGCGATTGTTGGTTGTTCATCGATCTCCCGGAGGCGATGACTTGGTGTTGCGATAGACCTGCCTCCACCTTCTATCCAGCCCAGATGAGCAGATAAAGCTCGGGCTTGATCCTTGAACTTAACATCCCGGACCAGGATAGGGTCAACGGGTCGTAGCATACCTCCTCTGTTTGCTAGCCCAGGTGAACTCTTCGACAGCATACAAGCTTCGAACTAGAGTTCACTCTCTTATCCGCTCCCCATAAGTTCGGGTAGCAGTTTCACAAGCCTCGAATGCCTAACAATACTGCTGTTGATCCTTATGGGCCATTAGAAGGTTCATGAGCTCTGTATGAGCTATGCGCGAAGTGCCCGCCTCTCTATAGCCAGCATACACCCTTTGGATCTGACAAGAAGCCAATTGTTGCTAACTCCTGGTCATAGGACGCTTCTACGCACATTGGATGGTGGCACGATGTGAGTTCCATCCTGTCCTACTGTCTGCTCATAATTCCATGTAACATTCCCCAAGAGGACTGGACTTCACACCTCCAGAAAGCAAAGAGAAGCTACCAGACGAGACACCAATTGTCGTCGTCATGCATGGCTTAACTGGGGGTGAGTTTGACCGTACTCACCTCTAGTAATGTGACTGAACCTCGCGAATCCTAGGATCATATGAGTCATATGTACGAGCTGTCCTTGCCCCCGTGTGCACGCCAAAGGGGCAGGGCGGGCTTGGCTACAGAGCCACTGTGGTCAACTTCCGTGGATGTGAGCACACTAGCTGTTTTCCTGCCTCTACGTAGGCTGATCATCGATACGATCAGGTGCAGGAATCCCGATTACTAGTCCACAACTGTACTCAGCTGGACATACTGAGGACATTCGGGTTGCAGTGTATCACATCACGAAGCGCTATCCGCGAGCCCTTCTGCTCGGGTTGGGCTTTTCGCTTGGCGCGAACGTGCTCACTCGATACCTGGCGGAGGAGGGAGAGAACAGCAGGCTTTCATCTGCATGCGTTCTGGCTTGTGTATGTTCGCAGTCCTGCTGCGCTCCATTTGCAATATGACTGACCTGTTTGCAGCCATGGGATCTGCTCAAGAACAGTGAAGCGTGAGTATTCGCATCATTGGCAGTATTTATGTCTCATAACGGCTTGCATTCCAGGCTCGAGGGCGGATGGTTCCATCGCACGGTCTATTCTAGCGCGCTAGGCTCTAACCTGCAGGGCATCGTCAAGAGACATGCGGATTCTCTCAGCAAGTTCAAGGACCACCCAGTTGGCCAAGCCGTCGCGCCCTGCGTCGCACTCAAATCTCCCACCATGGAGATGTTCGACAACACATTCAACCGCATCGCAGGCGGGTCGATGCCACCATTCCCGTTTCCGGACGCGCAGGCGTACTATGTCTGGGCGTCGAGCCACCACGTCCTCCCTCGCGTGCGCGTGCCGTTCCTCGCGCTCAACTCGGAGGACGACCCGATCGTGCAGGTGCTCCCTATCGAGGCGGGCGGGAATGAGTACGTCGTGTTTGCGGTGACGAAGAAGGGCGGGCACCTTGGGTGGTTTGAGGCGGGGAAGCGGAGGTGGTTCACGAAGCCGGTAATGGAGTGGCTGAAGGCGGTCGGCGAGGACATGGTGGTGGGGAACAGAGATGGCAAGCCAATTTATGAGGTCGATGGGTTCCTGAAGGAGGAGGGCCGCGATGATATTGGATGCATGGAGATTGAGCGAGGCCGTCGCGTTGTCGATGTGGAGGCCCAGGATGGCGTTCTCTCTGGTCTATGACCGTGCTGCATTATCTGACCATTGATGTAGATGTAGACTTAGAACTGATTGGATTGCTTCTTCTTCTCTGCCAACACTCTTGTATGACCCGCCATCAAGTTGATTGTCGGTGGCCAGCACTTGTGCGCCAACGCATGCCTTTCTCCTTCCCTCTCCTGCAGTATCAAAGTCACTCTGCTCCATCTGTCTGTACTCGCAATCCAATCAATGCCAGTCCCCTTGCGCATACCAGGCTAATGTGTCCGATGCCGATGCTATGGCTTAGCACATGCCGCCATTGTAAGGCACACCTGCTATCTGACTCACCATGAGAAAGAAACTCTTGGGTTATGATCCGTATGCCGCAATGGTCTCCGTCGTACCTTCAACTTCAACGGCTATTGGCACTCCTTTCCATGTCGGCATACGGCGCCATTCTCAGCAAGAGTGGATCCGAACCCCTCCCTTCTACTCAATGGCAGCTGCAGGGCAAGGGCGGACCATCAGCAGCCGCTCCGAACTATGTCACTATCCACCATCTCACTCTTTTGGAGGCTCGCACTCTTCCGGGGCTAGTTGAATACCTTCATGGGGTCTTCGCAGACGAGCTGCTGCGAGGAATGACCTACCCGCAAGAGATCCTCTCCGGCGAGGTTTACACGCAGGAGCAATTTGAAGCGTACTACTTCGCCGCCGACGTCCTCGTTGCCGTCCTCGGAAACGAAGGTGAAGCCGCGGGGGAGAATGCCGAGCCGTCTCGCTATACTGTTGTTCCGTATGGAATCGAAGAGGCACGCAGCGGTCGGCAGTGGGAAGAGTGTGTTGCAGGCTGCTATTATGTGAGTGTCCAACTCATGTTCGAAAACGTGTTGTCTCGCTTCATGTCCGTCTAATTTGCGCTAGCCTGGAGCGTACGATAGGCCAATTTGACTGATACACATGCGCATATTTGCAGGTCAAACCAAACTATCCTGGTCGATCATCGCACGTGAGTATCTCATCGAAGGCAGTATCATCGTGCATGCATATGTGAAGGGGCCACAGCCATAAGGAGGCCTCTTTCGGACGAAGTATACTCGTCGTCCTGGAGTTCGTAGCCGTTTCGCAGATCCTCATTTCCGGACAGCTTGGCTTACCTTTGTGCTCATCGCGTCATGCGTGTCCACATTGCGGCATTACGCATATTGGACCTGAAATCCAATTGCAGCGGCGGGATTACCGGTGGGGAAGTCGAAGAGTGGAGCCCGTGCCGACAGGATTCGGTGTCATAAACGGCCATACCATGTAATTGAAGAGCAATTTCCCCTGAGCCTATCTATCACACGCCCTTCCAAGTATTCATTACAATCTATTTCAGATCTGCAACGCCGGCTTTCTCGTACCGGTCTCGCAGCGCGCAAAGGGCGTCGGCAGGGTGCTTGCCCGCTCTTACCTTTACTATGGGCCGCGTCTCGGATACGAAGCCAGTGTCTTCAACCTGGTCTACGTCAATAATGTTGCCAGTGTCCGGTAAGTGCCGCGATTATCATTGCATGATCGCAACTTCTTTCCCATCTTGTCGTCTCCGCAATTACTCGCGGTCTATCTTCGAGATTACACACGTACACGGTTTGATCACTCGGATCTTCGACATTGAATTGGTTGTAATGATCATTACCTTTTGAACTCCACGCATGTCCCAGGCTACCTTGTGTGCAGGAACTCATACTCTCGCGCTGTATAGACTTTGGGAGGCTCTCGACTTTATCAAGGCAGGGCTCATTCCCCGTGCGGGGCGTCTCAAGAAAGCGGACGGATCTGGTGAGGAGTACGTAGATGCCTGGGTGTTCTATCGCCGCTTCGACAAGGAGAGCTAGGCTCAATATCAGCAAATTTGGCTACGTAACGATGGCATAGTTGGGGAACAGAGTTGCCGCAAGTGGCCCATCAAGGAAGGATTTCCATACGTCTTCAGACCGCCCTTTCTTAACTACGCGGCGATCGGAACGTCGGCTGGCCATCAGTTCAGCAATCGGTCTCTGTGCCCCTGGGAGCCCAGATTCGTAGATGCGCGTTTAGACTCGCTTCAAATCCGCAAAGCCGGACACATCGAACCAAATCCCGCCTCTGCCGAATGTTCTGCTCATCGCTAATATTGATGTTGATGTCATGATTACCAAAATCCTTCGGCACAGACAGCATCGGGGGTGTCCCGCAGGTCTACTCCCGGAGCGAAGCGCATCCATCCAAAGTCCGCTGGGAGGTGGCCGCCAAGGTTAGCCGAATGTCATGCGGTGGGCGATGCGCCAAACTGTTCGTTACTCTTGGGGCGATGGTGAGAGCAGCATCATACTGCCGTCATGGGTTTGATGCAGCGCACGGACCAGTGCGTCTCCCGCGCGCTCTGGGATGTGCATGTGACGATTCCGGGGTTGCAGACTATACATCGATGGAACTCTGACCCACGCTGCTTTCTTACCTCCGAGACGTTGGCTGTAGATGACTCAGGACTCAGTGGACAGTCACCCCCCTTGCCCTAGACAAATGGTGTCAGGTAACGATTGGCACATGTATAGCCTTACTGCACGGTTTACGCACCGGAGGCTGTGGCGTTGGCGGGGCAGCGGCCTGATCGTTGAGCGCGGCTTTACCTCCAACAGAAATATCTGACGATCACCGGCCCATAGGCGATGCATAGATTTATTTCGCGGGTAATGCCCATGATCTGTTTTGAAAGCTTCCACGCGCGTCGTCAATCTTCGTGCAGGCGGCAAGCCTCGTGGTGCTATAGTTATTACGGCCTGGGAGAGTTCTGAGCAACCCCGCAGTTTGGGTTGGCTGGTGGGTCTGGGCACGTCAGGCGAAGTCGCTCGAGTCCGCTGGGATGCGAGGAGAGGAGGGAGGAAGTCTATTGAGACGAGAAGCTTATTCCACGAGCTTTCCTCGTGTCTACAGACGAAGGTAGGTGTAACACCCGTTATGTTAATAAAAACTGAAAGGCCGTTCAGGTAGTATAGGATCAGTCCAAAACAAGGCTATGAAGGCACCGGAATGACGTTTGGGGAAGATGAGCGCCTTCTACACTATCGCAGGGCGCTTTGGAGAACTCGCGAAGAGCTGTCCATGGTGAACTCTGTAACGAGGCTGCGAGTGTCTCGAAGACGCGAACCGTCGTGCGTTGCAAGGATTTCGTCTTACTCAAGGATTACTCAAGGACTCGTAACGCGTTCGTTGACCCCCTCAACGACAGAAGAAGCGCCACTGTGGATGACTCGACACGATCAGTACTCAGCCATCGATCATCGTGTAGGGCGATTGAGGTGTTCAATTGCTCGATGCAAGAAGGCGAGAAGGCTGTCAACCCCCACCTCGACCCCAGAGTGCATGTTCTGTGAGGTAAAAAGCAGGCCACGATTATCTTTAGCTAAGTCTAGGCTCGCAAGCGATATCGGACGGCAGCCACGAGCTCTGATCACCGCTTCCCCGCTGATGCAGCTCCAGGGGCAGTGGACGACGGGCGATGCTCGAAGCATGAATGTCTGTCCACCCGTTGCACACCAGAGCGTCGTCGTGGACTGGATCGTCCACAGAAGGCAGGTTTCGTCCTCCCGTGAGCTGCCCTTCAGTTGGTCCATGTGTGCGCGCTGTGATCCCGATGGAACAACGAGGCTGCGGAATCAAAATTTGCTGTAATTCGCTTACTAGGGTATTTGCCGACGGTGGTCAGAACTCAGCTGGACGTCAACGTGAGAGCCGTTACGACACCTCCTTGCAACGAGGCAGAGAAGACGTGCTCAACCGTTCATGCGTAGATAGCATAGGAGAAGCATTGCCTGTTTGTTGTATATGCGTACTGCGCAGCGAGAGAAATTTGGGATCCTCCGGCGGCGATAGTGCGCAGATGGCCGTGCTGCTCAGTGCCGGTAGTTGGGATCTCAAAGGATACGGGGAAGACTGGACGGCGCGATCATAATCTTTTGAATGGGATGACTTGATATTACCAAACGCAGGAAGTACAAGGAGGCCGAGGGCTGTTGATCCGACAGTGATCGGTGAGGTGAGGCAGGCCGCAAGGCAACCTGTCCGACAACGTTGTAAGGATTTGTATCGTCAAATAAGGGTCCGGGCGCTGATGGGATGTTTTGTGAGAAAGCGTATGCGATGGCCAAAGGGATGTAGAAGCTGTTCTCGTGCACGTGTTGCGCGTTACGAGCGTATGTGATACCGGGTATGTTCGCATGTAGGCAGATTAAGAAAAGCCGACGAATACCGCATCGCCTGAGGACAGCGTCCTCTCGACTAATTGGTCGCGTATGACGCGCTTAGGATGCAGAGACAATTGCTTATCACCCGGGGGGAGCACATCCATCCAAAGCGATGCACCTCAGTACCCGTCCTGGCTCACAACAGAAAATCACAGGCGCCGCATCGCACAACGTGGCCTATCCCCGTCAAAGACAGCGAGGAAAAAAGCAAGCAAAAGAACCCCTAAGGAGGAGCGAGAACGCTCGGAGGCAGAATTCAAGCACGGAATGCGAACCTCGAGGCAGGAGCGTGTCGCTGCGATGTCGTAAGCCCTCCTTCAGAGACCTGGTATCCGCCGAGCTCGCGTACGGAGGGACGGAGGAGGGGGATAGCGGGAGAGGTCGAGTGCGACCCCGCGGCGCCCACGAGCATGCTGCATTGCATTGCATGTGAGGCTGATTGGTGACCTACGCGAGCGACGTTCCGGTAGAGCACGATGCTGCGATGGGCATAGCGTGCGGGCAGCTCGGGCCGGGAGCCAGCCCGAGTTCGCTTGGCTGTCAATGACCCTCGATGATACGGGATGGCAGTAAGCTCCAAACTCCAATGAGCAATGTTTCGGTTTGGAGGCGATTATCGATGACAATGCCATTCATGGTTTCGTGTGCGATGAGACCGACGATGTGGGTGCGCGTGCGCGTGCGCGTGCTCATGCCGGGAGTCTCAGCGAGCCCTAGCGCAAGCCGGGGCGGCGATGCTGGCTGCAGCGCAGAGGTGGACGTGTTTGGCAGCCAGTGTACAGGGTACATGTGCGCACGTGTAACGATGTGGAGCGTAGAACGGTTCATGCGGTCGACCTAGTGGGTGGGCTCGATGCGCGGTACTCGCCTCGAGGAACGACTTTGCGCGCAGTGCCAGTGTGTTGAAAAGAAAGAAGCTGACGTGTGTATATTCGATCTCCCGAGTGTGCGTGCAGCATGCCAGCACTCGCTAGCTGAGGTGCCTTGAAGCCGTTGACATGTCGATGCCCCGAACAGACGTCAGGTCACGCTGCCTTAGTCGGCTCAAAGACGATTTGAAAAGTACACTGCCCGATGCGACGTCGGCGTTGTCAGGAGAGCGAGGTGGCAGATCAGCAAAAAGACATCGAGCCTGCATGCAGTACAGGATCCATTCGTGCTTGAAGTTGGCAGAGGACGTCGATGGTCAAAAGACGGGTGAAACCCTCCGACGCGCGGCGGATCTCTGAGAACCTCGAGTCGCTGCAGCGGTGGCGTGCGATGAATGGGAGGGACGACGTGCTGGTCCGATGTTCCTGGATCTTGCTGTCTCGGCCAGACTCTCATCTGTACACATGTAAGGCAGAGATGGACGGATGAACAGGCGTATATCTTCCGCCGTTGCACTGAGCGCGTACACCGCGCACGGAACGGTCTCCGTCATGGCCAAGCCCCTAACAGCTGACGATCACGTCTGCATCAGTTGTATCAAATCGCGCAAGTGCGGCCGGCCGCTTATTTGCAACTCGCAATAGTCAAAAAATTGCGCCCGTAACGAGGCACTCTTCGCCACCCAGTTCAAAAATACGGGTGTCGAGCTCGGCTGGCGGGGTCGCACATGGCGGGACGGATCACACTGGTAGCGGCAGAGGAGGGGAAAGTGGCATGATACGGACGAGCACACAAGCGGGGCTAACAGTAAGTTACTTACATGGCTACTTACAGTAGGAGCAATCAGAGAGCAGCGCACTGACGCACAAAGCGGAAAGTATTCGACCAGCGCCCGGACCGAACCTGAGACTCCGAGTTGCGCGTTTCACGTACAAGACGAGCGTATACAAGGTCGCCGCGATCATCATCAGAAAACCCCCTCCGCTTCCGATAGAACACACGTGTCGCCCAGAAGCGCAGCTGACCCCTGGCGGCGAGGGGAAGGGGGGCATGTAAGTACCGCCCCGGTCGGAGGCTTCAGAAGAAAAGTCCATCCATGTCGCGGGATGTGCAGGACGCGGAGTGCGGAGTGCGGGACCCGGAACGCGGAGGAGGCCTGATATGTGTGATATGATAGGGAAAATCGTTACTGTGCTGCTGGCTGAGTGACGAGCCTCGCGAGACGGAGTGCTAGCTCAGACTCGGAAGCTCTGATCAAGTATGAGGAGTCTGAACCGCCTTCGGCCGCACGCCGTTCGGAGCAGATAGGGCCCCCGTTGAGACGGCCAAGGATGGCGGCCTGCGCAGAGCGCAGAGCGCAAGGGCGAGCGAGTCCCGAAAAGGCGAGAACGCGAGCCTCGTGTGTCGTTGCAGGGTCCTGCCAGTCCTGCCACGGCCCGGGGAGCCAGAGCCAGCCATCAACTTGGCTGAAACAACCCTCGAGCGGACACACAGACGTCACCACTACGACTCGTAGCTACCAGCTTCCAAAATATAGATATGGGGCGTAGAGCGGGCCAACCCATCTCTGGCATGTCGTCGTCCACCTTCGATTCCGATGGATCATCATCGAGTTTATCCACAGAACCGACGTGACGGTGGCGCAGGCAGCCTGAGCGCGAATTTCTGGATTTAGATTCGAGCGCTGGCTGCTTGCCGAGTTGTGACTCGAGTGCGATGCCTGCTGCAGATATACTAGTAGCTGTCGTAGGTCATGTCATGATCAAAGCCAAACACAACACTGAGTGTGATGAGCATGGGCGGTATGGAATGATCAGCCTGTCGCGCCTCCAGAGTCCGAGTCCAAGGACGCCTCTCCTCGTCAGATGATAGTGATAGTGATAGTAGCTCAACTTAGCGTAGACGTCCGACCGCACACCGCAACAATGATACGATTCAAGGGGCTCACACACACACAATGGAACCCTGTAGGGTCCACACTTCTCCGAGTATCGCAAACCAGCAATCCGCACAATGCGCTTCGATCCTTCACAATCATGCGTTTTGTCAGAACGATGACTCCAGCTATCCAGCTATCCCGGGAGACAGTGCGACAGGCACTGTGCCGGAAGCTATCCTGCCCGAGGACGCCTCCAAGCCCTTCGATGGAAAGAAAAAAAACTAACGGTGTACAGAGCGATCGACGCTAGGTACAAACACCTCCGCACCCACCACGACGCCACGATCGCCCGAAGAAGCACCGCACGGAAGGCCGCTCCCCATCGCAGCCTCCTCTTCGCAAACCACTCAGCACATCGTCGATTGTCACCATCACGCGCACAAGAGAGGCTTTTGACATGTTTATCGTATTTAGAGTTTTTCGCTATTGTGAATTTACCTTAGCTAGCCTAAGCGGGACGATGAATGCCTATGCCTATGCCTGTGCCTATACACCACTATAGATATCTTACTCTTGTGTAGTATGGTACAACAATGCTGTGAGTTCGGAGTCGGAGTCTCTTGTCAGTTGTCATGGAGGAAGATGGTCGTGAAAAGCAGAACGTGAAGCAGAAACCCATGCAAGCAAGCAATGCAAGAGAGAGAACAAGTTGCAAGTGATGAACGGGGGGAAAAACGTTGTGCGGCGCAGATGGCGCACGCACACGGCGTGGTATAAGATAACGGGAGGGGATGCTTGAACTCTTTAGTCCGTGCAGAGCGAGCGTGGCGGCGCGTGCCGACGACGATTGTCGATAATAGGGGCGCGCCGGGACAGGAGCATGTAGAAGCAGGAAATGAAGTGCAAGCACGAACCGGCGAACAAGCAATAAACAGAAACAAAAGCAAAAGTCACGACCGCAGCCCCGGTGTCTACCATTTGCATGGCATCGCCCGGGCATAGTGGTCACCAGACATCTTGGACGATTTCTTGATACTTGATGAGGAGTTTGCGCTGGTCGGTATTGGCCGGCCGTAGTTGACGCTCGACACGGCGCTTGCCGTGGAGTGTTTACGCGCCAACGAGGAGACAGGTACCGAATCGCGCTCGAGTGCGCCAGGGGTCCCCATCGTACTTGTCGACACGATCCGCGCCGAGTTGTCGACGTACCCTGGCGGCGTTGGCGGACTGGCCGACGACGCCGGCGATGTCGATGTCGAATATGATGGCTCAGGGGTGTCGAGCTCGCCGGGCGTGTGCGGCGGCGAGGGGTAGGCAACGGAGTGATTCGACACTGGCGTGGAGACGACGGGCTTCGGCGGCGACGAGGAGACGCGCGTGGCGAATGATGGCGTGCTGGCGCTGGCGCTTGAGCCGGCAGCTGCATAGGGGGAGGTGGACGGCATGGGCGAGGGCGCTGGCGACGGGAGGGAGTACGTAGGATACGGGCCGGGGCCCTTGAAGTCGCGCCGTACCTTGAGCTCGAACTCCTTGAGCGCGTTGGGCTCGATGTTCAATTGCCACTCCAGATAGCTGCACATCTCACGCTCCATCTGATTGATCTCGCGAAGCGCAAACATGCCCTGGCCGACGATGGACCACGATTTGTTGCTGTAGGTGTCGTCGCAGATGACCTTGCTCGCGATCATGAACGCCGATATGAAGAGGCGGTGGCCAGAAGACCCGCGTGCGGCGGGAAAGCGGGCTTTTAGGCGCTGCAGGAGGTAGAGCGCTGCAAAATGGACAGAGGTGTGGAGGCGGGTGCGGTGGAGGGCATATGCGATGAAGAGGGCCAGCGGCGGGGAGGGCGCGGGCGGACGGGTTGTCGATAGCGGCGGGAGATCCGGGCACGCAAACAAATGCGTGACGAAGCGAGCGCACAGCTTGGCAGTCTCCTCATGCCCATAGTATGGATCGGGCTGGGACGGGGGCAGCCGGGAGAGGGTATCAGGGTGAGGCTGCGGGGATACGTCATGGGCGTGCTTACCACGCTGTGGGTCGTGGGCGCCGGCCGCGAGGAGGCCACTTTGGCGGGTTTGCGGAAGGTGGGCGAGGGGTGGCGGGCGACGGCGGGGCCTGAGACGGTGGCCATGAGAGCTACGGGGGTGATGGTCGGAGGGACGACGGAGAGGACGGGAAGCGCGAGGGAGGATGCTTGTACGGGGTGGGGGATGCTGGAAAGAGGGAGATATATATCAGTTGAGAGGATGGAAGACCGCGAAGAGGTTCTACTTCGGCGCGAGACACATGCGAGCGAGGTGTGAACAGATAAACCCTCATGGGAAACGTTGAGACATCACCCGGGTATCTGCCCCCCCATCAGAAGCACTCAATTTTTCATGCCAGGCAACGCGGCTAATTTCCCCGTAGCACCATTCGGGCTCCGCCTGAACCTCTCCCAGATGGGAAATTAACTCACCGTGCGAATTCTGTCCTGCAAGCGACAACGTGGCGCAGGCGATATTCAGCCTTTCGCTTGGGTGCCTCGAGGCTGGCGTATTGCGCACCGCTTATCGCGCGGTCAAAGAGCACAGGGGATTGAGCAGCACAATGGCGCAGGGCGCAGATGAGGAGTTCGATGGGAGCGCCCCCTGGCTTGCTCTCTAATATATCCCTCGCATAAGGGCGTTGCCACTCCAGGCTTTGTCCGGCCAGTGGCGTGCCCAAAATGTCTGGCGCCGAGATATTGCGGCGGCCCGATTCCACTTCTATTGTCACATCGCCAGGAGTCACACGTGATCATCCACGGACAAGGATATGCCCGACGGCCAGCTCCGCCCAGACGACGCTGCCCCGACCGTTCGCGACGTGAGCCATCCATCACCGTCCTCCTCGGTCGCCGAGCCTTCAGATCTGCCATCAAACGGCCGCATCGTCGGGCTGTCCGAGTCGTCTGTCGCTCGGGTGTGCCACAATCACATAACAGCGGTGTGCATGTTAACTAACGACACTACCGCCATCCCACTTGAGTCTCCATCATCTGATCCCGCACCGCCCTGCCAAATCCGTGCGTGAATGAACTGAGCTGAGAGTGGATCTGAAACCGTCACCCGAACACCTCCTATGGCCACCGCTGTTCTGAGCCCATAATGGCACGCGGCAGCTTTGTTCTCGCCGTAGTCGTCCTCGGCGCCGACGAACAAAGAAAAGGCTTATTCCGCGGCCCACTAAGCGTCGTGATTCAAGCGGCGCGCAGTGGCTCCAACGCCGCTCCTTTTGTGCGAGCACGCGCACGGCGGCGCCCTTCTTCGGACGGGCCTAACCATCGGGTGGCCGGCGACATTATCAGATGACCACCTCGAAGGGAGTTTTCGCGGCTGCTCTTGCTCTTCTCTGCCGTCCTGGGGCGACTTTACTTGGGTGGTACGCGCATTAGGCTTGGAAGCATGATATCGCACCTGATCGCCCATCGCGGATTTGAAGGACAGTAACTTCGCGACTCCAAGGGCGGTGCGGCAGTGCCCTTCTGACAGTACTGTAGCCTTCTCTTCTTTATCCATGTGACGTCCCTCTACTCGTCAGTGGACGCGGAAGCAGATGCATAGCTGCCCCAGTAGCGCAGCTCTCAATGCAGACGAACACATATGTGCCAGTGCGCACCAATCAATCTCTGCATGATGAACAATGATCACCGTTCAACGCCTACATTGTGCGATAGCTGATCACTTCATACTTTTGGCCCTAGGACCCACAGTCGCTAGTACGGCTGCCGTGAAGGTCGCAGTTCAACGTGCCACTCATCCCAGATCGTCCTCATCCGCAGGTTAATTCCCTAGAACCCCCCGTGAAGTACGAATTCGCTCAATTCCGGACCTCAGAATTCCAGCCGTTGCCTTCGCCCGATCTCGCTCCAATGCCCTGTTTCCCAAGGTCTGCGCTACGTCTCCTTTCCCGGAATATTGGCCATCTGCTTCGGACCAAACTGCACAGCCGCCCCTTCTCCGGACCTCGCTACCACATGCCTACCCAAACATACCCTGTACCATGACTGAGCTCGTTGTCTACCACGTTCGTGGCGTCTTGGCTCCAGGATCTTGCTACTCTTTTACACGGCAGTCTGATCTGGTCCGCGCTATGCCCGCCTCAAGCCCGCCACGTTAACGGTCAGATGCGCACCAGCGTCCTGGTGTCCACAACTTGACTGGCTGCGCCTCTTGCAGCTTGAGAAACCCTCACCCATCCTCAACACCACGCCGTACGCGAGCTACTGATCCACATTCCTGCATACCGCTCAGCATCACACGAATCACATCGCACACATTGCGTCACCGCAACGAGTCGACACTTGCCCGGCGGAATCTCTCTCTCTCGCGTGTCTGAGTTCCCGCTTTCCATCGCTTTGCCTGGCCTGGTCTGGCCGGCAAGTAATGACGCGCGCCCAAACTGAATGGGATAATTGCGCACCTCATACGCGCGGGGCTCTCGCGTGGTCAAGCGTCCAACGTCCGACGTCAGTGTCAATGTCACTGCCAATTGTATGCCTCGGCTTCAAGCTTCAACCGTCGACCCTTCAAGGTCATCCCGTTGCATTCTACCTACAATATCGGGTCCCTCGCTGCCCTTGCCAGACGTCCATCTCCATCGCAGACGCGCGGTATTCAATTCATGTACGCCGCCAATGAAGTTTACGTACAAGGCATCCTGCCTCCCAATCACTCTGCCCCTCTGACGCAGTGCGTCTCTCATGAAACGCAATGACGACCCTGGCTTATCCACATTAGATCGGCCCCGTCTGCATCTGTCTCTGCCCAGACACACGCAATGCACCTCGCCGCGGACTCGGATCTGCTGGCCACCCTTCACGGTACCCGTGCGGGATAGATCTGAACCATTCGTGCTACATACTTCGCATTACGGCACGCTCCAGGTCCCCGGCCGGCCTCTTTTTTTCCTGTCATCGCGTTGTCGCGATGCTCGGGTATAAGGCGTCGCGCGTGGTGGTCCGCCTAGGTTCCCGGCCCCCCAATCATTCTTCGCTCTGACAGCGCACGCTGCCAGGACCCGAGCTCGCGTCGCTGGATTGACGCGGGCTTCCTAGGATCGAACCCGCGCCGCTGTTCGCGCCGCTTGCTCGAATCGTGATGCGCCGGCCACCAGCTCGCCGCGTATGTGGATTGCTGAGGTGAGGAGGCGGCTACGTTGCATTGCTCCACGCCTGTGGAAGAATACATCACTCGTTCTGTGATACAATGCTGAGGCTGCTTCGTTTCAGCGACAGGCTAGTAGCCACCATCGACACCATGCCTGATATACGAGCGCGAGAACACCTCGGGCTACAATTAGTCAGTGTCTTGTGCGATGATCACCCCAGCGCACGTTGTCGTCATTCCTTTGACTGCCGCCTGGGGTTGCACCAACAAAAAGTTCGCCGTCGGCTCGTAAGCGCCAGGGGATGTCCACACTTGGCTCAAGAAGCATATACTTGACGCCAATTGCCTAGCGGTGTGTCTTTGCCTGCGCGTCGTACGTGCTGTATCATCCCTCCTGCTTCATTGAACGCAGATTGCTTCTAGGATTCATGTACAAACAGTGTTCGACCACTGATAATTGTCTACATTGTACAGTGGTCTTGGAAAGCCAAATCTCGCCACCGCACGGCCTCCAGCAATGATAGCGTCCACCTCCGCGCCCAACCATCGTAATGGTCTCTATCGGGCCACACCTGTCTGGGGCCCCTCATTCCCGACAATCCTGCGCGTTACGACACTCAATCCTCGAGTTCTTGAGGGCGTGATTGTGTCCGTATCCCATGGAGACTTGCGATGCAGCCTGAGATGAGAGAGAGACGCGTCTCCTCTGACATACCGTCACATGGCATCCCCGACCAGCCGATTTTCCCAGACTCGTTCCCAGCCCGTACTGCCTGACTAACGCACACGTGCCGTCGGCAGCCCAAGCGCTGCTTCAATTAAACTACCAGCACCGGCGAGGGACGCGCCGGTGCGCCTGGGTGTACGGTGCGGCGAACGCTAGATCGAGAGGTCCCCGGTGATGCCACGCTGTCGACGGTTTGCAAGCCACGCTTTTTCGCGGCTAGAGTCCAGTCGAGCTTCGCTAGATTCCGAGATTCTCTTACCATTCATAGGTTGTGCTCCGGTCACACGGAAGAAGGTCGCTCGGCGGAAGGCATTATCGGTCGAGGCCCACTGCAAAGATCGGAGTAGGTTAGGGTTCGCGCTTCGCAGGGATCTGTGGCTGGTCTGATCTATTGTCGAATTGAAGGCACACGATGCTCATTCGACAAAAGCCTATGGAGACGGAAGCATTGCCCGCATCGGCGTGGCCATGCTACGTGCATGGCGCTATGACAGTTTTCCGCTCCGGAATGCTGTGCTGTGGAGCTGCCGCAGCTGGAGCGTGAAGACGGACAAGGTTTTGACCTTGGCTCTTCGGATGATGTGCGCACGATCTTCTGAAGCTGAAATTTGCTTCCGTTTTTTCAAATCTGGCTGCCTCACAAAGCAATCGAACTCCAACCAATACAGATTCCAAATCTCTGCGAGTGGCGGGCCGCTTTTTTTTTCTTTCTCTCCTTTCATGTCGACTAGTCCAGCTTCAAAGATTTCAGCAACTCATGACTCTGCACTAGCGACTCGGGTGCAGATAGGGGCTGTCGCCGTTGGCATTCTTCCGTGAATGTTGCTGCTGGATTCGACTCATCCATTCCAACCCTGTTCAGCACGTTTCACTGAATCGTGTGTTGAACTTCTATCTGATTCATGCCCGTTGTGGCGCTCCGTTCAAACGCCGGTTCTGAGGCGTCCCAGATTGGCGGGGCGCTTGCCCGGGTTTGTGGGCGTTTGTGTGGCGACACAATACCATCTTCACGTCGGACCGAGTCACCTGGACTTGTGATGGTGGTGGAGCGCTCAACACCAGACGTACTCGGGCACCTTGGGAATGCGATGGGCGCCGACGGAGTTGGTTGTGGGTGTATGAGCTATCCGGCTGTCCTCGTCATCACCGCTGAGGCTGCGCGATCATTCATGCTGGCGACTCTTGCACACGCTCGGCCGACTTGACGCCTCTCGCTCTGTTTGTAACTTCGGCGATATCTTGTGGCACGACAGTCAGCATTTGCTTTCTGGTTCTTGAAGTTTTAGTCTGACGATGCTGCTCTGGATGACTAGATGGCTGAAGGATGCATTCGTTGATCCTCGTCATGACGCCATCATTCCTCGCCGTTCGTGGCGTGGCCGCACATCGAGACATCTGGACAGCTGGATGGTCTCAGGCTCATCGAAAGGAACCGTATCTTCTGGGTGACGTCAAATCGGTACGACTTCCCCGTGACTGGTTGGCCTTATCCAATCGCTGTCAGCCAGACGGCCCCCTGTGCAGATCGGCTTCGTGTTCCGAGACCTAGCACCTAGCCAAGGCACCAACAAAATCTACCTAGCTAGCTTTTTGTGGATAAAATCCTAGAAAGGCCTATCTGGACTAGGTGAGCGCGTACGAGCAAGTCTGCGGCGGTTGTCGGTGCTTCATACTCCTTCTCGCATCCCACCATCTAACCTTGCCAGAATTCTCAAACCTAGTCAGCTGTCCTATCGCAATAGTACGCTTGACCGAGAATCAGCAACGCCACAAAATTGGAACGCGAAACGTGCTCGCGAGTGTTGCGCTATTGATCTCGTCCCGACAACTCGCCCTCAAGTCCCGTCGCTCAATCCTCTCTATTGCATTGCGAACCAGGTGTCAGGAATAGGATCCGACCCCTACACGCGGTGGGGCTCGTCATGGCCGCCTTCGTTCTCGGCGACCAAGAAGCTCGATAGCGATGCGGTGCGCGATCAGCGCTGTGAAGGATGTCTGTCCATGGCCAAAGGTCACGATCTCCGTGCGCCCTTGTCAGCTTCCTTCAGATTCCGCAGCAAATCCGTCTGAAGCAGCGCCGACCAGAATTGGCTACGAAGGGTGGCTAGCACTGGCCACACAGTCGAGGCTGTACGCAGATCGTCTGATATGGTCCTCTGACTCTGACGGGCTTTTCGCATAACTCAATCGCGTTGTTCCACCTGTATTCTTACGTTTTTTTAACCACGCGAGCAACGTTTAGTGGCCAACATCGCGGCATCCTCGGGCAGATGCAGGCATGCGGCGAAATTGATGCTAGATATCTGTGAAGGTAGATAACAGCGCAGCGCGGACCGTATGTGTTCCAGTCACCCGCCACGACCGCGAAAGCTTCAATATATGAACGTCGGCGCGTGTGAATTTGCTGTGATGTTGTAGTAGCTTCACGAAGGCAAGATCGTACATTGGTGCGAACGAGGTTTGTTGCGTTCAGGGATTATGACTCGGATCCGCCGTTATATGTACCGGCAGCATGTTGTCCTTGCACACAATCGATCTTCGTTAACGGAAGTGATCGCGGACATAGTGGCGCGAGAGCCATGGGCCGCAGGCCGGGGCTTTTCTCGCTCGCGCATAGGTATACTGCGTCGCCATCGACGTGCGCTCTCCTGCACAACAAACAGTATACATATGGGAATTGTTGTATATTCCAACTTTTATTGTTGTTCGTTCTTACAGCCGTGCGCGTGTCAAACGGCTGATAGTCCTTATACAGTTAGAACCTCAAGCCGATCTTTCGCGCTGCGATCCTGGCCATGCGCTCATCTGGGATATATCAGAATATCTGCTGCTCCCAGCCAGAACATGTCTATCAATCTCCCATCAATCACAGCAGAAGTGTTCTTTATCCTACCCAAACACGCTTGTCCTAGGCATAGCAAATAGGGAATGGTCTGCCGGCGGGCTGTGCGATGGTCGGAGAATTCGCTGTCGCTCCGCTATGACAATGTCAATATACAATGTCTCCTGGCCAGATAGAAGAGCCTGGGATGGTCGAAGCTCGCCGCCTTGTGACCAGCCGGAGCGGAAGCTTTACCGGCCCCCACCTGATCCTGGATATGCTGCGCATGGGAGTCTGCCTTGCATTGCCTTCTCGTGTTCCGTCCCTCCTTCCGTGATAGCCTCGGAACAAGCGCTATTCAAAAGCCATTACTGGACGTCTGGACGTGGTGAAGAGCACTAATGCCTGCCAGGCCTGCATGACAATGCACCGAGGTCGCGGCGGGCCTGCTGACAATACGCAAGCACGGGCAGAAGTGCCCTAGGCCCTCGCCGTTACGGGGAGACGTCTGATTGGGACAACGAGCGGATAGACGGGGCGTATATGCGTACACGAATTTCGGAGCCTGGGATCGAGATGTGCCTTCTGTCTGTTCACGGGTAACGAGTGGTGCGAGCATGCAGACGTGATGTACGCCGACGCCGAAGTCATGTCTGCGAGAACGCTTTCCCGCCAGACTTGCATCAATGAATGTCTATCAGGGCCTGCGGACCTGAGCATTGAATGAACGCCGGGGTGACAAAGGAAAGACGTGCTCGGTCCGCGGCACCCTTCATGTGCATGAGGCGTGGTATAAACGTTGAAATGCGTGAGTTTCAGAACTTCTAGTGAACATCTCAGCGCTCGCCGCCATCCCCGATTGGGCCAGCGGCGTGCACGTCAAGCCAGAAGAGAGCGACCAACGCCTATCATAGTGTTGGCCATGAGGCGTGCTTATGAAGGGATTCTGAGCAACGGAAAGAATGCGAAAATATATGAACCGTCAATCTTCAATGAGGCGAGCGCCTCTTTTGTCTACGGTCACCCGTATGCGATCACCCGCATCCACGTCCTTGAACTATAGCATGCGACATTAGTACGATTGTCAGCATGTGGGCAACAGGAGAAAGATTGAGGGCAAACGTGCAGCCTGAAACGTACCGTCAGCTCCCTGGTGCGGTGCAAGCTCTCGATCTCGTCCACTCTATCGAGCACGTTCTCGAGAAGCTCATTAAAGCCTTCATCTTCGACCACTTCGGCCGCGGCACGGAGAACCAATAACGAGTCTGGGGTCACGTCGTGGTTGACCTTCGCCGCGTAATTCAGATAAGCCCTCATGCTATGATACACGCGGTGATAACATACATCAATTGCAATGATATTGGCGCGATCCAGATCTGTGTGAAGTCTGTTTAGAGCGCGGCGAGCAACAAGCATGTTCAGCATACCTTCTAAGAAATCAGCACGGGTCATGATTTGACGACACCTGTACTAGGTGTTGTTCAGAAGAATGGTAGCAGTGAAGAGAGGACAGTATGGGTACGTATGAAATTTTGGGCAGTGGAAGCTCTTCGAGATCTTCGGCTGACAATTCGCCAACGACTAAGACCTCTTCTCGCTTACGCTCGTCTTCGCGACGCTGCTTGACGAACTCACGCAGTAGTAACCAGGAAGTTGAGCTCCACTTCTGCTCGTCCATGACATCGTCATCACAGTCGGGAATGAGGCCGATGACACTTTGCAGCCATGCCTTCTCAACAGCGAGCATACGCCGTGAGCGCTCCAAAATGTCTGACTCCTTGGAGATTTGTGCCATATATGCAAGCCGGCCGCCTGTGATGGACATAGCCTCTTCGAAAACTTCCGGTGTTACAGGTTGCCGTCCTGCTCTACGTCGTAAGCGTTGGAATGCGCGCAGGCCGTCTTTGAATTTTAGGTCAGTCACGGAGACTATCTGCAGCACCTCAGACAAATTGAATGATCGTGTTTATCGCATGAGGCCAACACATCTACCGACCTGCATTCTACTAGCCGTTTTGCCTATTCAAAGGTTAGTGCTGCAATGAGATTCTAATATAATGGAGAAACACACGCAGTGTCATGTACGGCCAGAAGTCATCGCTGGGCTCATGCATCGTAAAAAGGGAGAATGATACGGTTGTCCTGGACTCACCAGGTGAGGACCATAGTCAAGATCCCTAGCGATGGTTTGTGCTTCAATGAGATTGGAGATCATATGAACCGCCTTACCTGCGGCCGCCCAAGCCTCGGCTCGCTGTTGGAGCTGCAGTAGCATATTCGTACCATCATCATTGTGCATGAAGAAGTGTATGTTATTTACGACCAAGACTAGTGGGCGACCGGTGCGTCGTGCATAGCGCAAGGCCACTTTCTCCAACTTACTGAAGGCTACCGATAATTGTGAGCAAATCGTACTGGCTCAGAGGCCGGTTTTACCTCGTTCAATGTCCAGCGCGGGGCCACCTATCATGATGCTAATTAGCAAACGTTATATTCTCACTGAGCTCATTCTCCACCTTCGCGAGGGTCTCGTCGCTGAAACAGGCCAGTCTGAGTATCTTCATAGTACTCGAAGTTCAACGCTTTCCCCAGGCGCAATCGGAAAACCTCCAAGTCAGGATGTGCGTCACACATTGCAAAGCCTTCAGCCTCTATAGTCTTCATGGCATCCAATATCATTGTTGCCTTTCCTGTCCCCTGAATACAAGTTCTCCTCAGTCATAACGATTGTAAAATGATCTCGCACGAACCTTGGGCCCGAGCAACAAAAAATATTGCCCAATCTCCTCACCTTTGATGACACGATCAATCAGATCCTGTTCCTTGCGACGCAAATGTTCTGGTCCAGGTGTTTGTCCAGAAGCTCCGTTATCCTCGGCTTTGTGACGGACTGCCAACTCTAACGCAGGGTCGTAACCGGCGGAGAATGCTTTTTCGATCTGTCGTTGATTGACACTCAACGCTCAATGCAACTACACAAAGCGAGCACTGACCTTATCCAGGACATTCTTTTTGTACCAGGCCATATAGATAACGCCGCCGATGAACACTGTTATCATGTTTCAGCTGTGTATCATGACACAGAGAGATAGAAGACGTAGAAATAATTGTTTATAGCAGTTACATAGGAGATAGCACGGCGAGGAAAACTCTGACTGCAAACGCACCCGCTCCAAGGCCGATGAGAGTGGTGATGGCTGCATCTGCTACTGACGAGCCTGTCGAAGGAAACCTCCGGCCACCCTTCTCATCACTAGAATTTGTGCTAGTTGAGGACATTTCTTCCTCCTTGTGGGCAGTGTCATCTCGTTTAGCCTGTTGTGAAATGCAGCGCGTGGCAGGCGGCGATGGCGCTACTGCAGGCTTGCAGTTGTAGAGCCTCTTACTACTAAAGCCATGCCTGGTGACGCGTAGCGTTGCGACAGATCTTGACACGACATGTAGCGACATTGAATGTGCTCGTAAACCGGATGTAGATACAATATGAGACTCTAGACTCGAGAGGCTACTTTGCCGCTTGCAACTTGACGGTGTCACGAGCCATCATCTGCTATTACCGAACAAGGAACATCACAAAGTACAACCAAGAGGTATCATCATAACAGTGCGGGTATCGACAAAATCGTACAAGATGCTGTGCGTCGTACATATGCTCTATATCGATGTCCTACAAATCATGAGTATCCTGTCCAATTCAGAGCGAACGTGGCGTTGTAAAAGCGTATAGTAAAAGAGCGATTTGGAAAAGTGAAAAATAGCCAGATGAGTGTGCAGAACTTGAAACTTTGAGGCGGACTTCGTCTTCGTGCTGGACTTGGGTGCAGGGATGGAATGAAGAAAGCCTTCGGACATACTGCCATGACAGTTATTGTTGTCTCGTCGGATGTGGCCATGTCCATTTGATCAACCATTAAGTTAAGCATCGAGACCGGTGAGCTCGGAAAGCCTTGATGGTGAAAAATAGCATGTGTGTAAGCCGTAGGTATGCATTCATGGAACATGGACTCAGCCAGGAACCGAGCAATACCCCGGATGTGGGAGTTATGTGAGAGCGGTGTTGCGGCTGGCGCATTTGTCCTGCTCGAGTATGAGTGATTGCGTGCACTCACTCTGGGGTGATCTGCGGACAAGCACAGAGCACAACTTGGTCTGTCTTCTTTCCGGCTGGGCATAGGTAGTGAGACACATCCTGATTGGTCATCACATGCTGAATGCACTGTTTGATGGTTTTCTTGCACCGCGCAGTGGGATCAGAAGCTTCTTTACGAGCGGTGACTAGCAGAAGTCATGAGCTTTACGCTTAGATCCACAGCGGGAAGGCAGATTTCTCGTAGTCAGCGGTCCACCACTTTTCCCTTGTCCTTGCTCTTGCTGACAATGGGAATGGGTTCGACTGCTCTGCCTTTGCCCTTAGCACTATACGGGATGCGCCCTGTGAGGCTGTCCGAGTCGTCATCATGACATGTCTTCTTACTCGGCCCTGGCCGTTCCATAGGAATATCAAAGGAGCGTTTGAGGTTGGGTCGGATGTGTTCTGCATCTGGGATACGCGGTGACTGCAGCAAATCCTTCGTCGAGTCCGTAGGCTGCACAGAGCTAGAGAAAGAACATTGTATCACGTCAGATGTGCCAGATGATGAGGGGATTGGAGGGGCGAACTTGGGCTTGTCCGTGCCGTCGTCCAAGCTGCCCTCCTGTAAATCCTCTATTAACAGGTTGTCGATGGTGCTCCTGTCAGTACGATACAGAAATGTGAGTTGATGGGAAGAAGCGATGAAATGATAGGTATACCGAGATAAAGACTCTGGTCTGCCCTTTGCCAGTCGGCGGTCGGACACTTCATTGCTGTCAGCCTGCTTGTCAAAGCGAACCGATTGGCGACGTTTGCGTTTGCTCTTCTCCGAGGTCCTGCGACTATCAAGAGCTGACATCGTTAGAGCGACCATTTTGCGGACGGGCGCGTCGTCAAGCCAGCTGCTCGTGAAGAAGGGATGTTAGTACACAACTACATATGACCGATAAACACCTGAAGCGAAAACCGACCTCGTTGGCCTCTGTTTATAGAGGGGCCAGCTGCGATCGGGACGAGATGGACCAGCTTCGCCGCTCTTTCGTGCACTTGAACTTCGCTCTTCCTGAGGGACTCGCTTAGAACTCGTCCGCTGAACACCCGTAGCCTTCACGCGATCCGTGTCAGAGACACTGATTGGTTTCTCCTTATGTGGAGTTGCCAGAGTGGCCTTCTTGGACTCGCGCTTCTCCACCTCAACCGGAGTGCTAACTAGTGACGGCCTGACGTACGCGAGACATCACCGTCAGCACATATGAGCCTATGCAGAACGACACACGTACCAAGCACGGCTCATCGACGGCTGACTTGGTTCAGGGACTGTTAGAGGCCGTTCGCTCTTTGGCAATGGGCGCATCGGCCGGTTTGGATACTTCAACGACCCACTCTTTTGAGGCCGCGATGTTGCAGCTTCTCCAAAAAAGACTCGTACAGCCTCGTCGTTCTGCGGCTGTCCGCTCGTCTTCGATGACCTGCCAGCAGCATCAGGTCTGTAAGAAGGAAACGATAAAACCTAACGCGATGGATAGCCGAGGGGTCGAATATACCTAAGCTGCTCCTGTTGCGTTTGTTGTTTATTCTCTGCCATCCCGTTGTCGTCGTTAGGGTTCCTATTAGGTGGAACATCGCAAGTCAGCCCAGAAGAAATCGGATGTCCAACAACCAGATGACATCCCTGGGCCGAGCTGAGTGCTCGTCCTTCTTCTGCATGGTCTCATCACCAGCGTGCCTAAACCAGGAAAGAAATGAGTTTCATTCGCATCGACAAACAACCTACGTACTTTGATTGTTGTGACGGCTGGTTTGTCGTGTTTGCAGCTGGTATGTAAGTCTCGGGCGCGTCCATCGCAAAAGTGTGGTTTCTGATCTGATTCATCTGATAGTCGATCCAGTCTATTCCCCCATTCATCCTACGCCCCTCTTCAAGTTCCTCAATCCCGTCTTGATCTAACTCGTACCAATTCCCATCCGTAGCCTTCTTCATCTTCACCGGGCGATCCCACAACTCCTTATCCGTCCAGTAGCCGACCTTGGGCTGCCAGTACGCGATGTAGTCTTCCATGCGCCTGCGCATCGCGGCCTCTTGGCGGATCGACTCCTGGAGCATGACCGCCTGCTTGCGCTGGTCGTCAGCGCGCTTGCGCATCTCGATCGAGCGCGAGTACTTCTCGAGCAGCTTCGTGTGCACCTTGGCCATAATTTTCACCGCGCGCTCGAGCTGCGGCTCCGTCGCGGGCAGCTGGTAACCCTCGCTCCGCCGGCGCGCGGGCCGCGGGGCAGCCGCCTGCGCGCGGTTGCTCTCCATGCCTTGCGCGAGTGTATCATTCAGGGGCCTCGAAGCATCGCTATTTTGGACCGGATCATCGCCAGCGCATGACGGGATGTCAGGCGGCTCCTTCGACTGGGCCGCATCACCACGAGTACTGGGTTTCGGATGCTTCCTGCGTGAACCTGAACGTGTTGCCGAATCGGCCTTTGATGGAGGCGCTTTATTGCGGGAGTGAATCTCCTTGGCCAGTGGCCTATCGCCGTGGGCACTTGATCGTTGAGGCTGCCTTCGCGAGTCGCGTCGCGTTTGGGAGTGGGCGTGGGATTGGGGGCGATCCCGAGCGTCTTGCGCACGAAGTGGAATAGCTACCTCATGCAAGGTAGCTGCAGCAAGATTGTCATTTCTGAGGCTCTCAATGAACTCGGAGGATGGCTTGATTCTGCATATCAGGACTCGTAAATCGTGAATAAATGAACGCCATATGAGACGCACTCACACCACTCCATCCGGAAACTCCAGCAACAACTGTCGTATAATCTCTTCACTCTCACGGTCGGTTCTGTGGCCATATTCCTGTGCCACAGCTTCGAGTTCACTCCGGTCGATCTCATGAAGAGCAGCCTCGTCCAAGACTATTCCCTCCTCCAACAGCTTCTCTGGAATCTCAAATGCGACAGGCGCTAGACGATCGTGTTCCCCGGTGGTCTCCGTGGATGGTCGTATTCTGTGCACAAGAAAGTTATCTGAATCGTAGGACATAGTGAGAGATGGTGCGCACTCACAGAACGCCACCAGGCGAGTCGAGCAGCAATTGCTTTATAATGGCCTCGCTCTCGACGTTCGTGCTGTAGCCAAACGCCTTTCAAAGCGTGAGTTTAGAGCAATCCTTGATTAGGCATGACGTACGTGAGCCAGAGTCTCGAGATCTTCTCGTTCAAGCTCTCGAAGGGCGACCTCGTCCAAGATTTCGCACTCCTGCACGATCTGGCGGAGCTCATCCTCTTCAAGACGTCTACCCACGGACGCTTCTGTCTTGCCATCCACTGCGAGCTCTGGGTCATGATTGGACATGGTCGAAGGCGCAGAGCAGAATTCCGAGCCACCCAGCTGGAATTTACCCGAAGTGTGACGAAGGCGGGGGGTATGATATATGCCAAACCGAGTCAGACTGCGCGATGGCTAATGATTGTGGGAAAAAGAGGACTATGCTCGAGAGTAAACCATCAAACATTGCGCATCGAGACGATGGCGGAGGCAGAGTGTCTTGTTGAACACTATTGGCGGATCTAGTCTGCATCTAATCTAATCTTATGAAAATGCTCAAATTCAATTTTAGAGGTTTGGTACGAGCATAACACGCGATCCCACAGTGGTGGTGAGGTAAAAACTCAAGAGAATCCTAGTTCCAAATATCAAGGCTGACACCCAGCAGAATTAGCCAGGGACTACAAAAACAAATGACAAGAGTGGGATTTGAACCCACGCCTGGATACCCAGATGAGAAGACCTGCAAAGCAGGCAAGCTTTCGCTTGAGTCACACGCCTTGGACCGCTCGGCCATCTTGCCATAACACAAACAAATTGTAACAACAATATAGGATATTATTTTGCATATACCACGATCACGTGGATTGAGTTCCACTGCGGATTGTGAAGCGGAGTTCCCTCTGTCCGGACGCTGCCGAACTGCTCCTGGTCCTATCTGGTCTGAGCGTCGTGGCGGTTCGTAGTGAACAGGATTCTCGAGTCTCCACGTACAAGGCATTCAACTTTGCTTTGCGCCGTCTGCTGGTCAGGACATCTCCTTTGGCTCAGTGTTTTTCTTGTACAACACAAAAAATGATGTCTTCTTCTGAGCCTGGAACTGGAGTAGCTTCCGTCTCAACCACGTTCAGCAACGCGAAGCGGCAATACCAGCAATGGCTCGACCGTGTTACACCATTCGTGCTGTACAGATGGCTTGGAACAGCAGGGCTGCTGTCTCTGTTTATGCTTAGGATCATGATAGCGCAGGGAGTGAGTCCTTCGGCTCGTATCTGGGGTCGCAAATATTCACGGTGCCTATGGTGCTGAACAGTGGTATATTGGTCGGTAGTCACCATACCTTGTTTTGAATGTTCGCTAATGTCAAGGGAACCACTTGATAGTATGCTGTACGTATGCTGGAGCCTTCAAATGCGCGTCAAAACTGACATTGCTTCTCGCAGACGCCCTCGCAATTTACTTGCTCAACCTCCTCCTCGCATTCCTTCAGCCAAGATTCGACCCATCTTTGCAAGAAGACTTGCTTGCAGACGAGATTGAGGGAGGTGGTGAGGATACGACTGCGACACTGCCTTCGCAAAGAGACGACGAATTTAGGCCGTTCGTCAGACGATTGCCAGAATGGCAATTCTGGTGGGTTCTGCGCAACCCCATGTTCTGGGCGCGATACTCATCTCTGCTCATCAATTCATGAAGGCTATCTTCGACGCGGGCCATGATCCTCGCTATACTCTGCACGTTCTCCGAAGTCACTGATGTACCCGTGTACTGGCCGATTCTGGTCGTGTACTTCCTCGTCCTATTCGCCCTCACGATGCGCCGTCAAATACAGTACGTTTCTCATGCGATTAAATTCCTGCGTGGCTGCTGACATCTTGCGAACAGACACATGATCAAGTATAAATATATTCCGTTCGATTTCGGTCGTAAAGTACGTTACGGTAGTCATTAGTCCGCATATTTGTAGTACGATACGTTTGAATGCGCCCTGGTTAGACGGTTCTAGCTGATTGTTTGCGGAATAGGAGCGCCGCTGCTGTTTGAAGTGGTCGCACAGCGTTCCGGTAATGGAGTTGTTCCGGACTATTATGGTTGATCATTCACCGGAGTGTGCCTGTTCTGCATGACTGTCCTGCAAAGGCTAGCGGATCATTTGATTCACCTAGCAGACGTTGTGCAGTACCCTATGGACATGCGTTAAGATACAGACCGCGCAAAATGGACACCTTGGGAGTTATTAACCGCGCAACAAACGGGCCGCAAGCAATATCGTATGCAGATAAACGACTCATTTGGACCTTGGTATACGTACGCGAGAACATATCATGCGAAGCTGCAATAAGTGTCCGGAACAACCCCCCCCTTTCAACAAATAACTGTTCTAGCTGCCTAGAAGATGAAGGGCACAACCGCCTTTCGCTCAGAAGGATAATTACGGAAGCGGCTGTGGTACCATTTGTGTCCCTTATACGCCCGCGGCAGCATGAAGAACACTTCTGAGAGGAAGAAAAGGTATGGCGGGGAGAGCGTCGCCAATAGCTGGGCAAAGGAAGCGAAGGACGGGAGAGGAGCTGCCGCGAGAGCAAAGCCTAGCCATTCGTACCACTCGCAGAAGTAGTTGGGATAAGAGATGTACTTGTACAGGTAGCCATGCGGGATTGCATAATGCTCCTGGTTGCCCTTTCCGCCGTTTCTGTCGTCGTCAGCGCGGGCCTTCCCCTTAACTTTAGCTTTCCGACGGATGTTGAGTAAGATCTCGTCGTGTATGATGTTTCCTGCGAGACCCGCCGCCCACATGCCCACGCCGACCCAGAAGAGTGGGCGGGAGAAGGCGCCAGCGAGGAACGCCTGTGCTGCGGGCGAGGAGAGATAGGTGCCAAGGAGCGAGCCATTGACGGAGTTGAATAACACTGCTGAAAGAGGGACGACAATGTGCGACTTGGAACGCGAAGGCGTGCGAAGAGGTGAGATGATAGCTCGATTCAGATAGTGGATGAGGAAGAGAGCCGAAAGAAACGTCGAGGGATGCGTGAGCGTCAAGGGTGGGGATGATCCGCCAGACAAGGGAGCTCTGATATATGTGTAGATGAACATAAGCGGAGAGACCAGCTCCATGACGATCCATGACTTGATACCTAATTTCAAGTGAGTCGAAGAAAGGCACAACTCATAGCACTTACTTACCGTCCACCAAAAGAATGCTAACCTTCGAGGGCGTGAACCGCCCGAACGGAGCATCAATAAAGAATGTCACTGGGCACACCAGCGGAGGAATAATGGCAAACAACGTTCGCGTCGCTGTTCGTCTCGTAGTCAGTGCGGCCACAATGCCTACCAAGACTTTCACGCACCATCGTACCAAGTCCTCGCTCTCTCCACATCAGACATAATCAAACTTGTGCAGCAGCGGTTTATTGATTGCGTGGACGTGATACGGACCGAGAAGTGAAGATGCCTAGCGCGCCGGCCACACCGTCAGTGTATGTTTGCAAGAGCGCGTCGCGGCGTCTAATAGGTCAACGCCTCTACCTTCGTTCACATCGTCGGTCTCGCTCTTCAACAACGCACTACTGTATCAGAAATTGAGAATGGGGAGTGCAGCGTCCAAACCAGCTCGTCATTTCTCAAAGTCGGTCAAGCCCAAATGGGCTGGTACGCGTACTACAAACCCCAGTGAGGCCACAACTTCTCAGTCCGCCATGCCTCAAGCATCGGAGATTAGGAACGAAGGTAGTACCTTACAGCTTAAAGCTTCGTATGGATCTAATCAATTAGAAGCTATTGAACGAGATTCAGTGGATCCACAGTTCTTGGCCAACCTGAGCAAGCTAGGACAGGTAAGAGTAGATCATCACATGCAGACCATCCGGCCAGTGAGTAAATACAACATGTACGTTGATACCAGGATGAGCTCAGAACACCTCTCAGGCCGCAGATCGCGCGCAACGCATCATTCAGAGCAGAATGGAATCTGAGGTTGAGGCCCGCTCCGCACGCCCAAGTCGGAACCACCTTCTGGCAACTTCTCTCCTCGATCTATTGCATGAACGACAGACCGCCACGAACAGCGAGCAACTTCAAACGCTTACCGATCAATACGATATTGATCTTGCAAGGCTTGAGAGCGTGGCACGATTCGTGAACGGTTCTAGCGTTGAGGAGGGATCGGTTAAGAAAGTGGTCGATGACGATGGGGTGGAGAGGATCACCATGAAGGTACGATTCGTCCTTGTGTCTCAGATGGTTGCCTCATGAAATTGTTTCGCTCAGGCTGCGTGGAAAGATCCCAAACTCAACGAGAAGACTCCGTAACTGCCGTTCAACAGTACCGGTCATTCTGGCTGCTCCTGCGGATGTTCTGGATAGCCACATTCCCGGCCAGCGGCTCGACAGACATTCTGGAGCATTGGAAGCCCATCTGGAGAGACGAAGCGTCGATATCTCCAATTGGCCTCTGCCGTGCATCAGGTCAGCGACATGCTCTTGGGGTCACTCTCGACGATACGACAAGATGTCCGGAATGGCACGTATTGTATTTGCTGTTTGCTACTGCATAACGTAGGTCTTCGCGCCTCTGTCAGGCACTGTCGCTCAGCGCTAGCAATATGCACTTGCCGTCGTTAGATCTCATGTCCTCGATTGACAGACAATGCGTTACGATGACGATTTCCCTTTCCTTCCAAAGCTCAGACGCACGATTGAGACGTTCGACCTGCATTGTGAAAATATATGTCGGGCTAACTTGCTTGGTTGCGCAAACTACCGATCCTTTGCCGCAGTCACAGTTGCCGATATGCAGGTGTGGCGTGGACCTCTGACTCGTGTCTGATCACTCCATGAGTATGCGGCCTCCGCAGAAACTGGTTCGCACTCATGCACTTCTCTGAGATCGTACGCTGGTGGAGGAGGAAAGCCCAGTTGACTCGATCATGGCTCCCACGACAAATTTCTCTGCAAGGACCAGATTATTTACCACAAGGGGATCTGGCAATAAGACTAAAGAGTTCAATATCTTTCACTAGCCCACTCCCAGCTATCTCTGTCTTTGCGTTCATCCCAGTTTCTGCCCATCAAGCGGTCACTCAGTATCGTTCTTATACCGTCTTACATTCGACCTCGAATCATTCCGCATGCTCCCATTCTTTTCTGGTCCTGCCGAGGCGTCGAAGGCATTACAAACTGTCTGCAGTGTCATGGCAACACTAGGACAATAGGCTGTTCCGCATATCGTGTCATGTGAACGCGTCCTGCAGCATCCGCCAGCTCGTGGTCCTCCGTTTCTCCCAGCCCGCCTCTCTCGTCATGCCTTACGTCTACGATGGCGACATGGAAGCCTGAATCGTCCATATCCGCGTCCGTATTCTTCCTGCGATCCATAACCTTGATTTGTGGTACTTGGACGAAGCCACATTCGACGGGGATCAGGTTCCATATTACAACTTCCTCTGTCCCTGGCAGCAAGATGGGTATCCGGCCGCTCCGTAAGCCTGCCACAATGAAGCTGTCGGAGCTGTCCGCCTCGAGATGGATGACGACGTTGGCAGCCCGATCTGGACGCTGATTCCGGATTATTAAACGGAGTTGAATTGGAACGTGGAGCTTCGCAGACGGTGGGACGTCCATTAGCGCGATAAGCTCATCTGAAGGTGGATGTAAAGCAGGCAAAGGGAAACGAGTGAGCGATAGAGATCCATGGCGTCCCTCAGGAAGAAGCCTGAAAAGGAAGTCAATTTCCAATCATAGATTATTAGAAGAGGGTTTTGTTACCTTCTCCAAGAAATTTCGTACTCCCCGGGAGCTCTCACTCCCGCACTCCGTATTTCATGGTCCCCGGCTGCTAGACTGAGTCGGCAATGGTCGCAGAACTCGTCTCCAGGCAGCCAATCTGCATAACGCTGTATGAGATGCTGTGGCAGAGTAATCAGGGAATGGCGTACCGGTCAGGTATTCCTCAAAATCCTGTTCGACAGAGCAGTCGACAACCTTGGCATGCTCACCGTCCTAATACACGATGATACTGGACCTCAAGACATATAAGCTGAGTAGAAATCGCACATACCTGCCTAACCATCTTGATACTCTCAACCACGATTCCTGAAGGAGCTGTGCAACGCCATACGGTGGTTACAACCGCTTCCCCTGCATCACCGTCGTCCCAGAAATCATGATCATACGTCCGGAGATCCGCTAGGCCTGGTCGTGGTGCAAGCGTGCTCTTGTAGACCACCCGCTGCTCAGTCGCTATCGGCTCTGTAAGTGGAATGGACAAAGTGCACAACGTCTCGTCCCTATCGATAAGCGACGGCGCTGTAAGACTTTTTGGCGACGCAGGACTGGTGGGCTCCGCAGTGGACGATGTTACGCGCGACTGCACCGAGATATCAACGACTCTGTCGTAAACGCTGCCTGCACTCGTGAGATAGAGGGTGACTGTGGTGCTGACACCAGGGCCGATCACACCAAGCGAAACGCCTTTGATCAGGCTGGCAGAGCGTTCGTCTCCAATGCTGATGAAGTCCTCTATGAAGAGCGGCATGAGACATTGGTCAGATCCAGCGATGATCGGTATATTGAAAGCTCACCAGGCTCGTCAACATCGGTTGGTTGAAGGAGGGTATCGACGATCATATCCATTTCTCGTTCATCCATGTTCGTCACATTGATGGCGATGGGGTATTGTTCGCCGACATATGCAGGAGCATGATGTGAAAGGGACACACTGACTCTGTGTGGCTTGTAGTGTATACTGATTGTAGAGTCCATAACGTTTGCACAAACTCGAGGATAATTGCACACTCACATCATAGAAGTATAGTGATCTCTCCGTATGGGGACAAATTTGACTGGATCTAGCGAACTCAGCCAATTGGGGTATCCAATGTCGGGGTGACGAGAGTGGGAAGGTTGTAGGGGCAAATCTATTCGCCAATTCCCTTCTGCGATGCGCAAAACTACTTTGATGACCTGGCAGAACAGCGTTGTCAATATATGACCAAAGCTGAGACAAAGAAATGTCGTGACACACCTTAATTACTGCCGGCATGTCAGTAGAGACTGTACCAACGAAAACCACTATGCCGCGTGGGCGCCAACGGAAGGATGCCCGAATTTTCTTGCTTTCAACATCGTCGGCTGTCTGGCCTATGTGGCCTAAGTCGACTTCTTGGACCAGAGGGATGTTCTCCATAGAATCCGCCGATATCTGTTCAACGACGATGGGAGGAATATCCGCAGAGAAATGTATCGTCGCTGATGAGAAGGGCAATGCGGACAAAGACACGTTCTCTCTCGCCATGAGCGATATCTGGAATGCGGCAGCCTCGCCCACTATTGCATCTGGTTGCCAGAAGATAATCGAGGAGTTCACTAGAACGGATGCATCAGTGAACTACAGACCGATATGTACGATAAGACACACATATGGGCTGTGAGTCGGAAGAGTCTACGACCAAGGTCGCCTCCGTTGTAGAAGGCACGCTGCTCTGGCAGTGGCACTAAATTGTCAGCAGGATGTCGTGTATCGGGCTACGTCTGTCACTTACCTTTAGCGCGGCTAGCATGTCCTCTTGAGTGGAATCAGGGTCATCCGATTGCGTCCTGATATCTGACAGAGATATGAGCAATAGCAGCGATCCTTAAGAGCATATGGCACGTACCATGTCCCAACATCTCAATCAGCAATCGCACACTCAGCTCCACATCACCCATCTTCCGCGCGCAAGAATACCACGTTGATAGCAGTGGCTGCAACAGAGAATCCCACTGTTCCCGTCTATACGTTTTCGCAATCCGCTCGAAGAAACTGAGTTCAGCGCCGTCGTCAGCCATCCTTCTCAATGAGAGAAGTCAGAAATCGCGAACCGGACAGCCATGTCGAACTTGCCCGACTCGTAGTACGTGTGTGCGATCCCGTATGCAATCCAGAGTGTCAACCGTCCCTGGCCTTGGACGGTCGCGGGGCTGTATGCCTTGAAGAGCTCATAGGCTCTCGTATACAGCTGTCGACCAATGTGTTACTGCCTCATAGTCAACGTTGAAGGGAGTGCATCAACATACCTCCAAGATAACCGCAAGATGCTCCACCTTCTTCTCATTCGAGAACCCAGGAGCGGTCATTGTCACTTGCTGCTTCGCCTAACCTATCGTGAGTGACCTGACGCACCCTATCCTCATCAAACACTCACTTCGGCATCTAGAGCAGCCAGAAAGCGCTCCCGTCTGCGCTCCGTGCAACGCGCAGCCATGTAGTAGTAGAAGCCAGGATGCTGCAGCGCCTGCGCAGGGTTCAGTCCGAGCACCTGCATTGCCTCCACCTCGAGCACGCTCCGCTGGTTGGCATCGAGCGCTTGTGCTGCGAGCACTGCAGCGGCTGCGGCGGGTGGGGACGTCGAAAAATGGGTCGGTATTTTGAGCGTCGAACGCGTGCCCTGCTCGAGCAGTTCCGCGAAGGCGCGATGTCTGCAATTGGCTGCCGTTAGGCGTAGGTATTAAGGCAGTCCTGAGACGAGACTGACTGTCTCGCGAGCCAGCTCCAGAACTCGTACGTCTCCTCGCCTATTCCCCAACCCCGTGAGAAGTCTGCAAATTTGCGCATGTGGCTAGTATGCTGTGCGAGTGCGAGTGCGTGCTCATTGTTATACAGATACAGCTTGCATATCTGGAGGAACAGTGAATTCGATGATGGCTGTCGTTACTGCGTGCAGGGCATACTTTGAGGTCGATACAGTCGGACAGCACCTTTGCCTCTGCCCAACGCTTGGTACGAGGGGGCAGGATCGCAGTCGACCCGAACATCAGGAGCAGCGTCGAATATGCATCCTGATAGTGCCTACCAAATGTGATGAGCAAAGCCATCGAATATACAAATCGCAACATACTTCAGCGCAACCTCGTCCTCTCCACGAAACTCCGCAAAGCATGCCATCTTGTACTCGTATCTGACCGTCCAGCCCTCCGGCCTGAGCGGCCGTGCGGCCGACTTGCTCCCAGCTAGGCTCGGTGCAGCATACGACGTCCCTGCCTGGGAGTGGCGATTGCGCTTTCGGCGCACGCGCTTCGAGTGGTTCGTGTAATACTCCAGGGCGGGCTCGTACAGAGCCTCCTGCAGGCTGATTGGGTTGAGAAATGAGCACTAAGTGCAGATCCACCGTCGCACCTGCGTACAAAATCGCCGATCTCGGCCTGCGATACTGGACTCAGCACGAAAAGGGCCGCCCGCGGGTCAAGCCCGCTCTGTCTCCGGATGTATGTTAAGCGGCCGTCCAACGACGGGTTGTCTGCACTAATCAGATGATATAGGATCCAAAAAGGACCTGAATTACTTACCCAGCATCCGTCTACTCGCCAACAGCACCACCGTCAGCTTGACTCCCCGCTCGCTCGTTGACTTCTTCCTCTGCGCAATCTCCGCGCACAGCTCGTTGTCCCTCATCCGCTCCTCTGCCTCTCTCTCGTGGTCTCCATCTCCAGTGTCAAGCGGGGAATGCGGCGCATTTTGAGAGGGCTCGAAGATGTGCATGAACATGACGAATACGGACGGGACGAGCGTGGTATGCTTGCGGACCCATATCGGCGCTATGAGCCCGTCCGGGTAGAGTGGAGATGTAGGGGTAAGCGGAGACAACGGCGAATGCGCGCTGGAGTATTGCGGGTCGTCCGGCGGGACGAGTTTGCGCGGCGGAAAGCGCACGTCCTGCTGGTGGCTCTGTCACTGCATGATGCGGGAAGAGTATAGATGCACACCTTGTCGACAATCACGACCTGAAACGTCTTGTTTCTCTCTGGCTGCCAAATCGCAACTTTGCGTTGGTTGAGCAGCGCTTCGCGCAGCCGGTACGACAGCACTGCGAACGGATCGCGGCCCTCGCCGGGAGGTTGTGGAGGATCCAGTCCACCAACAAACATCCTCGGAGCAAGCTGTACAAGAAGTTCTGGAGGATATGAGTTCATGTTGTCAATCCAACATACCGCGATTCAGAAACGATAATTGTGGCAAACATTGTGGCCACACGCGTGGCAGAGGTCACGTGACACGCCCGGAGATTGACAATGCAAAAAACATCATGAAATCACTTGAAACAAAGCTTGAGATAACAAGAAATCGGTCAACATCTTCAATCTAGAATCCCTTCGGTATGTGCTATCATCCGAAATGCATGTTTGCAGTGATAAACGTAGGGCTTGTGTATTTGTACAGGTTGACGACATGACGACAGTGCTGCATCACGGAATAGCTCTTCCAGCTCTGATAGCCTTCGCGGCTTCGCTCTGCGCCTCGTCGCGTAAGTACCGAGTATAGATTGGTGCGTAATGTTCTAAATCCTATCACGGAAAGCGTTAACAAGCAGTATCCATATTCCTTGAAGGCAAAATTAATGCTCACGCTAGACGTCTTCACTACACTATCCCTCTTCTCGAGGTTCTCCGCCCATTCCTTCCACCCACCGCCGACTGCTTCTCTTGTGTACCCACGGTGCTCCCTTACGATATAGTCACGAACGACCCACGGCGCCACCACAACGTCAATCATGCTGAACTGTTCCCCAAGGAAGTAGGGACCCTTCGCCTTCTCGGCGATCGTCCTGAGCGCCTTGTTGAACTCCTCAAGGTAGGCCTTCTGCTTGTCCGGTTCCTGCGCCTGCACCAGACGGTGAAAGCCAGGAATGACATTCTTGGAGACATGATCGATCCAGAGGCGCACGTAGGCACGCTCGAATGGGTCGACTGGGAGGAGGTGAGGTGCGTGATCGGGGTACGCGTCCTCAAGAAACTCGCAAATAATCAGCGACTCGGCGAGCGGCCTGCCTTTGTACTCGATGGCAGGGACCAAGCCCTTGGGGTTTATGTCTGAGAAATGATCACCATGAACGTTGGGTAAAACGGAGGAACATTCTGACTAACCGAGAAAGTACTTCTCCTTTTTGTATGGATTGACCTCCTTGTATTGGTAAGGTATATTCTTTTCCTCCAAGCTAATCCACACGCGCTGTACGAATGGGCAAAACTTGCACACGCACTCAGCACTAAGAACGGTGATAGCTCAATGCACGAACATACCCATCCAGCCCAGAACACGAGGTCCTGTGGGTCCTGGTGCGCCGCAACCGTTTTGGCGGCGGGACCTGTCGCAACAGGATAGATGTCTTCGTCAGGATGACCCATGTTCGACGGCACGATGTTCGAGTATGTCCTCTATATAGCGTTGAGTTCATGCCTGAGTAATCTTCTTGCGTCATGCATCACGATGTGATCATCTGAGTGTCAGCAGCGAAGTGCAAGAGAGTGCAAGCCGACTTGCACACGGAAAGCCATGCACATGAGTCTTGGCCTGTGATCAAAGCCCACACGCGCGCGCGCTGCCAAGGCTGCCCCAGCGTCCCAACTGGCTCACACCATCGCATACTGCCTCCACAGCCTCGGCCTTCGCATTGTCCTACAACCGCCATATTCACCGACCGCTCTGCTCTCTCGCTCGGAGCAGCGAAGATCTGCAGCGCAGCTCGGCCGCCTCCATCTCGATAACCGTTCACGGAACGAGGAGCGAGGGTGCGCAGAGGCTGGGTGGCATACATGCGAATGCGAAGCCGGTGAGTCCGCGTGCATCTCGTTTATAGATGTACCAACGAAGCGTGCGCTCGCGTTGCGTCTGGGCAGCCTGCGTCCGTCCGCCTCTGTCCAGAACGCGGACGACGACCTGTTTTCGATGGCGATACGCCGCGTCTTACAACCGCCATCGCCCTGCGACCACACAGCAGCCCCTATGGCGGTCACAACCACGGGTACGCGCTGGCAGCCCGACCCTGCTCTCACAGACACATCGCGGCATCGACGCCTCGACGCGATGCAGGGAAGATCCGAACATCGCACGAGACGACCTGCACGGACACGGGCTTCAATTCCGAGACGTGCGCGATAGCCCAGAGCGGACCTTCTGCGGCGCGAATGCATCAGGACGGTTGATTTGTCTGCGGTGTATGGATCACGCGCACAGAGGAAGCCCGAGTGGTCGGGGTGAACAGAGCATCAGACCGAGAGCTCTCACGCCATAGTGAGTTCTCAATTCATTCATGCGATAGATGCACATTTCCGTCGAGCTTCGAATGTGTGGCGTTACGACTCGTCTCGCGGGCGGCCGCTCTCGACGTGTGGTGGGCGAAGCAGCTTACATGTGCGCGGCCTGGGCGCATTACGTTTCCTTTGGGTTTCTTATGGTGTTACAGAACTACTGTACACGCTGAATACACTGCATGGCGGTCCGGGTGTGACGGTCAGACGCGCGAGACTGGATGAACGTGGAAGGTACGGATCGCGATCCGCGAGTGGGGAGCGATGGCGCAGCGCGGATCGAGCACGTCGGATGATGGGACTGCATGCGAGCGGTCTCCGATGCAGCCACAGAAAGCGAGGGTTGGCAGCCCGGCGTGAAACACGGACTGGGAGGAAGTGTACGGGCATACTGGGAGGCGAGGAGAATGGGGTGGACTAAGGAGATATGCTGGTCGGGAACCTCGACGTTCAGCTAGCAGGCGATCCTGCGCGCGTCATTCACGCTACACATGCGGCTCGGGAATTCCGCGTGCGACGTCCGACCTGGCAAGACAGCAGGACGGTGACCAGCGTGGCGGGCGCGTCATGCGAGGACGACGTCCGTACGCACTCCACCCAAACAGGGCCGAATGGGTTGCTTCTCGCGAGCCCGGGCACACGGCGATGCGCGTGCCGTTGTCTCCGTTGGGCGATGCGCCGGTGCCAGCTTCGCAGACGTGCTGCAGATTGGCCGCTGTGTGGCACGTTGGGACCATCTCAACACCATTGGGCTGAAAAGTGCGCACCGTCCATGTCGGTCTCACGGAGCCTTGTACAGACCGAGCTGACGCATCGATCCACAGACGCATTTCGTACGCGTTACCGCCGAATGCTGCTGGCGACAGGAAACATTGTCGAGTCAGCACTCTGTAGACTGTGGGGCGATGCGAGCTCGACGCACCTCAAGCTCGTGAGCGCGATGCTGCCGATCCCGAGAGCCGGGTATCGCAAGTGCCCGCTGGGTTGGGACCACCCCCGCATTCCCAGGCCAGAGTCCATGACTCGCACGTAAGGCGGGCAGAGCACCGCCTTTCCGACTTCGCCGTGTCTGGACTTCTGAGAAGGATGAGTATGTGATGGGACTGATATTGGAGAAGGTACGGGCTGGGATTCTAGCCCTCTGCAGACAGTTTTTGGGACTCATGCCTGGCTGAAGCGAGTCATCATTTGGCCGCAAGATGATCGGACTGGGAACATCTTGCTATGCGTCCCACACCCCTTACGGTAAGTCCGGTTTCATGAAACATCTGACTCAAGTTGGCTATAATAATGGGGTCACCGATTGACAGCTGTGCATAAGAGAAACGCTAGTGTCCCAGGAACTTGAACACCATATATCGGAGACAATGGATGGACCTCGTGAAAACTGTGAAAATTATGTATGGTGCTGTCGTGCTTTGCATGTATCACGGATGTATACTCCGGCTGGCCGCCACATATCCATCCGTCACACATATCGAACCGTGCAGGATCCAGACTTGATAACGTCGCAACCGGAAAGCTTCTCATTGCCCGTAAGTGCTTCGACATGATGAGCCCAGTGGCGACAGAAGGACCAGAGGGCTCATCTGACGACCCAGAACATACGAATGCACGGCGAAGAAGGTCCAAACGTGCTTCGTTGAGTCTCGGCCCACAAGGATGGTGCAGAGCCATATGGACATGCATTGCATCCTCCGTTCTTCGCAGCCCATCTTTCGCGCAACATGCAGTTTTGATATCAAATGAACATCATGAGCTTCATGATGTTACTAAGATATCAGCTAATCGACATGTCTTGCGAATGTAATGCGGTTCGGATGTGTCTGAAAATATCAACAGACCTGGGGTCCCTGGGACTCACCTTTGAACTTTGTGTGATTTCTTTGCATCGTGGCGTCCACAAGAATATTGCTCAGAAAATTTCGCTACGTTCCAGTGTGGTACAATCTTGTATCATTTCAACATCAGAAGACTCTGATTATGGAGAAATACAGGGTACCCTTTCGCCTTGAATCCAGTGAGATTGCACAACAGTGTATGAGAATAATCGGAACTTACCAGGTCAACGAGGCCTTCTGCTTACATGAACTTCCATGCCTAGCCCGCAATGGAGCATCATGACTCATGGAGTATGGCGGCGCCTTGCATGAAGCAGACACGGAGATTCTCAAGAAGTCATTCTGTGAGCTTCCATTGGCATAGCTGATGCTGCCGGTTCTGAGTAATCCTGCAGCCTGCCACAATCAGTGCGTTCAATAGAGCAGGGCAGTGTACATTATTTTAAAGAGCAGTGATGTGATCAGCATACCGTCGAAAATCACACAGGCCAGTGCATTGGTGGAATGCACACTTTGGATCTCCTAGTTTCATCATCCGAAGGGACACCACGAGGCATGACTAGATCTACATAAACCAAACAATGCAGAGTCCAGGTGATCTGGGATCGATGTGGTCGTGAGATTGCATCCGTGAAGATGCGACTCGTCGAAGTTGATGCATATGCATCATGATCTTCTGATAGACTTGGCGGACATGGTCTCGGGTCCTCGTTACATCGGAATGTGAAGAAGAAGGGCGAGCGGGTTCTCACTCCGTCAATATTTGACCAAACAACTCACATGCACACACAATATTCATCCCGAGGAACCGCCTGCTTTCACAATGCCTCTGTCGTGACTCGTCCGCTCCTCTGCTGTCTCTCCCTCCCTCGCCATGTGTCCTATATCTCAATGAGGCAATCTTTGAATTCGTACTTCTCTGCCTGCCAACCATTAGTGCTACGCATTCACCTGGGCTGAAAATCGATGACCGTGGCGGCTGCAAAATGAGCAGCTTGCGGCATCCATGCATGCCTCTTGCACGCCTCTGCACAATTTCTGATGAACTGAGTCACCCTGTCACAGATTCTCACGTTTTCACCTCTGCACGTGACCAAGACATCACTTGACATCAGCGCTAGGCTGTCCAGAAAGGAACGAACCGGTACGCGAAGTACTGACAGTTCTAAGCGTCACGAAGGTTCAGGTCTAGTCACGTGACATATCACGTGATATACACACATGTGACAAGTAGTGCTGGTATTAGGTAAGCCTAACTTATACAGTAATATCATCCCACCTAGAAGCAACAATCGGACTTCGGAAGAATCCAAGGAAGGAGCCACACGCCACCGGAGATATGTCCTTAAGGAGTTATTAGTTCACATACACGAGGTAGATAGATAACACGCCACCGGAGATGTAGCCATTACAGGCAATACCATTCTCATGGTCTTACTAAGTAGTTCGGAGGTTCGGCATGCATGACACACGTAGTCTGACAGGTAGTGGTAACCAATCAGACAATGTTCATTAGCTAGCGGTTCTGGGGTATCAGGGTACCAAGGGTCCCTCCGCTCATGTATATAAGCCAGAGCTCTGAGACGCATAAGTCCCCCAGACTTATTCTCATCTCTGCTACACCTATTCATATAGTGTCACCAGCGCCCACTTGCAAGGCGCTGCTTTACCTTGATCATCTTCGTGTCCATCCTTACGTCGACAACAGTCAGTAAGTGTTTGATCATAAGGTCATAGGCTTAGTCGGCGCTCTGCGTCCTAAGTTTGTGATAGAAGAATAAGTCTGACATTACCTGCCTCGAGTGCCTGCCCAGCGTACTCGCCGCAGTGTTGCGTCTTCGCACGTCCACCCGCACGTTAGCGGTGTCATATCTTCACCTGACGTTCCATCAGTCGCCGACTCTACCAGCGTAAGCCACACCAAGGCATTGCGCAGCATCGACGGTGTCATCCGTCGTCCTCGAGCGAGAACTCCAGAAGAGTTCTACGAGCAGCGGCCCATAAGACCCCTGCCAAGGCCAGGACACATTTCTACGGGAGGTCGGACCCCTCGCGGCACAAGTTCAGTTTCTATTATCCAGACTCCCTCGGTCAGGCGACCGAGACTACCTGCAGGACCATCTGGTCCAGATCTCAATCAAGGGACATACATCGAGACCGCTACAGGGTCTCATTTCATTTATCCTCTCGCCATTTCCATCATCTCGACTCAGCGCGTCGAAGGCACCCTTCGACAGATTTGTATCCTACTCATCAAACGATACCGTCGTCAGCTTGACGACCACGACATCTTCGATCTTGAGCATCTCATACTCAAGCTCGAATCCATCCGCACTGACATCGCGGAATTCAAGCTTTCCTTCGTTCACCAACACGTGGTTTGCGACTTCTGCAACTACGTCCAGGAGAGGAAGCATCAGGGCGGAGAAGCTCGTTGGATAATCAGAGATATTATCCAGAAATATCGTCTAGGAATACAGGTCACAGGGCGACCTTTGCTGTAGATACGAATAGTTACTTTGTATATGTCTTCATCTGGCGATTCGAACAATCTTGATAACTTTGAGCAACTCAATCCAATCGGTCATACCTTCGATTATCTTTGGGATTCAATTCCACGTGTTCTTCGAGACAGAGCAGGCGAAGCATTTGCTACATACGAGGACACGTTCCACATCGATTACCACGACGTATATCACATATACGCCCTTCAACTCTATTCAGAATTTGATTGGAGGAACGTCGTGGTGCATATCTGCTATATCCCTATTAGAACCGAAGAACCCGAGGACTGTCTCACCGAAGCTTACAATAGCTTCGTCGACTGGCTCGAAGAAGTCGAGCGTATTTGCGAAATCCATCATAATCACCAGTGGCCTGCAGTCAGGGACAAAACCAGGTTTTTGTGGCAACCCTTCGTCAAGGTCATCTATCGAGACCTTTATTTGCTGCAAAACCAACGCTCAGGACGAGTAATTGCCCGACAGGCCACGATCACCAATAGACATATCGTTGAGTTCGAAGAACATCTTCGTGAAATAGAGGAAGAATTGTAAGATGGCGACCCCCACTGCACATGATCCCAGCTTCTCCCGTGCTCCATCTCTGGAGCTTCCCGCACGTCTCAATATTGTTTTGCAACCCCCGAATCCTATCATTCGTCAAGCCCTCGCCGACACGGCGCCTCCGAATGTGAATATACCCGAAAATGTGAAGAATTGGGTAGTCGATCTCATCACGAACGTGGTGGAAAAGATGCGTCAACAAACGGTGGCGCATTACGAAAATCTTATCCAGCGTCAAGCGCACACAATGGAACGTAACACCACGGAGTTTCACAATCGTACGGTCTTCTTAGATCAACATTGTCAACAATCCGAGTCTCGAATCGCAGACTTGGAGAAAACCTCGTCAGCTTTACTTGAGGAAAACAAGACCACTAACGAAGCGTTTGTGGCATTTGACGATGAAGTCAAGGATCTCAAAACAAGGACAGAAGACCTAAAGAAATCACATGATCGACTGCGCGCATGGGCATCTACTCAGGGGAGGAAGGCAGGGCAAGGCGGTAACAATGTCGACGACATGGACGACGACGATGAGCTGTCGTTTGGTCGCAAGGGTAAAGGCGTAAAAATTGACCAACCAGAAAAATATGGTGGCAATAAAGACGGAGTCAATCTCGATGATTGGCTCGAACAAGTCATGCTCTGGTTGAAATATACTGGACATACCAAAGACGAGTCCAAAATTATGTCTACCCTCTTGCTCCTGAAAGGAGGAGCACGCGAATACATGCGGCATTGGATTACTGAAATAAACGAAAACAACAAGACACCAGGAACTTGGGCGGAGTTTGTCGCTGAACTTCGCACGGCATACGAATCATTGGACAAGGATGACAAGAAGCGAACGGAGTTAGAAGCCTTCGTCAAGAAGGATCATCGAGACTTTCGAAAGTTCGCAGAAGACTTCCATCCAAAGGCAACCGGTACAGGCTTCTCGGATCAAGACTTGATCAAAAAGATCAAGAAACATATTCCGGAGAAAACGTGGCTGCTCATGCTGGCAGACACAACCAAGGACAACTGGCCCAAGAAGTGGACCGAGTTCCTTACATTCGCACTCCGGATATTCACGTCACTACAACGAGATAAACACCACGCCAAGGCCGAAACCAAGGACCCGAATGCCATGGAGGTTGACGCAGTCGGGAAGAAGGGGAAGAGTAAATCGGGCAAGGCGCGAAGCATACAAGATGACAAGTTGGTTTGTGCCAACTGCAAGAAGAACAAACCCACGTTCTTCAAATCGTCGAAACGTTTCGGCAAATATTGCACCGATTGTTTCAAATTGGACCATGTCAAGAGGCAGATTGAGAAGAAGAAGGAGAAGGAGACAGCTGCTAAGAAGAAGGACGGGAAGAAAAAAGACGACACCAGGAACAAATCCAAGTCGTCCAAGACGTGACAGGTGGTATCTGATTCCACTTCACCAGATGCAGAGAGCAGAAGCTCTGACACCGAAGAAGAGGAGAAGCCAAAGAAGAAGAGCTCTTCCTCTAAGACTAAGGGGAAGGGTAAGGAGACAGCTGCGCATATTAGCGACCGCAGCATCCACTCGGAAAGCGAGCCTGATGCATCCGAGTCAGACAAAGATCTCGCCGCGATCCTCTCAAGGCTCAGGCGCCTGAGGGCAAATGGATCCAATTCATCAAGGAAGGCGGGAGAAGGCTCTTCAAGGAAGGATCGGAAGGGTTTTCTCAAAGGGGATCTGTAGGCAGCTCGTCAGAGTCCCCAGAACATTATATAAGACCTGTACATTTAGCACCCGAATCAGACACCTTGTTACGGTTTCAGCGCTTCATGGTCACGTGACAGTTTACGTTGCACGTGGCACTTACTATTTATGGTTCATAGGTCTTGTGGACATATGCTAGGGTTAGCAGTTTTCGTTTTCACGATTTACTCACTCAGGCCATGCAAACAAGACCTTCGTGTTTCAGGTTTCTATTTCACCTGTACTAACATTAGCTCGCCAATTACTTGGCTCGCAGCGGTTAGTATTTGTCTCGGTCTATTTCATTTACCTATGAATAGCTGTAGGAGACCCCTTGTACTAGTACCCCAGACTATAGGTCTGCGACTATATAAAGGGGCGGAGCAGCAGCTG